ATTTTTTAAGAAGTTACATTTTAGCAACTTTTAGAAATAACCAGAAGGTTTTAAAAATAATTTTTTGATATCAATAATTGATGTAGAAGTTTTAATAATAATAATAATAGATTTTTATTATTTATTTCTAAAAAATTATTAAACTTTCGAATAATAAAATTTTAGTATTTAAATATTTAATCTGGAAAAATTATTCAAGTTTTTGAATAATTTAATTTAAAAATTCTGAAAAATGATTTTTTTTTAATATAAAATTATTGTAATTAAAATTTTTTCCAAAAAAAAATTATCAAACAATTAAAAGTTGGGAATAAAATTTATAAATTTTTTTTTATTTTTTTCAACATTAAATCATTGTTTTTGTTCCTTAAAGTCGATCCGAAGCCTGAAATTTCTAATTTGAAATTACGCAAGTGTGATTAAACGTGAAAAATTGAAGTTTCTAGATAAATAATAATAGTTTTGATGAAATTGGATTTATTAGGGGGATTTAGATTTCTATGGTCGAACGTATGTTCTTGATACTTTGTCATTCACACTCGAGAGAGGTATTCGATATTCTTTGGGGTTGAAATTCCCCTTTGATTTATCCGAAGCCTTAGAAAATAAAATTTAATAGTTGACTTATTTTTATTATATTATTTAAATTTTTTTTTTATTTAAAATTATTAATTAGGTATTTTTATTTGAAAATTTTTTTATTTATTTATTTAATTATAAACTGGTCACAACTCTTCGTATTATAATTTAATAATTATTATTTAACAAAATATGTTTCTCAGTGTTAAACGAAAATTGGAAAATCTTGGGTACAGTAAACTTTTCTATAATTAGAATTGTTTTATTTTTTTTTAAATATAATAAAAAAAATAAAAATATTTGCTATACATCCCATAATGTCTTATAGGGGAAAAGTAGAACATGTCAATATGTGTTAAACTTGTAAGGTTTCGATTATCCTTTGGTTAAATCATGCAAATAAAATCAAGGTATTAAAACAGAGTATTTTTATTTTTTATTCATATATTTTGGAATTTTAATTTAAAATTTATAATAAACTAATTTTTGTTACTACTTTTTTAGAAAAATAGGTACTTTTTCAATAACTTTATTTCCTTCTTTATTATTTAAATTTTTTTGTTTTTAATTTTTTTTATTCTTTTTTTAATTTATCTTTATTTTTTTTTACAAATTTCTTTTTTGATATTTTTATTCATTTATATTTTATTATTACTTTTTTTCACGGTTTTATTTGGAAAAAATAATTGTTTTTCCCCTTTATTTCAATATATATATATATTTTTATTTGGCAGATTTCCTTCAAACTTTTTTTCAATATTAATGTACCGTAAAAATAATTTTTCCCACCCTCTTCAACTATCAGTTATCTAAATCCGTCAGTGACATGCTCCTCAATCAAAAAATGACATATTGATTCTTTATTTTATCAAAAATTGAATGACATTTGCAGAACTCGATTAGCATTCGAATATTGATCCAGAATATTTTATATGTGCAACTTTTTTTTTCTTGCTTTTATAATTCTTTCGAGAAATTTTATTATTAGATTTTTTGTAAACAATTAAATTTATTTGACAAATTTTTATAAATTTCTTGAAAATAATTTAGTGTTTAAAAATATTTATTCTTACTGAAAATTTTGAAAATTAAATAATTGAAATTTACAATGAATTTTATTAAAACTTTTGAGAATATGTAATTTAATTATTTTCAAAAATTTTATTAAAATTCATTAAAAAATTTCAATTATTCTCATAATTAACAATATTTATCACACGAATTCAATTATTTTCTAAAGTAATAAAATTCAATTATTTTCAAAAATTTTAATAAAATCCATTGCAGAATTTCAATTATTTTCAAAAGTAATAATATTCTACGCAAAAATTAAATATTGTTCAATATCTACTATTTTCATAAAATTTACCAAAAGAATTTAATTATTTAAAAAAAAATTTAATAAAATTCTACAAAAACTTTGAATTATTTTCAAACAATAATAAAAATTCCACAAGAATTTCATTAATAACAAATTTTTTTTATAAATTTCTTCGCAATTATTCAATTATTTTCATAAATAATAAAATGAATAAAATTTTTAAGGGGATTCAATTATTTTCGTAAATATTAAAATTAAATAAAATCTTTTTAGGAATTCAATTATTTTCAATAGAATTTTAATCGAATTCCTCGAAAAAATTCTTAAAAATTTTATTAAAATTCGTCCAAAGAATTTAATTATTTAAAAATTTGTTGATAAAATTTTTAATAGAAATTGAATTCCAAGAAACATTCAATTATTCAATAAATTATTTATTTGCATTTTATTTCTATTTAAATAATTGAATTCTGGTAGAATTTTCTCATAAACATTGATTTAAAAATAGATTTCAGTTAAAATCGCTTAGATTATAATAATTGAATTCTTTTGAAGAATTTCATTAAAATTTTTAAAATAATTGAATTTCATCGAGACATTTTTTTAAAATTGTCTTAAAAATAATGGAATTTCTACAAAAAAAAAGTTTTATCAAAACTTTTTAAAATGTTTGAATTTCTGCTAAAATTCTGATATTTTTGAAAATAATTGAATTCTTGCGAAGAATTTTATTAAGACTTTTGAAAAGTAATTGAATCTCTGCAAAGATTTTTATTATTTTACGAAAATATTTAAATTCTTGCGAAAAAATTTTATTAAAATTTCTGAAAGTAATTGAAGATTTGCTAAGAATTTTGTTATTTTTAATTTATGCCAAGAATTTTATTAAAATTTTTTAAAATAATAGAATTTCTGTTAATTTTTTACAAGAATTGAATTATTTTTGAAAATTTTAATAAAATTCTTCGCAAGAATTCAATTATTTTCATAAATAATAAAACTTAATGCAGAATTTCAATTTTTAATACAATTTTTATCGAATTTTGTTGAAAAATGTAATTATTCTGAAAAATTTTATTAAAATTCGTTGATAGAATTCAATTATTTGAAAATTTGTTGATAACGATTTTTTATGGGAATTGAATTTTAAGAAACGTTCAATTATTCAATAAATTATTTATTTGCATTTTATTTTTATTTAAATAATTAAATTCTAGTAGAATATTGTAATAAAAATTGATTTTCATTTCATAAAAATGAATTTCAGTTAAACTTTTAGATAATAGAATATTAAATGCAATAGAGCGTGAATAACTGAATTTTGAAATTAATTTTTTTGAAAAAGTTTAATTGAGTTTTTTTAATATTATTTTTAGTTTCTATTTTTTAATATTTATTTAATTAAAGAATTTACGAATAATTGAAATTTCGTAAAATTGAATATTGTAAAGAAATGAATTTGAAAATTGTCAAAGAACTTTTTCGATAATTATTAAAAATATTCGATATAAAGAAGAATTTTATATAAAAATTGTTAAAAATAATAATTGAATTGATAATGATTTTAATTATTATAAATTATTTTTATTAATAATTATTATAAAACATGAAGAAATCGATGACTTCGAATCGAAGACTCGGAGTTATTGATTTCTTCATGTTTTATAGTTATGAAAAATTGAATTTCTAGTTTTAAGTAAAATGTTCTTAAAATAATTTCCTCTCTCGATTTCAATTAGGAAAGGAAGAAGAAAAATGATTGTTAGTTTCTAGAAGAGAAGTGGTGGTAATGACTCATGAAGATAAGTTTTTTTTTTTTTTTGCACATGCGTGATTTATAATCTATGATCAGTTTCCTTTTTATAATATATTCCCCCCTCTGCCCCCGCGTTTGCTTGGTCATTTGTAAGTGGTATATAGGGGTGAAAAGAGATGCTAGGAAAAGAGAACAGCTGGATTGTATTGATCCATCGTACGAGCTGTAGTTTAAGGGTGGCTCTGCCTGGCTTTACGTTCAGTTTTCTCCACACTAGCCGATCAGTGTGTTATGTCATTTCTTCATTCATATTATTTAACGAGTTTGTAATTTTTCTCGTCAAGATAACAAAAAATTATTTCTATTCTTTCATTGTTTTGTCAAATAATTTCTAAACGATAATTTCCACAAAAAATCGTCGTCGTCGTCGTCATCGTCGATTATTGACAACGTCCACATGGATTGGTTTCAGTGACATTAGAGAAATTCACAGGTTTCTTTAAAGATGACTGTGAAAATCTCGACTCGGTACGTCGATTTAAATCGCTCTTTAAATCCCTTGTTTTCATTTTCAATTACTTTTATTTTTAGTTGATTTTTTAATTTTCTTACTATTTTTCTTTTTTCACTAATTTGTATTTTATTCTTAAGGATTTAAAACTATTTATAAGGAAAACTCAAATTTCTAATGAAATAAATTCCAATTCAATAAATTTTTATAATAATTTAATTATAAATATAAAATTAAATGATAATTTAATTAATTTTTGAATTTCTCCTTCTGAATTCTTGTAAAGTATTTATCGACAAATTTTAAAAATCAAATCATTTGAAGGATTTTATCAAAAGTTTTTAATATAATTTAATTCTGTCGAGAAATTTAATTAAAAGTTATAAAATAATTAAATTCTATTCAAAATAATTGAATTCTTGCAAAGAATATTATTATTTACGAAAAAGAATCGAATTCTTCAAAAGAATGTCATTCAAATTGTACTGAAAATAATTTAATTGTTTTGAAGAATTTATTTGAATTTTTTTTTGAAAATACTGGAGTTTTTTTTCTTTTAATTATTTTGAAAGTAAAAGAAAAGTTTTAGAAATTTTGAAAGTAATTGAATTTTATAAAGAATTTCTTTTAAGTTTTTAAAATAATCGTGATTATTATGAATTTCACCTAATGAATAATTTTATTGTTAAATTTTATTTAAATTATTGAGATAAAATTAAATTCTTTTAAACAATTTTATTGTTTTTTGATTTTGAATTGAATTGAAAAAAGAAAAGTTGAAAGAAAGAAATTTATTAACGTGTAATTAATTTTTGTTTTCTTTTTTTTTGCAGTGTTCGAGAAACGCATCAAATTGCGGAGGCGCAGCAGGAGAAAAATGCAATGCTGCGACAAGCTTTTGGAATATCGGAATATTTTATGGAAGGCAGCAGTTTAGATCCGGAGCGTCATGCACGTGAGGCTGAAGCAAAAGCGGCTGCATTAGCGGCTGCAGCGGCCGCCGCTGCTAATAGTAAAGTTTACAAGATTGTTCGCACGCCGAGTCCAGTTCCCGAAGAAATAACAGTGCCGGAGAAAAAGGAAAAGCGAAAACGCTCGGGAAGCACGTCAAAGAAAAAGAAGAAGAAAAACAAAAAAGAACGGTAAATTCTTCAATTACGTCTCAAGTCGAAAAAGCCTCGAGTCGCTGAAACTTTTGTTGCCTAATTGTCTTCTCTTCAATTGGCAAAAAATTATTCTCCTTGTCAATCTCCTCCAGTTTCTTATGTATATTTAATTTGGAATTTTAAATTTGAGAAAAATTGTGAATAACTTTTTCTATTTTTTGGAAAAATGAATCTTTAACGAAATTTCTTATTCAAAATTTACTTTCTTATTTCGAATTGAATCTAGAGAAAAAATTAAAATTCTAATTTTCTACCGGAATTTGGAAATTTTAATTAAGATTTTTTTAATTTAGAGAATTTGAAAATTTATAAATTCGCACCAAACTTTTTTTTTTTATTTATTTTCATTCATCAAAAATCATTTCTGTAAAAAATTAAAATTTCTTATTCCAAATTGCAATTTTTCGTATCAAAATTGAATTATTTAGTATAAAAATTTAAAAACAATTTAAAATCGAATTTTTCAGCTAATTTTTTTTTTTTTTTTGCTAAAAATATAAAAATCTATTTTCTAAAAAAGAAATGAAGAAAAAATTCGAAATTTGAAGAAATAAATGTTTGATTTTGAAATTAAAGAGGAATTTAATAGACAGCAATGGATCAGAAGATTCAAGGCTTCGAGACTAGATCCTTGTAGAGATCCTGAAAAACAAAAAATTCCCTTGAATGATTTTTTCTCCTTTACGATTCTTATAAACATTTCGATCATTTATTCCCTCGCTCTCCAATTGATTTGCTTGGACGGTTACTGACTCATAAGTCTCATGTATATCACCTACTATTTCATATCCCAAACACCTTTCTCTGTTTCAAACAGAACTGAGGAGGACTGAGTGCCTACTGAGTAGGCCAAGTAGGTAAGTGTGGTGTCGCGTCTAATTTCCTCAGTTTTAAAAAAATCTCTCTTATTTCTTAAAAAGACAAAAAACAGTAAAAAAAAAAATAAAAAATAAAACTATTTCTCTATGGAACAATATCGATTCGAATAAAAATAAAAATTATTGGTTTATTTTGATTAAATATTAAATTAATGATTTAATTAAATTTAATTAAATTAAATATTAAATAAATCAATTTACGAGAATTTGAAAAGAAAAATTGTTTCGAGCAGGAAAGAAAGTCCAATCAAAATTATTCAAAATAATTGAATTTTTGCGCAGAATTGTTATTAAAATTCTTTAAAATCATTGAATTCATACAAAAAAGTTGATAAATTTATGAAAATAATTGAAATCTTACTAAAAATTTAATTAAAACTTTTAATAATAATTGAATTTTTTGCAGGAATTTAATTAAAATTGTATTAAAAATATTTCAATTTTCATAAAGAATTAAATCAAAATTTTTCAAAATAATTTAATTTCTTGCGAAGAATTTTATTAATTTCTTTAAAAATAAGTTAACTCTTACGAATAAAATAAAGTTAAAATAATATTATTTAAAATATTTAAATTTTCATAAAGAGTTTTATCAAAATTATTCAAAATAATTGAATTTTTGCGAAGAATTGTTATTAAAATTCTTAAAAATCATTAAATTCGTACGAAAAAGTTGATAAATTTATAAAAATAATTGAAATCTTACTAAGAATTTAATTAAAATTTTTAATAATAATTGAATTTTCTTCAGGAATTTAATTAAAATTTTATTAAAAATATTTCAATTTTCATAAAGAATTAAATTAAAATTTTTCAAAATTTAATTTTTTGCGAAGAATTTTATAAAAAAAATAATTGAATTCTTTTGAACAATTTTTATTGAAATTGTTTTGAAAATAGAAATTTAATTCCTGACAAGAATGTTATAAATTAACAACTTTTTTTAATTATTGAATTCTTTCCAGTAATTTTATTACAATTTTTGTAATTAAATAAATTCTTTTAAAAAATGTTATTAACTTTGAAAATAATTGAAATTTTGGTATAAATTTTTTTAGATTCTACGAAAATTAAGTGAAATAATGAATTTTACCAAAAATTTTACAAAATATAATTGAATCTCTGCGAAGAATTTTATTATTGAAGAAAAGAATTAAATTTTTTCAAAAGTATATAATTAAATTTTTTTCATATAAAGAATTTTATTGAAATTCTTTATAAATTAATTAAATTCCTGTGGAGAAATTGATTAATTATGAAAATAATTCAATTCTCAATAAATAATTTCTGCGCAGAATTTTATTGATATTCTTTGAAATTTCTGTGAAAAATTCTTATAAATTTATGAAAATAACTGAAATTAAAAATATTTCAATTCTCATGAAGAATTTAATAAAAAATTTTCGAAAGAATTGAATTGTTGCGAAGAATGTTATCAATTTTTAAATAAAATAATTAAATTCTTTTGAGAAATTTTATTAAAATTTTTTTAAAATAAATGAATTCTTTCGAGAAATATTATTAATTCTAAAAATAATTGAAATTTTATTCAAAATTTGTATTCAAATTCTATGAAGTGAATTCTTATCAAGAAATTTTACCAAAAAAATTTTCAAAATTATTTAATTTTTGCGAAGAATTTTATTATTTAGAAAAAGAATTATTTCAAAGTATTTAATTAAATTTTTTTCTTATAAAGGTTTATGGAAATTTATTTATGGAAATTTTTCAAAATAATAAATTTTTTGCAAAAAATTTATTACTGAAATTCTTTAAAATAATTACAAATATTTTAAATAAATTTAACTGTTATATTATTTGCAATTTGAAAAATCGACATCGTTCAAAGTTTTTAGTATTAAATTTTCTTTTTTACTAGAAAAACAATTTTTAATGGACATTCTTTGAAATTAAAAATTAAAATAAATTGAAATTCTTTTCGTGATTCTTTTTTTTTTTCTTTTTTGATAAATTCGGGCACTTATATTATAGTAGCCAACGAGCCATCGAAATAAATGTTTGCTAACAAATTGAATATATATATATAAATTAAAAAATTTATCAAATCCATAATTTGATAATTATAATTATTAATTTTTCAAATCAAAGAGAAAAAAAAAATTTGTTGTCATTTGTTTATTTTTGTTTCGAAGCTTTCGAATGAATAATTTGAAAATTTGCGCTAAAATTTACGGAAAGTTTACAAAAATAGAATAATAATAAAATTTGTGCAAAAAAATATTCGAATAATTTTAAATGGATAATTTGTTAATTGTAAATTTAGAAATTAATTTTTTCAAATTAAAGTCAATTTTGACAATTAAAGGCAAAGATTGTTTACAACATTAGGCAAACATTTATTTAAATATCGCTCACAAAACAATTTTGTTGGAGAATTGAATTATTTATCTTTGTTGTTGTTTATCGATAAAGCCTGTTGTTAATGTCATATCTCTATTTTTTTCTGACAAGTCCGTCCCTATCGATGGTTATCAAGGTAATACTAATCCCATATTATATCAATACTCCTCATATTTTTTACGTACTTGTCATTTGTAATATTTTTGGAAGATGTGATTTTTTTAAAGCAATTATTGTCTTAATTATACTCGAAATTTTTTTCTTCTTCTCTTCCTTCCTTTATGATGGAAAATTATTTAATTAAAATGAATTTTATAGAACTTACTTTAATTTAAAATGAATTTTATAGAATTTAATTTAATTAAAATGAAATTTAATGAAAAAATCACCTGACAAATTGCATCTTTCAAAAAAAAAAAAAAAAAATGCTGTTTTTGTAGTTGATTTCTTAGCTGTAGCCCAAAGTGTTGCAAATTATCGTGAAAATGCAGTGAATAAAATTCTTATCACGAGCACACTCAATTAAAATCTTATATTCATAATAAATATTTGACAATTTCTTTTAAATCAATTCATTGTGCAATAAATATAGAGGGGATGTGAACCATTTTGAAAATTTCACAAAAAAAAATCAATAGGATTTTTTTCATTTAACCATTCGAATAATATTCAAACTCAAAAGAATTTTTTTCTACTCTTATTGAATTTTTTTGAATTAAGAAGTCAATATTGTATTTAAATTTTAATTCATTTTACCGAATAAAATTATTGAATAAATATTAATGATAAAATCATAAAATCATAATGATTATAATTTGGTTGCGAAATTTGTGAAATTTTTCTCGAAAGTTAAGAATAAAGACAATTTTTCTTTTTAATATTTGTGTATCAGAATCGATAGGAACATCACTTGAAGATGAAAAATGTAAAAAATAAATCATTCGATATCAATTTCACTATTGTGTTTATATTTTTCGAGTTGTTTTCTTCTCTCTTGAAATTCAATAAAATTCAGATAATTTACTATCAATTTTTCAAAGTGCAATTTTTTTTTACTCTCCATCTTAGATTAAAGTTTCGATTACAAAAAAAAAAAAAAATCATTTGTCCACAAAGGTTTAGTACAAATAGCTTTTATATTGTCAGCACAAGGTTCGCACTTGTTAAACATCAGGAAGACGTCCATTGCAAGTTTACAAACTTTTTAAATATTTGCAATGTCGAAAAATGAAATTTTTGTTAACTTTCCCAATTCAATGACACTTTGAATAATTTTCATTTGATTTTGTAATAGGTCCGAGTCGCCGAAAGCCAGTAAAAAGAAAGAAAAAACGAAGAAAAAGAAAAAGGAAAAGAAACACAAAAAGGCTGAGACTAGTTCGTCTGATAATGAATCGAGTGATGATAGCGATGATAGCAGGTAATTTTCGACAAATTAGAAATTCGATTAATTCGATTAAAATTAAGAAATTAAATTTTTTAAATAAATTTTTACATTTAACTTTCTTTTTCAGTTCCTCAGAGGTTGAGTCAAAGAAGAAGAAACGCAAGAAGAAGAAATCAAAGACAGAATCGAAAGAAAAATCGGAGGTAGGAAACACAGGTCTTTTATTTTACCGAAAGTAAAGAAAAGAAAAAGAAAAGAATTTTTTTTAATTAAAAAGAAACATTTTTCTATTTATCTTGGCACGAAATTCGGGCGCATGCAAAAACTTAGTTCCAGTTTTTTTTAAAAAATATTTATCCATAATTAGCCTATCGATATTTTTTTTTTTAAATTATAAAATTCTCTGTTGTCACCTGTCCATGAAATTGCATGAATCATTGCTTCTTAATTTTTTTTGTAAAACAAACTAAAAAAACCAAAAAAAAAAACTAATTTGAAAGTTAACGATCATTATTTCAAAATGTAAATCTCAGTATTGTTTGTAATTATCAGCGCCATTTGACAGGATATATTCCCTGAGTGAGTACCCGATATGCCGCTACTCAATGTAATAATAATTTCGTAAATTAATTCTCGTTTTTAAAAAAAGAAATTTTGCGACTCTTGTACATTTTTTCACTTGTTTTGTGTCAAGCACCAGTTAAAGCAAAATGAAAATGTTACTTAAATTGCAATAAGTGTGCGTATTTGATAAAAAAAAAGTTCTTTGAAAAATTACGTTTTCATTGTTAAGAAATATAAAAAAAAAATTTTTTCTTATCAAATAAGCAGACTTGAAAATTGAAAATTTTAAAATATATTTGACTTTATCGTGAAAATGCATGATGAGTGTTAATTAAAAAAAATGACGAAGTTCATTGAGAGATATTTATATTGTTTCTTTTTTTCTTTTAGAAAAAGAAGGCTGCTAGTAAAAGGAAACGACAGACTTCTGAAAGCTCCTCTGACAGGTGAGAATTTTTTTGTTATTTTGTATTCAGGCTTCGTACTCATTTACTAAAAATCTACTAACTAAATGATTGCAGAAATTCAATTATTTTTAAAAGTAATCAAATTCTTCGCAAAAATTCAATTATGTTCAAAGGTTTTTTTAAATTCTCGTCAAAATTTCAATTATTTTTAGAAATATTAAAATTTTCAAAAATTTTAATAAAATCCATTGCATTGCAAAATTTTAATTATTTTCAAAAGTAATAATATTCTTCGCAAAAATTAAATATTATTCAATATCTACTATTTTCATAAAATATACCAAAAGAATTTAATTATTTAAAAAAAAATTTAATAAAATTCTACAAAAACTTTTAATTATTTTCAAAAAATAATAAAAATTTCACAAGAATTTCATTAATAACAAAATTTTTTTTATAAATTTCTTCGAAATCATTTAACTACTTTCATAAATAATAAAATTTTTACCAGGATTCAATTATTTTCGTAAATATAAAAATTCTTTTTAGGAATTCAATTATTTTCAATAGAATTTTAATCGAATTCCTCGAAAAAATTCTTAACAATTTTATTCAAATTCGTCCAAAGAATATAATTATTTAAAAATTTGTCGATAAAATTTTTAACAGGAATTGAATTCCAAGAAACATTCAATTATTCAATAAATTATTTATTTTTGTATTTAAATAATTGAATTCTGGTAGAATTTTCTCATAAACATTGATTTAAAAATAGATTTCAGTTAAAATCTTAGATTATAATAATTGAATTCTTTCGAAGAATTTCATTAAAATTTTTAAAATAATTGAATTTTATCGAGAAATTTTTTAAAAATTGTCTTAAAAATAATTAAATTTCTACAAAAAAAAAGTTTTATCAAAACCTTTTAAAATGTTTGAATTTCTGCTTAAATTCTGATATTTTTGAAAATAATTGAATTCTTGCGAAGAATTTTATTAATACCTTTGAAAAAATAATTGAATCTCTGCAAAGATTTCTATTATTTTACGAAAATATTTAAATTCTTGCGAAAAATTTTATTAAAATTTCTGAAAGTAATTGAAGATTTGCTAAGAATTTTGTTATTTTTAATTTATGCCAAGAATTTTATTAAAATTTTTAAAAATAATTGAATTCCTGTTAATTTTTTACAAGAATTGAATTATTTTTGAAAATTTTAATAAAATTCTTCGCAAGAATTCAATTATTTTCATAAATAATAAAATTCAATGCAGAATTTCAATTTTTAATACAATTTTAATCGAATTTTGTCGAAAAATGTAATTATTATTAAAAATTTGATTAAAATTCGTTGATAGAATTCAATTAATTGAAAATTTGTTGATAACGATTTTTTATGGGAATTGAATTTTAAGAAACGTTCAATTATTCAATAAATTATTTATTTGCATTTTATTTTTATTTAAATAATTGAATTCTGATAGAACATTCTAATAAAAATTGATTTTCATTTCATAAAAATGAATTTCAGTTAAAATTTTAGATAATAATTGAATATTAAAAGCAATATAGCGTGAATATTTAAAATAATTGAATTTTGTAATTATTTTTTTTTAAAAAGTTTAATTGAGTTTACGATTCTATTTTTAACATCTAATCATCAAGTAGAATTGTTATAATATTTAATTTTCAAAATATCAATAATAAATATACGAAAAATTCTGTTTTAGTTCGATAGAGAAGCCGAAGAAATCGAAACACAATAAAGATCTCGATAAAACGGATGACAATGAAAAATCTGCCGCCCCTTCGAATAAATTGCCAAAGAAACAGGACAAGAGTCGCAATGAGAATCAAGAAGAAAAGAGAAAAAAGAAGGATTCACCAGCAAAGAAAATTGTCAATGAACAGCGTAAGGAACGATCGTCGCCAATTGTCGAGAAAATTACACACAAGAGTCCACGTCGCGAACGATCTCATTCGAGAAACAAAAGCGATCGTGGCCGATCACCGAGGCGACATTCAAGAAGACGCGCCTCCGCCGCCGCCTCACCATCCTCGAGAAGACGGCGAATTTCCCGATCGTCAAGACGCAATAATCGTTATTCATTGTCTCGCAGCAGGAGTCATTCGAGAATCGATCGCAATTATCGATCACGAAGGCGAGCCTCGCGAAGATCCCGTTCAATGTCACGTCGAAGATCCATTTCATGGCGTAGGTCCGAGTCACGAAGAAGATCTTATTCCCGAAGACGATCCGATTCACGCAGAAGATCCGAATCACGCCGAAAATCTAGATCCGAATCGAGAAAACGATCAACCTCCCGACGAAGATCAATGTCGCGTCAAAGATCAAGATCAAGGCACAGATCAAATTCCCGAAGACGTTCAAGATCGAGGCGACGTTCCTCTAATTCCCGGAGGCGATCAAAATCGCCGAGAAATAAAAGCAGAAGGGAAAGATCGAGGGAACGTCGTCGTTCTCGATCGACACTGAGTTATTCGCCGGTGAGAAAAAATCCCGAGCGATACGTCGATATTCTCCAGGAGGAGAAGAAGAAGAAGTCGCCGAGATCGCGATCAAGAAGCAAGAAAACGCAGATTGTCGCTCCGAGAGTGAGTCTACGTTCATCGAGCGAGGACGAGGGGCAAATTGTCGACGACGAGCCAAAGGAGGACGACGAGCAGCGACAGCGGGAAATCATCACCTTACGCCGCCTTCAATCGGGCCTCGCCGCAAAGGCCCGCGAATCTCTCGGCAAAAAAGTCATCAGTCCAATTAAAATTAAAATCGAGACCGAGAACATTCTCGACATCGCACTTCCAAAGGACGATCCTCTAAAGTCACTGCAAATTCCCGCTGGAAAATTTCCCCCAGAAAATGAAACTAATAAATCGAACGAAATGCAGAAAATGAATCAATTGAATCAAATGAATCAATTAAATCAATTGAATCAATTAAATCAACCGAATCAATTAAATCAATTGAATCAATTAAATCAACTGAATAAAGTGAATCAATTGAATCAACTGAATAAAGTGAACGAAATACATAAAATGAATCAACTGAACGAAATAAATAAAATGAGCGAAATTAATAAACTGAATCAACTGAATCAATTGAATCAACTGAACGAAATGAATAAAATTAGTAAAATCAACAAAATGAATATAATTCTCCCCCTGACGCTCCCGGCGATTCAATCACCAGTCTCGAGTCGCTCCCCGTCACCAGCTCTGCCCTTGACCCGGGAGGAAGCAATAATTAAAATCCGCTCACCATGCGAATCACCACCGAATTCTTCATCAACAAAATCCATCCACGAAATGGAATTAAAGACGAACAGTGGGATTTTTAATTCCTCGCCATCGCAATCGTCGAGGAAGCAAACAGCGTCTTCGCTGACACCCGCAGTGATGGGGAATAAAATAATTATCATCCCATCGTCGCCTTGTAATTCAAAGAAGAGTACACCTGACTCTAGGAAGAATTGCTCGCCGAGGGGAAAATCTTATTCGAGATCACGTTCAAGATCCTACACGAGATCATTGTCGCCTGGGAAGAGATCAAATCGTTCGCACTCTGGCTCGAGGGACGGTAGATTACGATCATTGTCAAAGGAGAGGAAATCAAGATCGCCGAGGAATCGTTCGCGATCACAGGAATCGGAGAAATTTGTCAAGAGATCATCGAGATCGAGGTCATCGTCGCGATCAAAGTCGAGATCTTTATCACGATCGAAGAAATCAAATTCACGATCGCCGGTGAAATTGAGATCGAGAAGTCGATCGCCGTCGAAGAAGTCGAGGAGTCGCTCACGATCTGGGTCGAGAAGTTCGCGATCTTCCATCAGGTATTTATATTTGAAAATAATAATTAACAATTAATTGAAAATAATAAATTAGAGAATAATCGAAATATTCTCTCCTCACGTAAATTTGGTATTTTCTTGAATTCTTTTTTTTTAATTTTCTTCCACAATTTACAAATTTTCAAAAATAAAAGTTGCAATTTTGGAAAAATAATTATTTTATCAATTATTTATTCTTTTATTTAAATAATTGAATTCTCGCAATCGAATTATGATAGAAATTGATTTAAAAAAGGAATTTTAGGCAAAAATTTTAGAAAATAATTTGAAAGTGTAAAAGTAGGATTTCTTTTTTAGAAATAAATAAATTTCAAAAGGTTTTACATTGACAGTATTTTGGAATTTTAATTCACAAGGACAAATAAATGACAATGAGTCAATTTTTTGAAATTATTTTCATAAGTAATAAAATTCTACGCGGAAATTCAATTAATTTAAATAGAATTTCAATAAAATTTTTTTAAACAATAATTGTATTTTTTTCAATAAATAACAAAATTCTTCTTAGGAACTCAATTATTATTTAATAAAATATAACAAAATTTTTCTCAGAAATTCAATTATTTTCAAAAATTTAAATCAAATTCTTATAAAAAATTTAAATATTACAAGAAATACTAAAATACTTCCCAGAAATTCAATTGTTTTCATAAATAAACAAATTATTTGCAGAAATTAAATTATTTTTAATAAAATTTTTCTCAGGAATTCAATTATTTAATAAATAATAAAATTATTCTGAGAAATTCAATTATTTTCAAAAATTTAAATCAAATTCTTATAAAAAATTCAAATATAATAATAAATACTAAAATACTTCCCAGGAATTCAATTATTTTCATAAATAATCAAATTATTTGCAAAAATTCAATTATTTTAAGGAAAATTTTTCTCAGTAATTCAATTATTTAAAAAATAATAAAATTCTTCTCAGAAAGTCAATTAATTTTAAAAATGTGAATCAAATTCTTAGCAAAAATCCAATTACTTCAAGAAATAATAAAATTCTTCTCAGGAGTTCAATTATTTTCAATAAATAATAAAATTCTTCTCAGTAATTCAATTATTTAATAAATAACCAAATTCTGCTCAGAAATTCAAATTACTTTAAAAAATTTCAATTAAATTCTTAGCAAATATTCTATTTTTTCAAAAAATAAAAAAAATTCTTGTCCATAATTCAATTATTTTCAAAAACTAGCCAAACTATCTGCGCGCAAGCGCGCGGGAATGTTGTATGAGGCTGCTTATTTTAAACAATTTAAAAAATTTTAAAGAAATAATTATTATAACCTAACAAAGAGATTTAACTAACTAAAATTCAAATAATTTCACTCAATGGTCTCAATTTAAATAGAATTTACATTACTAGACTTAAACTATGGCTAGAACAATTACAATTAGTATCTGGGTAATCTTTTGCATTGCTTATTTTATAAAGCCATTTTAGATTAAATACTTTTTAAAGAAATAATAATTATTACACACTGAAAAAAGTTTTACTTGAAATAGCGATAAGTTTCTCTAGAATAACGAAAGTATTAATTGAAGCACTGAAAAATTTCGCTACTAAAGTGAAATCTGTAGTTTATCCAGCTAAATATTTTTTGCCGTGCATAATGAAAAAAGAATTAAATTAACATCAGATTTTCTACATTCAAAAAAAACGAAATCAAATAGAAATTAATCATTTTACAACTTAACCAAATTCACCCCAGAAATCACTGAATTCGATAATTTAGAAGAAAGTCAGACAAAAGCAGGGTTCCTACAGAATCTGGAAATCATGGAAATCATGGAAATGGTATGGAATTTTTAAAAGGCTTCTGGAAATCAGGGAAATCATGGAAAAGGCCTGTAATTTTTAAAAAATTCTAAATTTTTTCCCTTTTCCATTTTTTTTCTTGAATAAAAATTCAAATAATAATGAAGCTAAATCCCATAAAAGAGAAGAAAAAATGTTGAATTTTAAGAAAATCGGATTTTTGAATTTTTGATAATTTTCGATAATTTTAGATTTTTTACCAAAGAGTCGAGAGTTCTAAATAAGTAAAGTATTTTCCTAAAGCACAAAAATAATGAAGCTAAATCCTATAAAAAAGAGGAAAAAATGTTGAATTTTAAGAAAATCGGATTTTTGAATTTTTGATAATTTTCATTAATTTTAGATTTTTTACTAAAGATTCGAGACAATTTAATAAGTAAAGTATTTTCCAAAAGCACAAAAATAATGAAGCTAAATTCTATAAAAGAGAGGAAAAAATGTTGAATTTTAAGAAAAACGGATTTTTGAATTTTTTCGAATTTTTGATAATTTTAGATTTTTTACCAAAGAGTCGAGACAATTTAATAAGTAAAGTATTTTACAAAAGCACAAAAATAATGAAGCTAAATTCCATAAAAAAGAGGAAAAAATGTTGAATTTTAAGAAAATCGGATTTTTGAATTTTTTCGAATTTTTGATAATTTTAGATTTTTTACCAAAGAGTCGAGAGTTTTAAATAAGTAAAGTATTTTCCTAAAGCACAAAAATAATGAAGCTAAATCCTATAAAAAAGAGGAAAAAATGTTGAATTTTAAGAAAATCGGATTTTTGAAATTTTTTGAATTTTTGATAATTTTAGATTTTTTACCAAAGAGTCGAGACAATTTAATAAGTAAAGTTTTTTTCAAAAGCACAAAAATAATGATGCTAAATCCCATAAAAGAGAGGAAAGAATGTTAAATTTTAAGAAATTCGGATTTTTGATAATTTTCGATAATTTTAGATTTTTTACCAAAGAGTCGAGACTATTTAATAATTAAGGTATTTTTCAAAAGCACAAAAATAATGAAGCTAAATTCCATAAAAAAAAGGAAAAAATGTTGAATTTTAAGAAAAACGAATTTTTGAATTTTTTCGAATTTTTGATAATTTTAGATTTTTTACCAAAGAGTCGAGAGTTTTAAATAAGTAAAGTATTTTCCTAAAGCACAAAAATAATGAAGCTAAATCCTATAAAAGAGAGAAAAAAATGTTGAATTTTAAGAAATTCGGATTTTTGAATTTTTGATAATTTTCGATAATTTTAGATTTTTTACCAAAGAGTCGAGACTATTAAATAAGTAAAGTATTTTCCAAAAGCACAAAAATAATGAAGCTAAATTCCATAAAAAAGAGGAAAAAATGTTGAATTTTAAGAAAAACGGATTTTTGAATTTTTTCGAATTTTTGATAATTTTAGATTTTTTACCAAAGAGTCGAGAGTATTAAATAAGTAAAGTATTTTCCAAAAGCACAAAAATAATGAAGCTAAATCCTATAAAAGAGAGGAAAAAATGTTCAATTTTAAGAAATTCGGATTTTTGAATTTTTGATAATTTTCGATAATTTTAGATTTTTTACCAAAGAGTCGAGACAATTTAATAAGTAAAGTTTTTTTCAAAAGCACAAAAATAATGATGCTAAATCCCATAAAAGAGAGGAAAGAATGTTAAATTTTAAGAAATTCGGATTTTTGAATTTTTGATAATTTTCGATAATTTTAGATTTTTTACCAAAGAGTCGAGACTATTTAATAATTAAGGTATTTTTCAAAAGCACAAAAATAATGAAGCTATATTCCATAAAAAAGAGGAAAAAATGTTGAATTTTAAGAAAAACGGATTTTTGAATTTTTGATAATTTTTGATAATTTTAGATTTTTTACTAAAGATTCGAGACAATTTAATAACTAAAGTATTTTCCAAAAGCACAAAAATAATGAAGCTAAATTCCATAAAAAAGAGGAAAAAATGTTGAATTTTAAGAAATTCGGATTTTTGAATTTTTGATAATTTTCGATAATTTTAGATTTTTTACTAAAGAGTCGAGACAATTTAATAAGTAAGGTATTTTTCAAAAGCACAAAAATAATGAAGCTAAATCCCATAAAAGAGAAGACAAAATGTTGAATTTTAAGAAAATCGGATTTTCTAATTTTTTCGGATTTTTGATAATTTTAGATTTTTTACCAAAGAGTCGAGACAATTTAATAAGTAAAGTATTTTACAAAAGCACAAAAATAATGAAGCTAAATTCCATAAAAAAGAGGAAAAAATGTTGAATTTTAAGAAAATCGGATTTTTGAATTTTTTCGAATTTTTGATAATTTTAGATTTTTTACCAAAGAGTCGAGAGTTTTAAATAAGTAAAGTATTTTCCTAAAGCACAAAAATAATGAAGCTAAATCCTATAAAAAAGAGGAAAAAATGTTGAATTTTAAGAAAATCGGATTTTTGAATTTTTGATAATTTTCATTAATTTTAGATTTTTTACTAAAGATTCGAGACAATTTAATAAGTAAAGTATTTTCCAAAAGCACAAAAATAATGAAGCTAAATCCTATAAAAGAGAGGAAAAAATGTTGAATTTTAAGAAAAACGGATTTTTGAAATTTTTTGAATTTTTGATAATTTTAGATTTTTTACCAAAGAGTCGAGACAATTTCATAAGTAAAGTTTTTTTCAAAAGCACAAAAATAATGATGCTAAATCCCATAAAAGAGAGGAAAGAATGTTAAATTTTAAGAAATTCGGATTTTTGAATTTTTGATAATTTTCGATAATTTTAGATTTTTTACCAAAGAGTCGAGACTATTTAATAAGTAAGGTATTTTTCAAAAGCACAAAAATAATGAAGCTAAATTCCATAAAAAAGAGGAAAAAATGTTGAATTTTAAGAAAAACGGATTTTTGAATTTTTTCGAATTTTTGATAATTTTAGATTTTTTACCAAAGAGTCGAGAGTTTTAAATAAGTAAAGTATTTTCCTAAAGCACAAAAATAATGAAGCTAAATCCTATAAAAGAGAGGAAAAAATGTTGAATTTTAAGAAATTCGGATTTTTGAATTTTTGATAATTTTCGATAATTTTAGATTTTTTACCAAAGAGTGGAGACTATTAAATAAGTAAAGTATTTTCCAAAAGCACAAAAATAATGAAGCTAAATCCCATAAAAGAGAGGAAAAAATGTTGAATTTTAAGAAAAACGGATTTTTGAAATTTTTTGAATTTTTGATAATTTTAGATTTTTTACCAAAGAGTCGAGACAATTTAATAAGTAAAGTTTTTTTCAAAAGCACAAAAATAATGATGCTAAATCCCATAAAAGAGAGGAAAGAATGTTAAATTTTAAGAAATTCGGATTTTTGAATTTTTGATAATTTTCGATAATTTTAGATTTTTTACCAAAGAGTCGAGACAATTTAATAAGTAAAGTATTTTCCACATTAAAAAGTTTGACATTAAAAAATATATAAAAAATGCCAATACTTAACCCACAAAATTAAATTTTCAAAACAAACAAATGAATGCAGATAATTTGCTAACGGAAAGGAAACTTACGATTATTATAATGTATGTATATGTATATGTATATTTCTATTTTCTATCAAAACGTATAAAAAACAAAAGAATAACTATAACTAACTTCAAGTGTGGACAGAGATCCGGAAATCTGGAATCACGACGATTATTATATATAATAATAATTTCTATGAAATTCTGAGGAAAAATTCAATTATTTTCAAAAATTTCAATAAAATTTTTTATAAGAAAGAAATTGATAAAAATACTTTGAAAATATTTAATTCTTTTTCTAAATAACAAAATTCACTTTAGGAATTTAATTATTTCTATAAATAATAAAATTCTTCTTTGGAAATCAATTATTTTTGTAAATTATAAAATTCTTCTCAGGAATTTAATTATTTTCAGAAATAATAAAATTTTTCCCTGTAATTCAATTATTTTGAAAAGAATATTAATAGAATTTCATTAAAAATTTTAATTTTTGCCATAAATAATAAAATTCTTTGAAAACATTCAATTATTTTCAAAAAGTTTAATATAATTCACAAAAAGAACAAAAATTATTCTTTTTAAATAATTCAAATCGCGTAGTTAAATTCTGATAGGAATTGATGTATAAAAAAAATTGCAATTAAAATTTTAGAAAATAATATTATTTTATACAATGTAGGTATTATTATAGAATTTATTTTCTGTAAAAGTTATTAAAGTCTTGAATAAATTTAAATTTATTCAATAATGCGAAAAAATAATTGAACTTTGAAAGAATTGCAATTGTGAATTCAAAAAAAATTCAAAAAACCATTTTGAATTTTCAATTTCACAATGGTTTTTTATTGAAATTGTTTAAAATATTTTAATTCTTGTGGAAAAAGTAAATAAAAGCAAGTTTTTAAATATTTTTTTTTAACAAGATTTTTCGAATAATTTAATTTAGAAAAATATTTAATTCTGAAAAACTTCGTTTTTTGAAAAAAATGTAATTATAATTTCCTGAAGATATTGAATTCTCGAAAATAATTTTCCAAAAAAAAATTGAAACAAATTGAAAGTTTTAATTCCTTTTTTTAAATTTAAAAAAGAACCTATTCGAATAATTACATTTTTTTAGAAAATAGAGAATCTTTATCAAAATAGAGAATTTTTATCAAAGAAAATTTTTATCAAAATAGAAAATTTATATCAAAGAAAATTTTTATCAGAAAAAATTTTTATCAAAATAGAGAATTTTTATGAAAATAGAAAATTTTTTAAACTAACAAAGTTGGATTGTAAAATTGTAGTTATGGCGGTTTTACAAAATAAATGACCAAATAAAATGTTTCAGCACCAGAAGAAGTCGCAGGAGTTTCTCAAGTTCATCCCGATCATCAAGCAGTCTTTCGTCGCGATCATCACGATCGTCCTCAAGCAGTTCCCAATCGAGAGCTTCGCGATCACCATCGATACCCCGTCGACATGGCTCTCCCAGTTTTCTCGATAGACGTCGTATCACCAGGTAAACAACAATCGGTTACAATATTAATATTTCGTTTCAATGTTTAGTGTAGCTTTTTTTTTTCTTCTCAACATTGATTGATTTTTTTCAATTGCACTAAAATTCATAATTATATATTATGTATTATTATTATTATTTTTTCTTCACAGTTGCATCTGTGAAAATAGTCGATTGTAGTCTTGTACATTATTTTTTTGTTCTCCAATTATTATTATTATTATATTCGCTTTCTTATAGAATTATAATTCTGTTAGTATAATATACTGTTAGTTTTAATATAAAATAATATTAATTAGAAAAAAATTTTCTTTTTGAAAATTTTCATTTTTGAAGAAAGTTTTCTTTCTGTGAGGAAAGTTCTCTTTCTGTGAGGAAAGTTTCTCTTTTTTCCTGGTGTTATATATGCGCCATTAATAAAAATAGTCTTACGATCGAATTTCGAAAAATTGTTTTCAAGAAAAAAAAATTACCGTATATCGATAATAAATAATATTGAATATAATTTATGCATAATCTAGATGTAGCATGCGTGTATTTCCCTGAATTATTCGTTATTCACTACATTGAAGTAGTTATTCGCCTCTTTTAATTTAAGTCAATCACGAATAAAACGAAAGGGTTCTACGAGAGTAAAGCAAGCATTTTATTTTTTATTTAGTCAATTTTTCTGTTGTTCTTTTACAAAATTTTTGTGTTGTAGTTTCTCAAGTCTCTTTTAATCAGCTACTCTTTTTAAGAAACCAAAAAAAAAAATGTAAGGTAAGTAATGTAAATTTTATTTTGCGCTTTCACAATTCTTTTTTGCCTTCTTTTGCACGAATCCACAAATTCTTTTGCATGATTTCGATTTTTGTAATTTTGCCGCTGTAGTAAAAAAAAATTCGTTTTTTACGGAATAAATTTTCATAGTTTTTATCAAAATTAAAATAAAAATTTGTATAGACGGCTGAAAAAATATTACCTAAGTCTAAAAATCGTTTGAATAAAAGAATTAATTATAAATTCAATTATTTTCAATAATTGTGATGAAATTAAAAAAATCATTATTTTCAAAATTTTTAATAAAATTTCAACAAAAATTCAATTATTTTCAAAAATGCAAATATAATTCTTCGAAACTATATTCAATTATTTTCATAAATAATAAAATGTTTCGGAAGAATTCAATTATTTTCAAAACAATTTTAATAAAATTTCCCGAAAGAATACAAGTATTTTTAAAAATATTATTTAAATTCAATTATTTCCAAGAATTTTAATAAAAATGCAATTATTTTCAATAATTCTGATAAAAAATTCAATTATTTTTATAAATATTGTAAAATTTTTGGCAAGAATTCAATTATTTTTGTAAATAATAAAATTCTTCGGCGAAATTCAATTATTTATTATTTCTACAAATAATTGAATTTTTGCAAAATTAAAAAAAATAATTGAATTTTTGAGAAGAATTTGATTAAAATTGTATTTAAAATAATTGAATTCCTGTGAAAAATGTACTATTTATTGATATTATTGAATTCTTTCGAAGAATTTAAAAAAAATGTTTAAAAAAATAATTGAATTTCTCCTGGAATTCAATTAAAATTGTATTTAAAATAATTGAATTTCAGGGAAAATTTCATTATTTTTGAAAATAATTGAATTCTTGAATTAGATTTTATTAAAATGTTTTTTTAAATAATTGAACTCCTGTGAAAAATTCAATTATTTTTTTAAATAATTGAATTTTCTCGATGAATTTTCACAAGATTTTTAAAAATAATTGAATTTTCCCTGAAATTCAATTAAAATTATATTTAAAATAATTGAATTCCAGGGAAAATTTCATTATTTTGAAAAATAATTGAATTCTTAAATTGGATTTTATTAAAACGTTTTTTTTTAATAATTGAACTCCTGTGAAAAATCCAATTATTTTTTAAAATAATTGAATTTTCTCGGAGAATTTTCACAAGATTTTTAAAAATAATTGAATTATTAATATAGATTTCTCTTAATTAACTAATTTCAATTATCATCTATACTAATATTTTTCAAAACCTGTATAACAATTTATCTTCAACTAATTCTAATTCTTATGCAAGGGAACAGAAATTTTTTTTGCACTCGATTTTTTAAATTTAATAATTTAATTAATTTGTTTTTTGTTTTTTTTTTTGAAATTTTTGATTCTTTAAATTCAATAACTAGAAAAAGTTAATTTTGTAACTTCTTTATTTAATATTTAATTGAACAATTTAAAAAATCGAGAAATTTTTTCCTCAACTATTTTTTCGAGTGTAAATTGAAAACTTCTGTTGACTTTTAATTTTTTTTTCCAAAAATAACAATTTACTAATAAACATTCATTTTAGTGCTAGAAAAAGACCGATTCCTTATCATCGGCCAACGCCATCACCTCCATCATCGCCAAGCAGTTCCGAGAGTAGCAGACATTCCGATTGGTCTAGTCCAAGTCATAAATCAAGTCGATCACCAACTCGTAGTCCATCTTATATTCGTTAATTATTTATTTTTTTTTTTTAAAGAAAAAAAAGCAAAGATGGAAAACAGTTTTTGATCAGCAATATTAAAAAAAAAATTGTACCTATTTTTATTCTTTTGATTAAACACAAAATTGTTTTCTAATCGAAAGAATAAAAATTCCCGACAATTTTTTTTTTTAGAATATAAATTTAGTTCTTTAAGGAAAATTTATTTTAATTACATTTTTTTATTATAAAGTTTTTTTTTTATATATACAAAAAAGAATTTATTCGAATTCTACAATTTTTAGAAAAAACATTCCATTTTATTTAATTTTAGACAAAAAAAAATTATCTTTATTGAAAGATAATTTTATTCTGATTAATTTTATTTTTTCAATTTTCTCCCTTTGAGGAAAAAATAATTTAAAGGTAAATTTTACACGAATTTATACAACTATTGAAAGTCCTGAGATTTTTATATAGTCGAGAAATTTTTCTCAGACGTGGCTGGGAAAACTTCCAAGACTGCTTCTTGCTCTTTAGTAAAGAAAAAGAAAATTAGGCAAGAAACGTCTTGTATCAATATCGAATGATTTTTAATTAAATTAAATTAATTCTCCATGAAATTGAATTTATACAAATTGAAATTAATTAAATTTGAAATTTAAATGTAAATTTGAAATTGAAATTCAAATCAAAATTTGAAAACAAAATCAAAATCAAAATTTGAAATTGAAATTCAAATAAAAATTCAAATTCAAATAAAAATTGAAATTGAATCAAAATTTAATTGATTTCGATTGGAAAAAAATGAATTCAATCTAATGTACTTAAGAAATTTGGAAATTATATTTATATATATAAAATAATTGAATTTAATTAAAAATAACAAATGATTCTAAAATAGTTGAATCTGGTTATTAAACCACGAAGCTCATTAATTAGTTGCTACTATTGGCAATTTTTTTTCCAAAAATGCCACATAGTATTTATTTATCTTGTAGATTCTCATTTTCCAAAGAAAGAATGAAAAAAAAATTAAATATATATTAAAAAATAATTTCTCTCTAGTCTGATGTATATTTAGGGGGATTTAAACTCTTATGTTTGTTATACAAACATAATCTAGTCGAATTTTTACAGTCTCCTCGATAAATTTAGGCAAAAATATTTCCCTCAAACTTTATTGATCAATGTCTGAAAAATTATTGTGATTCGATATTTTTAGTGCAATGTTATTCACAAATTTCCATGTGTGTAATTATTTATGACAAAAAAAAACGCAATTCTTAATTTTTCGGTTTTTTTTTATTAAAAAAAAAACTTACGAGGTTCTTTTTTTACGAAAGTAAAATTAGTGAATTTTACGCCATACATTCCATTATTTCATTTATTAATGAAATAAAATTTTATTTATAAATGATAATAGAAAATAGCATTTATTTTGAATAATTACTATTTGCTGTTAATTAGCATTTCTTTTAATTTATTTTCGAACAATGGACATTATTGTTTTGAAATTAAAGCTTTTTGTTTTATTTATTTATTTTGTTTATTTTATTTATTAAACTATTTATTTATTTCTTATTCAATAAAATTAAATATTTATTTAATTCTAAATTAATTGTAAATAAAAGTGAATTCTTTTCGTTTATTTTCTTGACAAAATGATATTCGTCAGAAACTTTTGCAATACTCAAGAAAAGGCATCGAACTAATGAAAAATAAACGTTTATACAAAACGAAAAAAGTAAATATGTTTTTTAAATAATTAAATATAGATCAGCTCAATGAATTAAATCTCGATTTGTTTCGATGCCTGAAAAGTTCTAGTCATTGATATTAATTTATTTATTTATTGACCAAAGGTCAGGCAGAATAATTACAATTTATTTATTTATTTATTTTTTCTTTTGAAAAAGTCTCCCTTAAAATGTGAAGAAGCTGTGTAGAATTTTAGCCCTTAACCCAACGACTGAATGTTTATCTCTTCGTGCTCGAAATCTTTCGTGTCGTGCCAAGCAGAAAGAAATTTAAATAAAAATTTGTAAATTGTATTTTGATTTTTGTAATGTTCGATTATTATTATTGGCAATCGACAGAAATTATAAGATTTTTTTCAAATTTGTTATGACGAAGAAAAAATCATATACGAATTGCGATTATTTCAATGACAGAAAAAAAATGTTATTATCGTCGTTAAAGTGGAGATCTTATATCTGTAATATACTCTGTATTGTTGTTGTGTGATTAAATCAAACTGCTTACAGAAATTTGATCACGATTCTCCTTTCTTATTTTTGGTAATTATTTTCTAAAGTTAATTTTTATAATTTTTTCAATATTCATCATAATAATTTTTTATTGCAATTTCGTATAATTTCTCCTTTCACGTTTTTTTATAATAAGGAATCAATTTAATTTGATTTGAATTTGAATTATTTTTATAATTTAATAAAATTCTTCGCAAGAATTCAATTATTTTAAATAGAATTTTAGTAAAATAGCTTGAAAAATAATTCAATTATTTTCAAAAATTTTAATAAAACTCTTTAAAGAATTCAATTATTTCCATAAATAATAAAATTCTTCCCAAGAATTTTTGTTAAGAATTTTAATCAAATTTTTTATAAAAGAATTTAATATTTTCCATAAATGATAAAATTTTTCGTAAGAATTCAATTATTTTGAAATTAATTTAATCGAATTTCTTGAAAAAATTCAATTTTTCCATGAATGATAAAATTTTCCCGCAAGAATTCAATTATTTTGAATAGAATTTTAATATAGAATTTTTTTTTTAAAATTCAATTTTTTCAAAAATAGAAAAATTTTTTGCCAAAAATTCAATTATTATGAAAAATTTTAATAAAGTTCTCAAAAGAATTCAATTATTTCCATAAATGATAAAATTCTAAGCAAAAATTCAATTATTTCCATAAATGTTAAAATTTTTCTCAAGAATTTAATTATTTTTAAATGAATTGTAATAGAATTTCTTTATTTTTTCCACAAATAATAAAATTCTTTTAAGGAATTTTTGATTTTTATATGTAATTTATTTTTTTATTGGTAATTAATTTTTGTTTGTTTTTCTTTTATTAGTTATTAATTATTATCAATTACTTTAGTCTCCTAAAAATTATTAATAAAATTTAATTACCCAATTATTCTGGAAGTAATTTTTATTTGGCATTTATTTAAATTGATACAAATTTATACAAATAAAAATTATTGATTGTAAATTCAATATTTTATAGTCTATATTGGAATGTAATGTTTAAATGGTTTAAATAAAGAACTTTTTTTTTTATAAAATAACGCTCTATATAACTGTTTAAAAAAAATTTCACTCTTTTAGTGAAACTTTTTGGCAAAACGTAATATTAATAATAAAACTCATTGTCTTTGATATATAATTCTTTCGTAAAAGACATCGTGGAAGAGTTTTTAAAAAATATTATATAAATTTAAGAACCTTAACCCTTTGGAAGATAAAAATAAAAGAGAAAATAAAACATCAGTTTATATAAAATTGTAAAATATCACCTTTCTTGATTGCTTTCATTATCAATAGTCCGAAGGAATTTATGGAAATTTAATTTTTTTTTTGCTGATTATGGAGAGAAATTTACATATTTCTCGATCTGTCTCTCGTAACTTTGGCACGTTGATTCGCGAGGTAAATTGACCAGAGTAAACCAACTGCGTTGACGAATAAAACACGTAACTGTAATGATAAAATTTTATTTCCTTAATATTTTTCTTCATTTTGTTATTTTTTTTCTCAATAGTATTTTATTTGTAAAAACGAATAAATAGCGAAAAGACGAATAAATTGAAATAAATTTAAATCAATTAAAATGTTTTAAATGATTTAAATTAAATTAAATTAAAATAATTTAAAATAATAATTTATTAATTTAATAATTTAAAATAATTTTAATTAAATTTAAATGATTCAAATTCAAATAAATTTAAGAACACATTTTTTACAAACTATTCAGAAAAATTTGAAAAAAATTTGAAAAGATTGAAAAAAATTGAAAAAGAAAGACAAGTTTTAAAGTTTTCAATTTATATTTATGAAAAATATTCTAATTACCACTGGAGGAACAAATCGTATATTTATGTACTGCAATAGCGTCAGATATTTGAGATTTGCAACAAGAGTTGGCCAATAGAGTTTCTTCAATTGGTCCTGTGAGACTTCGTGTGATTTTCCCTAAAAAAGAAGAAAATAAAGTAGGTATAATTTTTTATTTTATTCTGTAATTTAGATAAAAGGAAAAATATTCTTTTTAGATTTATACCTCGAATCGAGCAAGCATGTAAAGAGCAAGAGCTACAAATCCTGGAGTGTACAATAATCTTTCAATAAGTAAGAAACCCAGGGGATGCCGAACAAATCGTGTTACGTACATATAAAAATAATGCGGAACTGGACCACCAATTAGAAGCCTAGAAAAAAATTAATTAATTATTTTTAAAATTGTAAAAATAAAAACAATACACTTTCTATAAAATAATAAATTAAAAATAATAATTTTTAATTTATTAAAAATTCTCTTCGTTCATTCAATTGAACGAAATATATATAATTTTTATGCATTTTCCAAATATTCAAATATCAAATTGAAAATTTTCAATTCAAAAAAAATATTTTAAAAATATTTCGAACGTTCAAATAATCGAAATATCAGGGCAATCAGGGAATTTATAAGAAAATTCTGAATTTTAATCTTTTTTGTTTGCCTCAAACTAAAATTTGAATTTATAGTTACAATATTCTTATGATATAAAATTTTTAACGTTCAAATGAACAAAATTGTAAATATTTTCTTAAATTACTCATTGCAATAATTAAATGTATAAATTAAAAAATTAAATTTTACATTCAGAAACTTGATCTTTTTGATACTGAAACAAAATTACTGTAATAAAAAAATAATTGGAAGAAGAAAGAAACAAATTTCCTTTATTAATAGAATAATAATAATAATTAAATTGAGGCCTTGGATCCAATAACTCGCCCGACGCTCGGAGGAACGCGCAACTGCCAGTCAGTGAGCAGTGAGCGCCTCTGGGCCACTCACTGCTACCCGACTGGCATTAGCGCGTGCCTTCGAGCGTCGGGCGAGTTATTGGATCCAAGGCCTCAATTAAAAAAATTGTTTAACTTAAAAAAATCAACTGATTTTCCAAAAATACTCACCCAAATAAAGCAAAAGCCACTAAACTGTCTTGATTTAAATACTTTGTCCCCGACAATTTTTGGGAAATTAAATTTCCCAAAGTGGCAAAAACACAACTGTAAATAAAGAAACAAATTTAATTATTTATTTGCAATAATTCTGTTTGTCTTGAAATTTAAAAATCTACTCTACTTTAACTCTTTATTAAAAATATTTTATTAACTGGAAAAAAATCTGGTAAAATCACCATTTTAACAATAATTCGAAATAAAAAAGAAGTAGATACTTTTTATACAAAATTCAATTGTTCCGAAATCGGAGAAAAAAAAATGAGAAAAATGTAAATAAACTAACCTTGTTAGTGCTTTTGTTTTCACTGGACTGGTATAAAGTCGTTGAAAATAAGCTCCTACTAATTCATAAATAATATCTCGTGGCTTTGATAGAACCATTTTTTACAACAAATGGAGAAGGCCTTTTAAACAATTAAAACACTAACACGTTTGTAAACTACAATTATCTCAATGTTGAAATAATATCTGTATAAAATATTGACAATATTTATAAAAACATTGAGCGATCAAAGGGCATGTAGAACTTTTATCTTTCACCTTTTATCTGATTCACAGATTATTGTTTGCTTATTTTACAGCACTTTTTTTTGCACTAAACACACTGTAAGTATATTAGATAAACGATTCTATATTTACACAAAAAATTAAAATACTTCACGCAATTATCACCGGTTCATTAGAAAACATTAAAAATTATAATTTTGTGTAATGTATAACGTAACCTATAAACGACCGATAAATAAAAATATAAAAATTCAAACGTTTAGAAGACTTATTTCTTTTGATTTATTAAATAACTGGTATTTTTATATAATTTTTAAATTACAGCACATGGAATATTGTTTAAATATAATTAATTTTGTGAATATTAATTTGTTTCTTTGACGTCTGTTTTTTTAATGCTAATTTTCTTGTTGAAAATCGTAGATAGCGCTACAAGTAATTTCTTTTAGAAATTTACAAGTATTTCCAAAATCTAATTTACTGTAGGTACTTTGTATTATTATTATTCATTGTATTTGTTTAATACAAATAATTGTTTGGTTCGAAATCGAAAACTAATTTATAAAACAATAAAAAAATAAATTCGTTCATCTTTAAACGAAAGTTATGAAAAAATTAAAAAATAAATTTTTGTTCATTTCTAAACCAATATTAAATTATGAAAACAATAAAGAAAAAAATATATTTTCAATAAATTCTGAACATAAAGAATATTTACCGATTGTGGTTTTATGATTATTATTTAAATAATCCTTGGAAGTTGATATTACGTTTCTTCTGACTAGCAAAGAGTCCAAATGATGTTGGAGCTGTAAAAAATTTTTTTTTTAAATTAAAATAATATAATTTGAATCAAAAGTAGAAATAATTAAACGAAATGGATTATTTAATTCTACCTGAAATTTCCTGAGGGGGAGAATTTTGCTCAGACAATGTAACATTGTTTTCTGCATTTGACAATTCTTCTTCAGTAAAAATAACTGAGTCATTGCCAGCGTTCGTAAAGCTTTGAAGGGATAAATCCGAATTATATTCCTGATCGACATCTGAAACTTCGAAATTAAATAATTAAAAAAAGAAAATAAATAAAATATAAAAGGTTGCGATAAAAATTTAATTTTGTTTATCTTTGACTTTAACCTGATTTTCAGACTTTTTCCAAACTGATTTTGACATGTTCGATATGTTCTATTATATTTATTTACAAATTCAAAAATCCCTGACTTTTCCCTGATATATTTTACTTTCCCTCACTTTTTTCTGAATAAAAATTACTATTCATAGAAATGGAAAAATTTATAAATAATTATAAATACCTTTCTGATTAACATTCGCGTCGCTAAAGCGAAAACTGCTGTAACTTTCCGTAATTGAAGGATTTTCTGAACCTAAATCATTGTCCTTCGTGACACTATCTTCAGAAATATCCAATAACTCATGCGTAACATTCACGTTCGCCAAATAAGAATTTTTCTCTCCACTTTGCATTGTTTCTTTCATTTTTCTCACTGCTCCCAAATTCTCCGTAATTTTATCGTTTCTAATCAAATTTTTTTGAACAGAAACATTACTTTTTTTACCTTTTGTAACATTAACATCAACTCGAGGTAATTTTTTCGATACTTCTACTCTTGAATTTGCAGCAGCACTATGCTCGACTATATTTTCTGAAACATTTTTTCTACTTCGTTTTAAATTTGAAAGAGTTCCTCGAGGAGATTTATCCGATATCTTAGCTGCTGCTGATTGTATTTTTTGTCTATAAACATTTTCATTTATCTCCTTAATTTTCGAGTCGTACGATTTTCTTGAATGTATCGCAGGACTTTGTAAACTTTTTTCTGAATCCAAATCTCTTGTACATTGCGAATCGTCATTTCCGCCTAGGGAAATATTATCTAAACAAAAAATTTTTAATTTCGATTGTGAATTTTCATTTTTGATTTAAGAAATTCAGGACTCGAAGCGGTGAAAGTATTTAAAAATACGGACTTTACGGACCAAAAATTAAAAATTTCGGACCAACTGACAAAAATAGAATCAGGCCGAATCAGATAAAAGAACATTTTACTTAAAACTAAAAATTCAATTTTTCATAACTATAAAACATGAAGAAATCGATAACTCCGAGTCTTCGACTCGAAGTCATCAATTTCTTCATGTTTTATAATAATTAATAATAATTATTAATAAAAAGAATTTTATTATTTACGAAAATAATTGAATCCCGGTAAAAATTTTTCTAGAAAATAAAGTTTTTCTAGAATTTTATTAAAATTTTTTTTTTTAAATAATTAAATTCTTTTGGTAAATTTTATGAAAATAGTAGATATTGAATAATATTTAATTTTTGCGAAGAATATTATTACTTTTGAAAATAATTGAAATTTTGCAATGGATTTTATTAAAATTTTTGAAAATAATTGAATTTTATTACTTTAGAGTTTAGAAAATAATTGAATTCGTGTGATAAATATTGTTAATTATGAAAATAATTGAAATTTTTTAATGAATTTTAATAAAATTTTTGAAAATAATTGAATTTTGTCGAAGAATTTTGCTATTTATTTTTTAAAGATAATTGAGAAGTTGACCATTTTTTTTTTAGATTTTTTGAAAATAATTGAATTTCGGAGAAGAATTTTAATATTTCTAAAAATAATTGAAATTTTCACGAGAATTTAAAAAAATTTTTTGAACATAATTGAATTTTTGCAAAGAATTTTATTACCTTTGAAAATAATTGGATTTCTGCAATCATTTCTAACTTTTTCGAAATTTCCAAAATTATATCGTACAATTTACGAACTTTTCATCCTTTTTGAATGAAATTACGGACGTTACGGACCTTTTTTAAAAAAAACGGACTTTTACGGACTTTTACGGACTTTTTCAGGATTTACGGACCTACTTCAAGCCCTGAAGAAATTTAAAAATTTGGAATAGAAACACTGTTTGTCCAAAATACCTGGTTCTGCTTCCATTTCTTCGGGTTCGCTCACAATATTTGTCTTTTCAGGAGCTTTACACATTTCGTCGAAAACTGAAGAGCAAATTGAAGCTGGAAAAAGAAATAAATCGTTGAAACTTTTAATGAAGATAAATCGAATACGAAATAATTCGCTTCTTTCTAATCTTGGGAGTGCGTCAAATTTTCAGAATAAAGATCATTACCGGTATCGCTGAGTGCATCATTCATTGCATCTGGATTTTTTGCCTCAGTCGTTAAGATATTAGATTGAGAAAACATTGTCTCAACAAATTTTGTATCCATTACGGGAGGAGGCATTTGAAAACGAGCCATTAAATTCTGCTTATCCTTGTCCTCCTTCTCTTTCATCAAGCACTGAATCTAAAATGTAAATAAATTTTATTTATATTGTGTAATTTTAATTTCAAAAAATAGAAAATAAAAAAGATAAATTTACTTCTACTTCCTGTTGAGCAAGCAATTGATTGAGTCGAACACTTTCTTGTCGTAATTTCTTTCCTTCTTCGACATTATCTCGATGCTGCAACCATAGTTTTGCGATAGCAATAATTTGTTGTTGTTCCCTTTTCTTTTGAATTTTCTCATATAGAGCGTAACTTTCTTCCATATTTATAATATTCTGTTCTCGCATTCTCGTTTCGACTTCTATTTTTAATAACTCATGTTTCAGTTGTTTTAATTCTTGAGCCAAAGGAGCTTTCTCAAATTCCGCCTCGTACTCATTACATTTTTTCTCAAGTTTCTCCGCCATTTCCATCTCCTGATTAAGCACTGATAATTGATACAATGAATCACTGTCCACCATATTTTGCTTTAATGTCAATTCCTCGAGTAATTTTACTGCATACTCCTGAAGGCTGAAAATAAGAGATTTTTTTTCTGGTTTATTTACAACTGAGGACAAAAAATAATTATTGTTGAGTAAAAAATAAAATTATGACAGTAAATAAAATTAAATAAATAAAAATAAAGAAATAAAAAAAATAAAATTGGTAATATAAATAAAAAGAAGAAAATAATTAAAATTATAATATAAATAAAAAAAAAGAAAATAATAAATTATAGTCAAGTGAAAAATAAAATAAAAAAACAAATATTTACAGTGCACTCGCTTTTTCCATCACGGGAAGAAGTTCCGACTTTTCCTTAATACTCTTCTTCAGCGCTTTTCTTCGTTCCAAAAGGTTATTCAGTTCTATCCTCTTTCTTTCATTGACAGCCCTCTTGGCTGTAAAATATTGCAAAAATATTACAAAAAAACTCAAAAAACTGTGTCTAAAGAATCTAAAGTAATAAAAAACTGAGTGCAAATTGTTGTCAAAAAAGAGAGGAATTTATAGGTTAGCATTCGAATTTGGTGTATATTAAAAGAATAAGTTACGAAAGAAAACAATTTATATTCAAAATCAGTAAATTAAATGAACTCACCGGCAAGTTGTCCTTCAAGTAATTTAATTTCCGCATCCATAGCATTTTTTAAAAGTATTTTAAAATGTGGATCATTTGCATCAACGGTTTCTAAGAGTTTGTCGCGAATATCCATTTTTTTTACTCGCAGTTATTAAAATCAAAAACTTAAGTACTTTCCAAACAAATACTAATTGTATTAAAGTATACTTATATTTATTTCTTATATAAAGAATATTATTATTTAATAATTAATTAAATTAAAGAGCGTATCTTTTTCTTGAGGAACAGTCGCGAACTTTCGCAGCGTAAACGTTAACGGAAAAAAAGACGCGGGAAACGGAAATCGTTTAGGAAAATTTCCGGAATTTCAAAATGTCAGATGTGTTTCCGCCTTTATGTTTATAAAGTCAAGTTCACAGTTCACGTCAGTGCTGCAACATTTTAGGCGGCAATGCGGCACGTCTTGTATACAAAATTGTCGAAAAGTTTCCATGTCTGTAATAAAATATCTCAAAAATACAGCGTAGTTATTGTTTTTCGAATATAAATAAAGTGAAATATTTGTCTTTGAAAAGCCGTTCAGTTTTGTAATAAAGCAATATGTCAAAAGTATGTATTGACAATTTGTATTTTATATAAAAAATTTAAGAACTTTTGCTTTTTTGAGGTTAGAATCAACATGTTTACAATTTTGTCATTAATTATTATTATATTTAAATGTTTATCATTATTTTTGTTTATTATCATTATTACTACTATTTCTATATAAAAATTTAAAAACATTTGCTTTTTTGAGGTAAGAATTAACTTGTTCACATTTATCATTAATTATGAGTTTATGACATTTAAACTGTTTATTCTTATCATTATTTTTGTTTATTATTAGCATTATTATTATTACTCTTATCATTAATTGGCATTATTATTATTATTATTATTATTATTATTATTATTATTATTATTATTATTTCCTTTTTTAATGTATGACTTAATTAATATATGTGATAATTTTTCTATTAGATACTTTTTACCATTTTTACAATTTTCCTTATGTAATTATTTTCTATATTTAAAGAAAATATTTTCTAGAAGGCAGGCTTCGCACTCATCTACTAAAACCTTTTATTTACTCATGGTTGCCACACAACCTGGAAAACCTGGAAAACCTGGAAATAGCATGGAAATTGAAAAAGGGTATGGAAAACCTGGAAAAAGCATGGAATTTGAACGAATTTCTGGAATTTTTTTTGGGTTAATGAAAGATATTAAGAAAAATTCCATTCAACATGTTATTTTTCTTTAAAAATGTTAACATGCAATTTTCCCTTTTCCATGTTATCTTCTCTTTAAATTAATTTAATTTTTTTAAATTATTGACTAAAACTGTGAAAAATGTTGTTAAGATTGTTCTAAAAAAAGATTTTTTACGATTGTCAAAATTTTTTGTTATTAATTGCTTTTTGTTCAAGATTTTGAACAAAGTTTAAAGATGAAAATTATTTAATTTAGACATGACTTCAATGTTCTAATTATGGCTGATTCTTCTGAAAGTGACATTTTTTATATCTCGATTAATTTTATAAAATCTACTCTCTAATAATATTATTAACCATTGTCATAGTAAAAATTTATTATTTATAAGAAAACTAAATTTTTATGGTTTTTTTCAAACTCTTAGAAATTTTTTAAAAATAGTGACAAAAAAATACAATGTTTTTTCTATCATTATGTGCATTTTAAAAATTTTTGGACCTCCGTTTCATATGTGATAAAAATGTTTAAATTTGTCTTCAGTTTAAGTTAAAATTACTTCACGATGATTAATGATATTTATATACATTAAAAATATTCTAAAAAAATGTGAATGCACATTAAAATAAAGTTAATGGTCTGATGTTTAATTTTTCTATATAACATTTATAAAAAAGAGGAATATTATTGCTTTTATAAATATTTAAATTTTACATATTGGCCCGAGTAAAATTCAAAGAAGAAAGACTTTAATATTTTCAAATTGATTTTGCACAACTTAAATTCTTACTTTTGAGTATGAAATAAAGTAGTTTCAATAGAAGAAACCATATAATTTAAAAAAAAAAAATTGAAAAATCAAATATAAAAAGTATCACTTTCAGAAAAATAAACATAAAAATGCCTGTGATTGTAACTGTTTAAGAGAACATTAATTTATAACTACATAATAATGAATATTGTTAACACTTTTGTAAAATACTTGTTTTTTCATCACAAATAATTCCTAAATTTCAACCTGGAATTTTTAATATTTCTAACCTGGAAAACCTGGAAAAAGCCTGGAATTTTGAAATCTAGATTTTGTGGCAACCATGTTACTGTTTTTTTTACGATTTGATAGTATTTAGATACTTTTTCTTGGATTTGTGACATTAAAAGCTACATTTTTCTTTTTTTTCAAATTTTCACTAATTAAAATCCGCAAATAATTGAAATAAGAAAATTATTAGAAAAATTTTTAATAAAATTCTTAGAAACAATTAAAGTAAATTTTAATAAAATTTTCAGAAGAATTCAATTTTTTCTAAAAGGTTTAAGAAAATTATTCGCCGGAATTCAATTATTTCCATAAAGAATAAAATACTGCGAAAGAATTCAATTATTTTGAAAAATTTTAATAAAATTCTCAGAAGAATTCAATTATTTTGAAAAGTTTTAATAAAATTCTCCAAAGAATTCAATTATTTTTAAAAAGTTTAAGAAAATTATTCGCCGGAATTAAATTATTTCCATAAATAATAAAAGTCTTGAAAAATATTCAATTATTTTCAAAAATTTAAATAAAATGCTCAAAAGAATTCAATTAATTTTAAAAAGTTTAATTCTTCTCAGGAATTCAATTCTTTTCATAAATAATAAAATTCTTCTCAGGAATTCAATTCTTTTTATAAATAATAAAATTCTTCTCAGCAAATCAATTATTTTCGTAAATAATTAAATTTTTTACAGAAATTAAATTATTTAAAAAAATTAAATGAAATTCGCTGTAAGAATTCAATTATTTTTGTAAATAATAAAATTCTTCACAGGATTTCAATTATTTTTACAAATAATATAATTTTTTATAGGCAATTGAATTCATTAAAAAAATGAAATAAAATCCTTTTGCAAGAATTCAATCATTTTCATAAATAATCAAATTATTACAGAAATTAAATTATTTAGAAAAATTAAATAAATATCGTTGCAAGAATTCAATTATTTTCATAAATACTAAAATTCTTAACAGGATTTCAATTATTTTTACAAATAATAAATATTTTTATAAGCAATTCAATTCATTAAAAAAATTAAATAAAATTGTTTGCAAGAATTCAATTATTTTCGTAAATAATTAAATTTTTTTACATGAATTAAATTATTTAGAAAAATTTAATAAAATTCGTTGCAAGAATTCAATTTATTTTCATAAATAATAAAATTCTTCACAGTATTTCAATTATTTAAAAAAATTAACAATGTTTTTTGAGAATTTTTCTAACTGCAATAAAAATATTTTTCTAGGATATCAGATCGTTTTTTAAACCATTAGTAAGTAAAGCAGCTCCAAAAAAAGAGCCAGTGCTCATTTCCTCTGATGAAGAAGATGGTAAATCGTCTAAAATTGCGAAAAAGGAGAAGGTTAAATTTTTATTTTTGACAAAGTATTTTTTAAAGTTTTAAAGAAAATTGTTGAAAGTTTGAATTTCTTTTTTTTAAAAAAAGGTGGTAGAGAAAAAACGGAGGAAACAAGTTTTATCTGATTCTGAGGATGATGAACCTGTTAAAAAGCAGATTCATAAGAAGACAGAGGAGAAAACGGTGGAAAATCATAAAATTGTTTCGGCATCGGATATATTTGGCAAAGGTCCTATAAAAAGGGAAGCCGCAACTAAAGTTGTCAAAAAACCGAAGGAAGCGAAGGAAGTTAAGAAAAATGACAAGAAGGCAAATAAAATCAAAAGCGTGCGTATTAATCAAATTTTTATAAAATTCTTTCTGAATTTTTATTTATTCAATTTTTGCAAATTTCAGGAATTGGAATTTCATGATGACGATATTAATTCATCGCTTCTTGAATTAGTGCGTCAGGAAGAAAGTGCAAGTGAATCCGAGAAACTTGAAGAAAAGAAACTTATCAAAGACAACACTTTGGAAAAAAATGATACGAAACCAGGTTTGAATTTTCTTCTCAAAAAAATTGTTTTCTCTTTTAAATTTTGTAAAAATTAAAAATTTTTCTTTTTCAGATATAAAGAGAGAGAAATCGCCCGAGAGAAAGGCGAAGAGAGAAAAATCCGAGGAAAAATCATCGCTCGAGAAAAAACCGAAGAGAGAAAAATCCGAGGAAAAAATAACGCCCGAGAAAAAGACGAAGAGAGAAAAATCCGAAGAAAAACCATCGCCTGAGAAAATAAAGGCAAAGAAAGAAAAATCCGAAGAAGATAAAACCCCCGAGAAAATAAAGGAGAAAAAAATAAAAAAGGAGAATGACGATATAAAAGTGGGAGTTAAACGTAAATCAACAAAAACTCCCAGTAAATTAGAAATCGATAAAACTGCCAAAAGTTCTACAAAAAAGGCAAAATTAGACGTGTCCAACGATATGTTTGAGGAAATAATCGAGAAGAAGAAACAAACTGCAGCTTTGTATCAACAATTTTTACATCGTGGCGGTGCTCGTAATCCGGGATCAAAAGAAATACCCGAAGGCGCCGATTTTTGTCTCGCTGGTAAAAGTTTCCTCGTGACTGGAGTTCTTGAATCCTTGGAACGCGAAGAGGCCGAGGAATTAATAAAAAAATACGGCGGTCGCCTACTTACTTCAATTTCACGTAAAACTGACTATGTGATACGTGGCGATCAACCAGGACCTTCGAAATTATCAAAAGCCGAAAGTTTAAAAATTCCAATAATCACCGAAGACGAATTATTGGATTTAATTCGTACCCGACCCGCCGGACGTGGCGATAAAGTTATACAGTCGCAAACAAAATCAAAGGAACGTGTGCGTGCAAAATCGCCTGAACCCGAGCCAATAAATCCCATTTCGCCGCCTAGGAAAAAGAATAAATTGAATGATTCGGAGAAATCTTCAGAGAAACCTGAGAAACCTTCAGAGAAACTTGAGAAATTTTCAGAGAAACCTGAGAAACTTTCGGAGAAATTTCCGCAAAGCGAGAATAAGGAGAAGAATAGTGAAAAATCGGAAAGTGGAAATAAATTGAATGGCGAGACGGTGAGTTTTTCGAGGACCGAAGCCCTTGTGGAGAAGTATCGTCCACAAACGATGAAGCAATTAATCGGTCAACAGGGCGACAAAAGTAATGCGAAAAAATTCCATTATTGGCTGAGTAATTGGTACAAGAATCGTAGTTCGAAAGTGAAACCCGCGAGGCCAACGCCTTATACGAAAAATGACGATGGAGCATTTTTCAAAGCCGCTCTACTCTCTGGTCCACCGGGAATTGGAAAAACAACGACTGTTTATGTTGTCACCAAGGAACTTGGTTACGATTTACTGGAATTCAATGCCTCCGACACGAGGAGTAAAAAATTGTTAAAAGATCATGTCACTGATTTACTTTCAAACACAACCGTCAAGGGTTACTTTACCGGTAATTTTATTTATGATAAAAATAATTAATTTGCTTTTTTTTAATTAAAAAAAATCTCGGACGTTAAAGATTATTTAACTAATTACAATTATTTATGATAAAAATAATTGCAATTATTTTATATATAAAAATAATTATTACAGTAATTTATAATAATTTTATTTTTCAATCGTATGAAAATATATAGCAGACGATAAAGCGGAGAAATCAACGAAAAAGCACATTCTTCTGATGGACGAAGTTGATGGAATGGCAGGAAATGAAGATCGCGGTGGTCTACAGGAATTAATTGCTCTAATTAAATCCACTGACATTCCAATAGTCTGCGTTTGTAACGATCGAAATAATCCAAAAATGCGAACATTGTCGAATTATACATTCGATCTTCGCTTCCCGAAACCGAGAATGGAACAAATCAAGGTAGACTTTCAAATATTTTGAAACTAAAACTAAAACCTGGAAATTGTACGATATAATTTTGGAAATTTTGAAAAATTTAGAAATGATTGCAGAAATTCAATTATTTTCAAAAGTAATAAAATTCTTTGCAAAAATTCAATTATATTCAAAAATTTTTTATAAATTCTCGTCAAAATTTCAATTATCTTTAGAAATATTAAAATTCTTCTCCGAAATTCAATTATTTTCAAAAAAATCTAAAAAACATTGTCAACATTTCAATTATCTTTATAAATAAATAGCAAAATTCTTCGACAAAATTCAATTATTTTCGAAAATTTTATTAAAATTCATTACAAAAATTTCAATTATTTTCATAATTAACAATATTTATCACACGAATTCAATTATTTTATAAAGTAATAAAATTCAATTATTTTCAAAAATTTTAATAATATCCATTGCAAAATTTCAATTATTTTTAAAAGGAATAATATTTTTCGCAAAAATTAAATTTTTTTCAATATCTACTATTTCCATAAAATTTGCCAAAAGAATTTAATTATTTAAAAAAAAAATTTAATAAAATTCTACGAAAACTTTTAATTATTTTCAAAAAAAAATAAAAATTTCAAAAGAATTTCATTAATAACAATTTTTTTTTATAAATTTCTTCGCAATCATTCAACTATTTTCATAAATAATAAAATTTTTACGGGGACTCAATTATTTTCGTAAATAATAAAATTAAATAAAATCTTTTTAGGAATTCAATTATTTTCAATAGATAATATAATCAATTATTTAAAAATTTGTTGATAAAATTTTTAATAGGAATTGAATTCCAAGAAACATTCAATTATTCAATAAATTATTTATTTTTGTTTTTAAATAATTGAATTTTATTATTTTACGAAAACATTTAAATTCTTGCGAAAAATTTTATTAAAATTTCTGAAAGTAATTGAAGATTTGCTAAAAATTTTGTTATTTTTAATTTATCCCAAGAATTTTATTAAAATTATTAAAAAATAATTGAATTCCTGTTAATTTTTTTACAAGAATTTAATTATTTTTGAAAATTTTAATAAAATTCTTCGCAAGAATTCAATTATTTTCATAAACAATAAAATTCAATGCAGAATTTTAATTATTTTTAATACAATTTTAATCGAATTTTGTCGAAAAATGTAATTATTATTAAAAATTTTATTAAAATTCGTTGATAGAATTCAATTATTTGAAAATTTGTTGATAACGATTTTTTATGGGAATTAAATTTTAAGAAACGTTCAATTATTCAATAAATTATTTATTTGCATTTTATTTTTATTTAAATAATTGAATTCTAGTAGAATTTTCTAATAAAAATTGATTTTCATTTCATAAAAATGAATTTCAGTTAAGATTTTAGATAATGATTGAATATTAAAAGCAATATAGCGTGAATTTCTAAAAAATAATTGAATTTTGTAATTAATTTTTTTGAAAAAGTTTAATTGAGTTTTTTTTAATATTATTTTTAGTTTCTATTTTCTAATATTTATATAATTAAGGAATTTACGAATAATTGAAATTTCGTAAAATTGAATATTGTAAAGAAATGAATTTGAAAATTGTCAAAGAACTTTTTCGAAAACTATTAAAAATAATCGATATAAAGAAGAATTTTAGATAAAAATTGTTAAAAATAATAATTGAATTGATAATGATTTTAATTATTATAAAAAATTTTTATTAATAATTATTATTAATTATTATAAAACATGAAGAAATCTATGACTTCGAGTCGAAGACTCGGAGTTATCGATTTCTTAATATTTTATAACAATTTTTTATAAGTTTAATTTCAAAAAGGTTTGAATTTGAATCTTTTGAAGAATTTTAATTCTTATGGAAAAATTATAATGACTAATTATTTAATTTTGTAAAATAGAAATGTATAGTTTTAAAAATATTATTTAAATTATTCGATTTGAAAATATTGAAAAATTTAAAATAATTATTTAAAAATTTAAAATAATGAAAAATAAAAAAGTAAAAATATTCAGATTATAGTTTTTTTTTCTGATTTCAGGGAGCGATGATGTCATTGTGCTACAAGGAAGGAATAAAAGTGAATTCAGAGGAAATGAGTCAATTGATTGAATCAACGAATCAGGATATTCGTCAAGTTATCAATCATTTAGCATTATTGGGAGCAAATATTGATAGTAATGATGAAAGTCACTCTAATAAGAAAGCAATAAATAAGGATATGAGACTTGGTCCATGGGATGTTGTTCGTAAAGTTTTCACTGAATCGGAACATAAAACAATGAGTATTCATGATAAAAGTGGTTTATTTTTCCACGATTACAGTATTTCTCCATTATTCGTTCAGGAAAATTATCTTTCCGTTGTTCCAAAGGCGCCGAAGTAAGTATTACGAACTTCTTTTTAATTATTATCAGAGATTTTTTTTTTTATTCTGAAAGAAAGACTTCGTGAAATTCAATTATTTTGAAAAATTAGCAAGCAAAAATTGTAAATTCTTAAATAATACAAATTATTCAGAATTTTAATCCACAATTTTTTTTTCGTTTTGTTATTTAGAAGCGAACTTTTGGACAGAGTGGCAAAAAGTGCTGAGAGTTTGTGTATGGGTGATATAATTGAAAAGTCAATTCGAAGTAATGGATCGTGGTCATTATTACCAACTCAGGCAATGTTTTCGTCTGTGATTCCCGGTTCTTTAATGTCCGGTTACATGACAGGTGCAATTAATTTTCCAGCCTGGCTTGGTAGAAATTCGAAACGTAATAAAATGGATAGGTGAGTTTTATTCTATTTTTATAATTTTTTTTGAAAATAAAATTTAGATTTGAAAAATGTTGCAAAAAGAGAATAATTTTTTTTCTTTATAGATTATTACAAGAGATCACGGTTCACGCTCGCACAACGACAGGAGCTAGTAAAGAGGCGATAAATTTGGATTATTTGCCACAATTGCGAGATGCCATCACGAGACCTTTAATTTCAGAAGACGTTGATACTTCTATCGATGTTATGAATCAGTATCACTTAACAAGGTTTCGTTTTAGTTCTTTTTTCTACTATTTTTCCTTTTTTTACTCTTTTCTATTTTATTTTTTGCTTTCTTTACTTTTTACGAATTTTATTTACTTTTTATGTTCTTTGTTTTTTGCTTTTTTATTTTTATTTGAAATATTTTTACTTTCTTTATCTTTTGCTTTCTGTATTTTTTACTTTTATTATTTTTTTACGAAAATTATTTATTGTTTTAAATTTTTTCCTTCTTTATTTTTTACTTTCTTTATTTTTCACTTTTTTACTTCATTTGTTTACATAAATTTAATTTTTTGTTACCATCTATTAGCTTCGTTAATTTAATTATTATTAAATTTTATTAAAGTATTTAATTAATTCTCTTTTCTGATCTTTTTTATCGTCTCATTTTAGGGATGATTTCGATTCAATATTAGAAGTTTCTCTATGGCCTGGAAATCGAAATCCGATGCAGTTCATTGAAACAAAGGTTCGATGATATTTTTTAACTTTATACAAATATTTAAATTTAGAAAAGATTTTTTATAAATTTCCTGTATTAAAATATCTCTCTTATAAAAATCTAATTTAATTAGGTAAAATCGGCATTTACACGAGCTTACAATAAAAATGCCGCAACTGCAGCTTACGCTTTGAATGCGACTGTCAGCAAAAAGAAGAAAACGACAGCTTCACAGGAAGATGAAATGGAAGGTTTAGAGGATGAGGAAGCCGTCGATTCCGGAGATGAAGATGACGATATTGATGTTTCGAAATTGATGAAGGTAATAACTTTCCTTAGAATAATTTTAATCGTTTCACTCTTTTTTCGATAGTTAATTTTTTTTTTTTTTTTTTTGAAAAAGAATAATAAATAAAATCAAAAAATAAATAAAATAGAAAAATAAATAAAAAAGAAAAATAAATAAAATAGAAAAATAAATAAAAAAGAAAAATAAATAAAATAGAAAAATAAATAATACAGAAAGATAAATAAAATAAAAAAATAAATAATAACAAAAAAAAATTACAGACTAAAAAAGCAGCAGCAAGTAAGAAAGGTTCGTCAAAAGATGATGAGAAACCGTCGACGAGTAAGAAAAGTTCAAAAACTGATGATAAACCAAAAAGAGGAAGAGGTCGAGCAAAGGCACAATAGAAAATTTTCGATGAAGTTTGTACAAAAAGAAAATATTTTCATTTTTTTATCTGCCTGTTTTTGACAAAAAATGAATATATACATTTATTTATATTTTTCAATTTTTTTTTGCATCTTATTTTTGTTCTATTCTTCTAAATAATAGGATAATTATTTTTTTTTTATAATTCTGTTTACAAATTATTTTTGATTCTATTATTATCATTTTCAAACAATCATCAACGTCATCAACGTCTATTTATTTAATATGCAGAAATTGTGATAAATTACTGTAATCGATTTTTTGTTCTAAATAATAATTGTATTTTTGAAGAAAACAAGATTTATTCTAATTAATTTTTAAATATCGGTTTAAAATTTAGCAATTTGACAAATTTTTTTAATACTTTGAGTAAAAATTATAAAATTCTTTTTAGAAATTCAATTATTTTCGTGAATAATAAAATTTTACGTAAGAATTCAATTATTTTGATAGAATTTAAATAGAATTTCTGAAAAAAATTCAATTTTTCCATAAATAATGAAATTCTATGAAAAAATTCAATTATTTTTTTAAATTTTTATAAAATTCTTCGAAACAATTCATTTATTTCCAACCATAAATAATAAAATTCTTGGAAAATTTTCAATTATTTTCAATAATTTTAATAAAATTTTAAAATTGTTTAATAAAATTCTCAAAAGAATTCAATTATTTTAATAAGTAATAAAAATTCTTTTTAGGAATTGAATTATTTTCATAAATAATAAAATTCTTCTCAGAAATTTAATTATTTTCATAATTAATCAAATTTTTCTCAGAAATTCAATTATTTTCATAAATAATAAAATTTTTTTCAGCAATTAAAATTCGTCAAAATAATTCAATTATTTAAAAATTTGCCATGATAAAATTCTGTACGAGAATTTAATTTTAAGAAACATTCAATTATTTAATTAATTATTTATTTTAGTATTTTTCTATTAAAATAATTGAATTCTCACAGAATTTTCTAATAAAAAAAAGAAGACGATAAAACTTCTCTCTCACACACATTGAGACTATTCAAAACTGTGTACACACCTTTATTTACTACCAACCACACTGACTATAGAAATCACTGCTACCAATAGTGTCAACCCTTTTTTTATTGTTGCGCGCGCTTCTATTGTAATATTCACAGTTCTTTATGTTTCCTAATTTTTGTTTCATGTTATTATTTTTTTCCGCCATCTGACCTCTGTGTAATTTTACCCAACAAAAAAAAATGCACCTTTAAACAAAAAGCAAAAATGATTCTTTACAACTAATTGTTGTTGTTCTTTTTTATAAAAAATACTGTGTGCCAATTTCGCCAATAAACACTTTGACATCTCACGGTAAAATTATTATTATTGTGTGCTTTAAAAGTCATAAAAACCGCATCATCGCAGAAGGTTTCGAAGTTTGCTATTGCCAATCAGCTGTTTTCAAGATCCACGATCTCTCTTAAAAAAAGTGTGCAATTTTCAAAGAGAATTTATTTTTAGTGTGGTGCAATGGTGCGCGTGTCTTTGTTAAATCGTCGCTTTGTCGATAAATGCCGTTTGCCTTTTTATTTTTTCTAAATAATAATTAGAGAGAAAATATTCCTCTTTAGTCTTCCATTAAACGAAAAAGAAGTTTTTTTTTAAATCGTAAACTCCCGAGAGGATATTTTTGTCCTGTCTCCAGATTTTTGCAGATTTTCGCCGATTTTCTCCCAATTAAATCAGGAACAATGCAAAGAACAAAAGCCAGTATTTTTCATGATATTTATAATCAACCTTACAATGATTGCACGAAAGTTAAACTCTACTCGAGTACAAAAGGTAAAAAACAAAAAAAAATTAATATAAAAAATAGAGTATCAAAAATAAAAATTATTTTACAAAATTTGTCATATTTTACTCTTTAACTATTTAGAGATAATTTTTTTTTACTTAATTTGTGTAATTTATTTTTAAAATAGCGAGTCTTCAAATGATTCAACGAATGTCATTGCTGAAGAGATTAAAGGTCCACGATGGTTGTGTTAATTCAATTTGCTGGAATAGTACCGGAGATTTAATTTTATCTGGAAGTGATGATCAGCATTTGGTACTCACGAATGCTTATACTTATCAGGTATAATTTTTCAACCTTAAAATAACTGATTTTCATTCATTTATCCGCACTTTTTAATTTACGAAAAATATTAGAAGAAAAAGAAATATTAAAAAAAGAAGAAAGATTCTATTTAAGAAAATAGAAATAAATTTTTGTTGATAACTAATTTCTCATCATCATCATCATCATCGATCCTAAAAAATTCGTGTCATTCTCATAAGCTCTGAAGTTTAATTTTCAACCGGTTATAAACTTTGATATCACGTGAGACAGTTATTTTTATACTCCTGATGTTCAAGGCTTACTCGTTAAAATAGTAGAGCAAAAATGATGATTGGTCATGCCAAGTAGGATTTATCTTTAATTTTTAATCTTCAATTTTCTCTTATTTCAATTTCCTTTTCTTATTTCGATTTTTATTTATTATTTAAGTATCACTCGAGATAAAATATTCAAAAAAAAAAAACACTTTCAGTATAATAGCAAATTAAATAATTTGCTGAAAGTACTTTTTTCGTCATTCAATTTTGGAAAAGTTTTATTAAACATTTAGGTACAATTTTGAAGTAGAAGAAAGATTATTTTTAGAATATACAATTTTTCTTAAATAATTTTTGTAAAAAGGGAAGATATTTATTAAAAACTTGGAAATAATTTCTATTCAAGTCGATAAAATTTGGAGAAACTTTTATCGAATTGAATAGAAATTAAAAAAATAAGTTTCAATGAACCTTCTTGAAGGAATTTATTGTTTCCGTCAATTTTTGTTTGCACTTGTCAAGGTTTAACATTGGCATATATATTTAAAAATGCAATGTCTTTGCCAAAGAGATCAAAACCTCTGCACGTGTTTCTATTCGCTCTACTTTGAGAGTTGATTGTTGTAATCTCCATTGTCTTTATAATTATTCATAAAATTGGGAACAAAATTTTCGTGAAATTCAAACAATTTTCTTAACAATATTTTTTAATTATTTTTTTAAATATAAAATCATTAATTGATTCAAAAGAATTTTTGAGACTAGTTTCAATTTTAGAAAATTTCTAATTGAATTCATTTCAAGAATTTGATCACAACATTTTTTTCAATAATTGAATTCTTTCGAGAAAATGTAATTAAAATCGTATTGAAAATAACTTAATCAAGGTTGCGAAAGGTCAGGGAAATCAGGGAAAAGTCAGGGATTTTTATTAAAAGTACTGGAAAAAATTAAATTTTTAGAATTTATAAGAAAATTCTGAATTTTAGTCTTTTTTGTTTGCCTCAAACTATGAAATTGTCAAGAATTCTAATACGAAACCATCAATTTTTTCTATTTCTGACAATAATTTATTTTTAAATAACTTAATTCTTCAAGAACTATCATAAAATTATTAAACTTAGAAATTATTTCAATTATTTTTAATATCTACTATTTTAATAACATTTTCCAAAAGAATTCAATTATTTAAACAAAATTTTAATAAAAATTTCACAGGAATTCAATTATTTACCAATTTTTTTTATAAATTTCTTCGAACCAATTAAATTATTTTTAATTTCTTAATGAAATTTCTCAAAAAAATTCAAATATATTTAGAGAATTTTAAAAAAAAATAGTTTTGAGAAATTCAATTATTTCTAAAAATTTAAATAATATTCTTTTAAAAATTCTATTATTTAAACAAATTTTGACAAAATTCTTTACAAGATTTAGTTAATAAAATTTTTCATACAATTCTTTATAAAAATTCAATTATTTTCACAAATAATACATTTTTTATGGGAATTGAATTATTTAAAAAAATTTGAATAAAATTCTTCGCAAGAAAACAATTATTTTCGTGAAATATAACATTCTTCCTTGGAATATAATTATTGTCAAAATTGTTTGTAAAAATCTTCGAAACAATTCAATTATTTTCGTAAAGAATAAAATTCTTCGGAGCAATTTAATTATTTAAGAAATTTTAATAAAATTCTTCCCAAGAATTCAATTCTTTTCAAAAATAAACATTTTCACAGGAATTCAATTTATTTAAAAAAAAATTTAATAAAATTCTTCGTCAGATTTCAATTATTTTCAATATTTTAATGGAATTTCTCGATGGAATTTAATTTTCTTTTTTTTTAAAAGTTTTGAAAAATTCTGAGAAATTCAATTATTATTTTAAAGAAGTTTGAATAAAATTTTTCACAAGAAATTAATTATTGTCATAAATAATAATTTATTTTTCTCCGGAATTCAATTATTTTCATAAATAAAATTCTGCCCAGGAATTCAATTCTTTAAAAAATTTTTTAATAAAATTCGTTGCAAGAATTCAATTATTTTTATAAATAACAAAAGCTTATCGTAGAATTGCAATTATTTTTTATACAATTTTAAATGAAATGATAGAAAATTGCATTTATTCTTAAATTTTTTTTTTAAATTCGCCGAATGAATTCAATTATTTTTAAATAAATTTAAATATTTAAATTATTTATAGAAAATTAAATTCTTTTAAACAAATTTTATTAGAGTTTTTGTAAATAATGACGTGAGGGATTTTTCCTCACTTTTAATTTTTTGATCGATCCGGAAAAATGAGCGACCTTACGGTATTTTCACCGTAGGTGGCGCCTGTTCTCGGCCACTTACCGGTAAAGCTACGCAATTTTCCATATTAATTACATGAAGTGCTGTGTGGTGCGCATACGCGATTCGTGCGAATATGACTTCGCTCAGTGCGTAGATATAAGCGGATCACCGAGAAATGTACTTCGACAACCGTACCCGACCTCTCATTGCCTGGAGGGGGAGGTACCGGTTCGAGCTAAGAAATAAAAGCAAACTTGAAATCACACAAGCTAGCTTAATTTTTCTCCTATACCCATTTTCCTATCTTCCATGCTACGAGCCTCGACTAGCAGCCAGACGGAGAAGGAAGGAAGGAGAGAAGGATGGAAGCTATTCCCCAGCCGCCTTGGGTCCCCCACCGCCTGCCAATTCTCTCCTAACCACGATGTCAGCTCAAAGGCCCCCATCGTCCGCCTCACTGCCACGTACCCCCCCCCCCCCGCTCAACGTCGATACCAAAATTCAACCTGCATCGCAGCACCGAGGGTTGCATTGGTTCCCCATGCAGTTCCCCATAAGGGTTAAATTTTCATTCCCCTAAATTCTCGCGGGTCAACCGGCCACTCTTAAAATACTAAAAATTCAATCTACCCTTTTAAAAGTTTCGCAGCACTCTTCTGTGAACAAATTTGACGAGAATTTCCCTACCCGTAAAAAAGGGAAATTCGCCCATGTCAATAATTACATTTTTTTTTGAAGAATTTCATTCAATTTCGTAAAAATATTGTAATTTTTTGAAAATAATTTTAATTAACAATTTTGAAAATAATTGAAATTTACAAGGAATTTTATTAGAAACTTTTGAGAACAATTGAATTGTTTAGAAAAATTTTATTACAATTTTAAAAAATTATTGAACCTGTTAGAAAAAATTTCATTAAAATTATCTTGATTATAATTGAATTTTGTCCTAAAAACTTAATTAAAATTTTATTAAAAATAATTGAATTTCTAAAAAGAATTTTATTTATAAAAATAATTGAATTCTTGACAATAATTTTACAATTTATAAAAATAATTGAATTGTTTCAAAGAATCTTTTATCAGAATTGTTGAAAATAATTGAATTTTGATTAAAACTGTTAAAAATAATTGAATTTAAATAATACTTTTAAAAATAATTGAATTTTCTCGAAAAATATTATTAAAATGTTTTTTTTAAATTGAATTCTTTCAACAAATTTTATTAAAAATTGCATTAAAAATAATTGAATTTTTGCAAAGATTTTTACTGTATTTATAAAAATAATTGAATTCTTGCCAATAATTTTACAATTTATAAAAATAATTGAATTGTTTTAAAGAATCTTTTATCAGAATTGTTGAAAATAATTGAATTTTCATTAAAACTGTTAAAAATAATTCAATTTAAATAATACTTTTAAAAATAATTGAATTTTCTCGAGAAATATTATTAAAATGTTTTTTTTTGAAAATTGAATTCTTTCAACAAATTTTATTAAAATTGCATTAAAAATAATTGAATTTTTGCAAAGATTTTTACTGTATTTATAAAAATAATTGAATTGTTTCAAAAAATTTATTAAAATTTTGTTGAAAATAATTGAAATTGCAAAGATTTTACTATTTAAAAAAATAATTGAATTGTTTGGAAGGATTTATATTAAAATTTTATTGAAAATAATTGGATTTGTGGAAAAATTGTACTATTTATAAAAATAATTGAATTCTTCCGAAGGATATTATTTATGAAAATAAGTGAATTTTGTAAATTTTGATTATGAAATTATTCTAAAATTTATACCTATTTGAAAATAGAAAAATTGTAATTTGCATAATAATAATAACTATTAATTATTCGATGTTGTAGTTTTAGTTGTGACCAAAATTGTTAATTTATATTAATTGACGTTTTATTTTTTTATTGCAGTTTTTTTTTATTTCTTTGATGAAACCAAAGGAATAAATGAAACTACAATAAAAATTAAAACATTATTTATTGTAATATTTAATAATGTTTAATAATCTATTGGAAAATTAAAATTGAAAATTATTTCTTCCCACAGGTATTAATAAACCATAAAACTAGCCATAGAGCAAATATTTTTAGCGCTAAATTTTTGCCTAATAGTGATCATCGAGTTGTATCGTGTAGTGGTGATGGAATTATTCTCTTTACAGGTAAAAATTCATTTTTTCAAGAAACATTTAAATTTTTAAAAAAACGATGTTTTATGTTTAGAATAAAAATTTATTTAAATTTGTCTTTTTTTTAAAATAGATTTACTGAGGTGGACCGGAACATTTCATAATCAATTTAATTGTCATAGCGGCACTACCTACGAAATTGCAACAATACCCGGTGAACCACACAATTTTTTGAGTTGCGGAGAAGATGGAACTGTGAGATGGTTCGATCTTCGGATAAAAGACAAATGTAACGAGCCAAGGTGTAAAGAGGTATTTTTTCAAATATTTTAATTTTTAATTTTAGTGAATTCGAATTAATTTGAATTGACTAAATTCAATATATAAAAATTCTTCGAAAATATTCAATTATTTCCATAAATAATAATATTCTTCTCAGAAATTCAATTATTTTCATGAATAATACAATTCTTCTTAGGAATTTAATTATTTCCAATAAATAATAAATTTATCATAAATAATAAAATTCTTCTTAAAAAATCAATTATTTTCATAGAATTTAAAAAAAAAGTATTTATAGAATTTAATTATTTTATAAATATTATTTTGAAATTTTGGATAATTTTCTTTTTAAGAATTCAATTTATTTCTGACTTTAAATTATAAAAGAAAGATTTGTAATTAAAAATAATTTGGTTTAATTAATTTTTGCTATTTTTTAATCTTCAAAGCATTAAATTAGAATTTCATTACTTTTAAAATTCAAAACATTAAAATGAATAAATATAAAAAATATTTGGGAAATAAAAAGCAAACGAATTCAACTAAATTCAAGTTTAAAATTAATTAATTAATTAATTTATTCATTTAAAATTACAAATTTAAAAACGAGAAAAATTTTTAACAGGATGTTCTCATTTCTTGCCAACGGGCTGTGACTGCTTTGTCTGTTAATCCAGTTATGCTTCACCAAATTGCAATTGGTTGTTCAGATAGTACAGTCAGAACTTTTGATAGAAGAATGTTGAGTACACATGCGACTGGTAAGAAATTTTTTTTTTTAATCTAAATCCTCTTTTCTGATTCTAGTATATAAATATAATAATTTCTATGATTTAACTATGGAATTACAATTTTTCAGGTTCCACAGATAATGGAATGGGATCAAGTCCATTAAGCAGTTTCACTGTGCCTGAATTTGATGGAAATTCATATAGAATAACATCTTTAAGCTACAGTCCAGATGGCCAAGACGTTCTTGTTAGTTATAGCAGTGATCATCTTTATTTATTCAGTGTAAAGGTAAATTTTTTACAAATTCTTCCATTTCTTTTCTTTTTTTTTTTTAAATAAAAACTTTGAAATAATTACAAAAAAATCCAATAAAAAATAGTCAAAAAAAATTAATTCTACAAAATTGTTAGTTAAAAAGATGAAAAATTCAAATTTTCAAAGATTTAAATTTGAAACATTTTAAAAAATTCAATTATTTCTAAAAAATTGGCGTTATAATGCTTTTAATATTTAATTATTACCTAAAATTTTAACAGAAATTAATTTTTATATCGATTTTTATTTAGAAAATTCAACGAGAATTGAATTATTTAAATAGAACAATAAATAATTTATTGAATAATTCAATGTTTCTTAAAATTGAATTCTCATAAAGAATTTTAACATGGCAAATTTTTAAATAATTGAATAATTTTGACGAATTTTAATAAATATTTTAAGAATAATCACATTTTTCAAGGTATAACTATTAAAATTGTATTAAAAATAATTAAAATTCTGCGATGAATTTTATTATTTATCGAAAAATTGAATTTTTAAAGAAATTCTTCTAACATTCATTTTAAAATAATTGAATTCTTGCAAAAATTTTGTTTATGGAAAATAATTATTTTATTAATGAAAAGAACTTTTGTTTAAATTTTTCTAAATAATTGTAATCTTATTCTAAAAACTTTATTATTTATGAAAATAATTGAATTCATTTTGCGGATTTTGTGAAAATATTTTTTAAGAATTTTATTATTTATCGAAAAATTTTATCTTAATTATGGAAATAAATTGAAATCCTAAGAAGAATTCTATTATTTATAAAAATAATAATTGAATTCCTGAAACAAACTTTATTATTTATCGAAAAATTTAATTTTTTCAAGAAATTTTAATTAATTAATTTTAAAATAATTGAATTCTTATACTAAATTATATTTTATCATTTATGGAGATCCATAAATGTCTGTGAAGATATTTAGGTATTATTTATGGAATTAATTGAATTTTTTTTATTATTTTTGAAAAAAAATAAATTTTTACAATAATTCTATTAAAATTCATTTTAAAATAATTTAATTCATCCAAAGAATTTTATCATTTATGGAAATTATTGAATTCCAGAGAAGAATTTTATTCAAATTTTTCAAAATAATTGAAATCATGCCAAAAATTTTTATTATTTATGAAATTAATTGAATTCTTTTTGAATTTTATTATTTATAGTAATAATTGAATTCTTTTTAACAGAATTTCTTTTGAGAATTTTTGGGAAGAATTTTATTGTTTTTTGGAAAAATTGAATTTTTTAAATAAATTCTATTAAAGTTTCTTTAAAAATAATTGAATTCTTGCGACAAATTTTATCATTTATGGAAATAATTGAAATCCTGAAAAGAATTTTTATTATTTGTTGAAATAATTCATTTCTTACGAAGAATTTTATTATTCATGAAAATAATTTAATTCTTTTTAAGAATTTTATTAAAATTTTTAAATTTAATTGAAAGTTTTCAAAGAATTTTATTATTTATGAAAATAATTTAAATTTTTCGAAAAATTTTATTATTTATGGAAAAAATAGAATGTTTTTTCGAAATTGTATTCAAAATTATTGAAATCTTACAAAAAATTTTATAATTTATGAAAATAATCAATTTATTGCGAAGAAATTTATTTAAAAATTTGTAAATAATCGAATTCCTGGGAAATTTTTACTATTTATGAAAATAATTAAATGTTTGTGTAGAATTTTATTAAGAATTTTTTTTTTCAATAATTGTATTCTTTTGAAAAATTTTATTAATATAGGTATTGAAAATTATTGAATTGAGGGAAATTTTTGAGATATAATTGAAATTTTTGACAAGAATTTTAAAATAATTTTTCGAAAATAATTGAATTTCCGAGCATTATTTTATTATTTTTATGAATAAAATGATTTTAGGATCAGGGAAGTGTACATTTCAAGAAAAATATGTCCCATGGGAAGAGTAAAGGATTAAAACATCCCTTGAGATCACCACAACCAGTTCGACGATTAAGATTGCGTGGAGATTGGTCTGATACTGGACCAGATGCCCGTCCTGAGCGAGAAGGTGGTCGACGTAATGGACCAGGTATCATGATCGATAAAGAATTAAGAACAGAGAAAAAATTGAATTAAAAAATAGAAAATAAACAAAAAAAATAAATAAATAAAGAATAAAATAAATAAATAAAATAAATATTTGAAATTAAATTTTATTTTCTTTACAGAAATTGCACAAGCCAGACCCGTTCTGCACACGTCCTTAATGCAGAGAATGACTGACGTTCTCAGTAGAATGCTCAACGATCCAGCAACAAGGGCCGCCTTAAGTGGAGGCGGTGAGGACAGTTTAGAAGGCGTTATGGAGCAGCACGTCGAGAATAATCAGAACAGTACGGAAGGAAATTCGGAACTTAATGTCGCGGTAGGCGGCAGTGAGAGCGAAAGAGTCGAACACGAAATTTCTGATAATAATGAAAATCAAAGTGAAAATCCACCTGGCCAGGAATCTCTAGTCGATAGAGAGAGGGACTTGACAATAGTAGAACCAGTTGAAACGCAAACGCCTCTCGAAGCAAAAGCAACGACGAGTGAAAATTTAAGTGATAAAGTAAATAATTTAGGGGAGGTGAGTCCAACACGTGAGGAGTCTACTGCTTCGTCAAGCGCCGAGTCCACTACTGGCAGTCGGGTCAGTTTTAATGAAACAGTTGCTCCCATGGAAACTGAATCTAGTCACGCCGAAGAGCAATGTTGTCTTCAATCATTCATAACGAATAAACGTCGAATGAGTCAGCTTTCAACATTAAGCGAGCACAGCGCGGATGTTGGAACTAGTCACGAAGGAAGTATTATGGAAAATCTTCAAGATCGATTGACAACAATGAGAGACGGATTTCTCGAGAGGTAAATTTAGAATCAATTTGATTAAATACTAAAATTAAAAAAAATACTAAAATTGATCAATCTTTCAATATTTTTATTTTTTTTATTCAAGGCACGGCAGTGAACCCGCAGTAAGTTTAACTTATTCAGATAAAAGTTCAACGAACGCGACGATTTCTCTTGGAGTCGCAGACGAAGTCACACGTGACGCTTATCATCCAGGTAATTTAGAAAATTTGGTAATTAATTTAAAAAATTTTCTCAAATAAATTTATTTATTTATTTTTACAGAACCATCTGCGAGTGGAAATAGTAGGATGCAACTAAGCGATGCTGGACCAAGTTGTTCGCATGTCAGTCAATCAAATTTTAGTGATATTCGTGAAAGTGAGTCAATTTTTTATTTTCTCTAAGTTGAGACTAATCGAGACACAATGTTTTCATTTATATAATTTTATTTCCAAAACGTAATTTATTTAAATAATTTCTATATTCTGGAAATGTGTTCGAAATTTGAATTCAATTGATTTCGTTCGCTTCTTGTTTCCTATTTTTTTTTTTTTGATAACTTTTCTTCTTAATGTTTTGAATTTTAAAAGTAAGAAAATTTTAATTATTAATTTTAATTTCTCGCGTAATTTCGACTGATACTTATTATTCTTCGATTATTGCAGGAACAGATGAAGATGTTTATAATGACAGTGACGACGAAGAAATGGAATCGAAGCGAAGGTGAATAATTTATTCCACAGTTAATGAATTTCCAAAACGATTTCATATTAATCGAAAAATAAATTAATACCTAGGAAAATAATTTTAACTATTTAATAGAAAATTATTTTCAATTAAATTTATTAATATGTCAGACTTGATAGTGCTATTGAAGTCGAAATGGATGAGGCGATCGCTAATGCCCGAGCATCTCAGGATGAGGAACCTTTTGATGAATCCTACATAACGGAACTTCACGTCAAGCAAAAATACATGGGACACCGTAATGCGAGGTACAAATTTCTTTTCTACCCTCTCATATTTTTTTTTTTTTATTAACCCAGCATTCTTTTCATAGCTATTTACAGAAGATTAGTAAAAAAATCTGGCAAAAAAAAAACAAATAATAATTGATCTTAAATTTCATAATTAAAATAAGTTTTGGAATTGAATTATTTTAGAATTAGATGGAATTTTGCTGTTCAAGTCAACGTCCATGTGATTGTCCTGTTAACAAAGTTAGCGAAAGAGAATCATTGAAAAATAATAAATAAATAGGGATCACAGAACTTTTTCTTCTTGAAAAATCAAATTCTAATCGATTTCAATGTTCCAGGGCTCGAAGTAGGTCCGTAAATCCTGAAACAGTCCGTAACTTTGCTTCAAGTCCGTAAAAGTCCGTTTTTTTGAAAAAAGGTCCGTAAAGTCTGTAATTTCATTCAAAAAGGATGAAATATTCGTAAATTGTACGATATAATTTTGAGAATTTTAGAGAAATTACAAATGATTGCAGAAATTCAATTATTTTTAAAAGTAATAAAATTCATCGCAAAAATTCAATTATGTTCAAAATTTTTTTTAAATTCTCGGCAAAATTTCAATTATCTTTAGAAATATTAAAATACAATCCGAAATTCAATTATTTTCAAAAAAATCTAAAAAACATTGTCAACTTCTCAATTATCTTTAAAAAATAAATAGCAAAATTCTTCGACAAAATTCAATTATTTTCAAAAATTTTATTAAAATTCATTAAAAAATTTCAATTATTTTCATAATTAACAATATTTATCACACGAATTCAATTATTTTCTAAAGTAATAAAATTCAATTATTTTAAAAAAATTTAATAAAATCCATTGCAAAATTTCAATTATTTTCAAAAGTAATAATATTCTTCGCAAAAATTAAATATTGTTCAATATCTACTATTTTCATAAAATTTACCAAAAGAATTTAATTATTTAAAAAAAAATTTAATAAAATTCTACAAAAACTTTTATTTATTTTCAAAAAATAATAAAAATTTCACAACAATTTCATTAATAACAAATTTTTTTTTATAAATTTCTTCGCAATCATTCAACTATTTTCATAATTAATAAAATTTTTACCGGGATTCAATTATTTTCGTAAATAATAAAATTAAATAAAATCTTTTTAGGAATTCAATTATTTTCAATTGAATTTTAATCGAATTCCTCGAAAAAATTCTTAAAAATTTTATTAAAATTCGTCCAAAGAATTTAATTATTTAAAAATTTGTTGATAAAATTTTTAATAGGAATTGAATTCCAAGAAACATTCAATTATTCAATAAATTATTTATTTTTGTTTTTAAATAATTGAATTCCGGTAAAATTTTCTCATAAACTTTGATTTTGAAAATAGATTTCAGTTAAAATATTAGATTATAATAATTGAATTCTTTCGAAGAATTTCATTAAAATTTTTAAAATAATTGAATTTTATTGAGACATTTTTTTAAAATTGTCTTAAAAATAATTGAATTTCTACCAAAGAAAGTTTTATCAAAACTTTTTAAAATGTTTGAATTTCTACTAAAATTCTGATATTTTTGAAGATAATTGAATTCTTGCGAAGAATTTTATTAAGACTTTTGAAAATAATTGAATCTCTGCAAAGATTTTTATTATTTTACGAAAATATTTAAATTCTTGCGAAAAATTTTATTAAAATTTCTGAAAGTAATTAAAGATTTGCTAAGAATTTTGTTATTTTTAATTTATGCCAACAATTTTATTAAAATTTTTAAAAATAATTGAATTCCTGTTAATTGTTTACAAGAATTTAATTATTTTTGAAAATTTTAATAAAATTCTTCGCGAAGAATTCAATTATTTTCATAAATAATAAAATTCAATGCAGAATTTCAATTATTTTTAATACAATTTTAATCGAATTTTGTCGAAAAATGTAATTATTTATTAAAAATTTTATTAAAATTCGTTGATAGAATTAAATTATTTTCGAAAATTTGTTGATAACGATTTTTTATGGGAATTGAATTTTAAGAAATGTTCAATTATTCAATAAATTATTTATTTGCATTTTATTTGTATTTAAATAATTGAATTTTCGTAGAATTTTCTAATAAAAATTTATTTTTATTTCATAAAAGTGAATTTCAGTTAAAATTTTAGATAATAATTGAATATTAAAAGCAATATAGCGTGAATTTTGAAAAATAATTGAATTTTGTAATTAATTTTTTTGAATAAGTTTAATTGAGTTTTTTTAATATTATTTTTAGTTTCTATTTTCTAATATTTATTTAATTAAAGAATTTACGAATAATTGAAATTTCGTAAAATTGAATATTGTAAAGAAATGAATTTGAAAATTGTCAAAGAACTTTTTCGATAATTATTAAAAATATTCGATATAAAGAAGAATTTTATATAAAAATTGTTAAAAATAATAATTGAATTGATAATGATTTTAATTATTATAAATTATTTTTATTAATAATTATTATTAATTATTATAAAACATGAAGAAATCGATGACTTCGAGTCGAAGACTCGGAGTTATCGATTATGAAAAATTGAATTTCTATAGTTTTAAGTAAAATGTTCTCTTATCTGATTCGGCCTGAATTTATTTTTGTCAGTTGGTCCGTAATTTTTTATTTTTGGTCCGTAAAGTCCGTATTTTTAAATACTTTCACTGCTTCGAGCCCTGATTGTTCGAAAAGGTGAAACTTAATTATTTTTAATTTTTGTATTCACAATTTATAAATAACTATAAAATTAATGTAACAGAAAAGTTGGAAAATAATTAACTTGAAAAAAGAATCTGTAGTAGTTTCTGTGATTCCTGCGAAAAGATCCGTTTCATTTGAAAATTAATGAAATTACAAAATTTCCAAATAAAACGAATCTTGATAAATGTTCATCATTGTCATTTTAGTTTGAATACTTCAATTTTAACAGCACTGGATTCATTTTTAGAAGCATTTATGAAGTGGCGAAACATTTTAGAGAATTTTATGTATAGTTGTTATCTACGACTGAACGCGACAATGTCGGCGAGATTCATTTGTATTTTTCTTGTTTTGTCTCGAGAGTAAATATTTGTTCAAAGTAAAAAAAAAAAAAGAACATACATTAAAAAACAAAAAGTCCCGAAAAAGCCTCCGAGCGGACTGGGCTAATTTAGAGTCAGTCCAACGAAATTTCTCATCTTCTGCCTTCCCCTCGTTTCACTCTAGTTTCTTTAGGACTATGATAAAGGAAGCAAATTTCTGGGGCGACGATTACGTGATGTCTGGAAGCGATTGTGGACACGTCTTTGTCTGGGATAGAGAAACGGCAAAACTTTGTATGTTACTCGAGGCCGATCAGCATGTCGTCAATTGTCTGCAGCCACATCCTTTTCTTCCAATGCTCGCCACTTCTGGAATTGATTACGATGTCAAACTCTGGGCTCCCATTAATGCTGAGACAAATTTCGATGAAACTTTTGCAGACGACGTGAGTATAATCGATTGAATTTCATTTTATTTATTTATTTCTTTATTTTTGGTCATTTTTCAGATAAATAAAATAATAAAGTAAATAAGATAAAGACAGATATTTTTAATTGTTTTTAAATTAATTAATATCCGTTTCTTTGTAGTTGAAGAAAAGAAATGCAGTTATGTTGGAAGAAACCAAAGATACAATTACAGTTCCTGCTGTATTTATGATAAGAATGTTAGCGTGTTTGAATCAAATACGCAGAGGTAAGTTTTATTATTTAAAAGAATAATTTGGTATGTTTTTAGGACTTTAATTTTTTGTCGAATTTTATTATTTATGGAAAAATGGATTTTTTTTTAGAAATACTGTTAAAATGCTTGTATAGAATTTAAAATACTAGAATTTTTATTATTTTAGGAAATAATTAAATTGTTTGAGAAGAGTTTTATTATTTATAGAAGTAATTGAATATTCTTAAGAAATTCTATTAAAATTATTTTCATAAAACAATTTTCTTTCGGAAAATTTTATCATTTATAGAAATAATTTAATTTCCAAGAAGAATTTTTTATTTATAGAATTAATTGAATTTCTTAGAAGAGTTTTATTAATTGTTGTTAATAATTGAATTGCTGAGGAGAATTTTATTATTTATGGAAATAATTGATTTCTTTTGAGAATTTTATCAAAATTCAATTTAAAATAATTAAATTTAATGGAAGAATTTTATTAAAAAATTTTTGAAAATAATGTTGATGTTTAAAAAGTAAAATACTAAATAATAAATATAGAAAAAATTAATTCTTTAAATATAATAATTTAATATATTATTTACAGGACGTGGCCGCAGAAGCAGAAGTAGCGATGAGACAGACGAAATGCGAGGCGGTTAATGATTTCTCTTTCATTAACCAAAACATTGTTTGATAGCTATTTATACATTGTCTCATTCGAAGGACTCACACACACACATACACTCGTTAAGAATGAAAAAAAAAATCCCCTACTTTTTAAAATGCTCAACAAGAATTTTTTAAAGTCTTCATGAACATGCATATATAAATAGTTTTAGATAGAAAAACGCCTATATTTTGTAATATTTAATCGAATGAAATTTAAATATTCAGCTTGGAATTGTTTTCATATCCAGAGAGAGAGAGGATAGTAGATTTTTTTCTATAGACAGTAGATTCTGTTTTTTCAATTCTACTGCTTAAATTTAACAAAAAAAAAAGAATTTCTTATAAAAGAAAAACATATTTTTAAAAAAGTGAGATTTTACTTTCTCGTATATATTTCGAATTTTTAGAGAAAAATTAAATAATTTTTAAATAAGAAATAAATTAACTTTCCCAGTGAGATATGATTAAATTTTTAATTTTATAGTTTTAATTTAAATATCTTTCGTAGATTTCATTGTTTTTACATTTAAAAAAAAAAGTTTGCATTTTTGTCCAATTTGATAGATTGGACTGAATCAGATCTTCCTATTTGTAAACTATATCCAATGTATGTATATTAAAAATTATATATTTTGTGTGTACCAAGCGATAAAATAGAGGTTGTGAGAATATAAATTATTATTTAAAAATTAATTCTTTAGAGGTGGATAAATACCAGAAAAAAAAAATTTGTCACACAAATCTTAAAAAGTTTGATACGTCTTTTTTTTGTCACGTGTCGAAAAATGTGTGCCTTAAATTTGAAATATCCTAAATTGAGTTGCGTATTAAAAAAAAATTGAAGAAGAAAAAAAAAGCAACTATAAATATCAACAATGGTTCTTTAAAATTCACCTCTAAAGGATTTTCTCGAATTGACTGTAGATAGACTAATTAGCTTTTAAGCACAAGTTCCTTAATAAGAAAAAAAAGTAACTTAAATCGAGTACCTTAGGTTTTTAGATATAAAGAGTGTTTTTTGCCAAGATGCTTTTCAAACGTACGTATAATGTGAATTTTACAGAGCGAAAGTATATATTGTAGGCATTTTGTTAATAAATAACAGCTTCGGAAGTAAATTTTTTTGCTATTATTCCTCAATAGTAAATTAAATTTAAATTAAATTTTCTTAATAGTTTAAAGTTTTTATAAATTAATTTTTTTAATAGTCTAAATTTTTTATAAAGTTAATTTTTTTAATACTTTAAAGTTTTTATAAGTTAATTTTTTTAATACTTTAAATCAATAATTTAATTTATTATTTATTGGTTTAATAATTAAATTGTTTCTAATATTTCTCAGTTATGAATTTCTTTGTTTTCTCTGTTTCTCTTTCCTTTGTTCTCTAAATAATTCTTTTTCTCATTGTCTTCTTCATTTTCTAGAAATTGAATTTAAAAAAAATTCCTTTCCTGGTAAAATCGTCTCTTTATACACTTTGCTCACGTTTGAATGATAATTTTTTTATATTTATTTCGAACAATTTTTCTTTCTTTATAACACAATTTTTTTATTTTATTTTATTATAATTGTTCCTGAGGAACAATCTTCTTTTATTGTTTCATTTTTGCGATTTCTTTCTTTTACTAAGAATTTTTTTTAATCGAATGGAACTAATTGATAAATTTTTGTATAAATTGACATCGTCCTCGTGTAAAAACTTAATTTTCTATCAAAAAAGAAAAGTGAGCATTAAATTTTGAATCAAAATTATATTTTTGTTTCTTTGAAAATGAAACTCTCAGGGTGTCTAATTTTTATTCTACTTTCAACATTGATAGTAAATATTTTATCGAAGGGTGAGAAAATAAAAATTCTTTATTCCTGTTTAATATTTAATTTAATTTAATTTAATTAATTAAATTATTCAAAAAGTAAATTTAATTTTAAATAAATTTAATGTTAAATTTATTAAAAAGTAAATTTATAAGTTTAAATAAATTTAATGTTAAATTTATTAAAAAGTAAATTTAAATAAATTAATTCATTAAATTTAGTTAAATTGAAATAAAAAATGTTTTTGAACGAATATTTTAATATTTATTTTAATTTATTGTTAAAAAATTGTTTCAGAACATTGTTGCAGCGACAAAGTTTTATTTTACTCGAAAAATCACGGTGTCTATTGTGATGTCGAGGATTCAACTAAAAAATGCGAATCATCTGAAAAAATGATATTTTCCATAACACACGATTACTGCAAATGTATACCAACATCGAACAATGATGAAATTTATAAACCCTCTTCTCATCACTTGCATTGTCTCTTGAAGAAAAAATCTAAACATTCTTCACATTCTTCTTCATCAGCATCTTCAAGTTCTTCCTCTGAAAGCGATTCATCATTTTACAATCAAGACGATTACACAGAGTTGACTTCTTCTCAAAACAAATTTGTAAGTTTTATTTAATTATTTTTCGACAATTAAAATAATTATATATTATTAAGAATAACTTTAACTTAAATATTTTTTTATTTTCAGTACGGACAATCGGATCTGAATAAATATTATCTTTATTATTCGAGAATGTTTAAAAAATAAGTGAAAATGGAATATTTTTAATATATTCTTTTATCATTGAATAGATTTCGAAATTATAATTACGATTATTAATAATAGTTTTAATATGTTTATAACTAAATAAATAATAACTAATCTAACATTTTTGATAAATTTTTTATTAAAATTTAATTTCTATTACTATTTGTAATTTTTGTAAAATTTTGCTAATTTTAAATCTAAAATTGTAATTTAATTCTTCCACAAAATTTTATAAGTTATTGAAAAAATTGAATTTTTTTAAGTAATTCTATTAAAATTCCTTTCAAAATAATTGAATTCTTCCGAAAAATTTTATAATTTATAGAAAAAATTGAATTTTTTTTTTTTGTTAAATTCTATTAAAATTATTTCCAAAATAATTGAATTTCAGCGAAGAATTTTATTATTTATAGAAAGAATGGAATTCCTCTGAAGAAATTTATTATTTATGGAAATAATTGAATTCCTGAGAAGAATTTTATTATTTATGAAAATAATTTAATTGTTTTGAAAATTTTATTAGAATTTTTCAAAATAATTGGATTCTTGAGTAAAATTCGATTATTTATGGAAAAATTGATTTTTTTCAAATATTCTATTAGAATTCCATTCAAAATAATTTAAAACTTGAGATAAATTTTATTATTTATGCAACAATTGAATTTTTTCAGAAATTGTAGAAAATTTTTTTTTTAAATATTTGAATTTTTGGGAAGAATTTTATTCCTTTTGGAAAAATTGAATTTTTTAAAATAAATTCTATTTACATTCTTTTGAAAATAATTCAATTCTTGCGAAAAAGTTTATCTTTTATGGAAATAATTGAAATCTTCCGAAGAATTTTATTATTTATGAAAATAATTGAATTCCTGGCAAGAATTGAATTGAAAATAATTGGATATTTTCGATGAATTTTATTATTTAATGCGTAGAATTTTATTTTTTTCTGGCAAATAATTGAATTCTTGAGATAAATTTTATTTAAATTATTTAAAATAATTGAAAATTTTCAAAGAATTTTATAATTGAATTCTTTCAATGAATTTTATTCTTTATAAAAATAATTGAATTGTTTTGAGAATTTTATTAAAAGTTTTGAAAACTTTTATTATTTATGGAAGAATTAGAATTTTATTTTAAGTAAAATTATTTTATTATTTATGGAAGAAATTGAATTTTTTTGAAATAAAATTATTTTCAAAACAATTGAATTCGTGTGAAAAATTTTATAATTTGTTTTAATAATTGGTTTCTTGCGTAGAATTTTATTATTCAAGAAAATAATTTAATTCTTTTGAGAATTTTATTGAAATTTTCAAATTAAATTAACAATTTTCGAAGAATTTTATTATTTATGGAAAAAATTGAATTTTTTCGAAATGTATAAAATAATTATAATTCTTTCAAGAAATTTTATTTAAAGTCTTTTAAAATAATTGAATTATTGAGAAGAATTTTATTGTTTATGTTAAAATGGAATCTTTTTCATAAATTCCATTAGAATTTTATTAAAATAATTTAAATCTTGTGAAAAATTTTATTATTTATGAAAGTAATTGAATTCTTTTTGAATTTTATTATTTATATAGTAATAATTTAATTCTTTCCAGCAATTTTTTTTTTAAATTGACAAAATAATTGAATTCTTACGAAGAATTTTATTATTTACAAAAATAATTGAATTCTTTCAAGGAATTTTATTAAAATTGATGAAATAATTTAATTCTTATGTGGAATTTTTTTAATTATAAAAATAATTAAATTCTTTTGAGAATTTTATTAAAATTTTTGAAGACAATTTAATATTTTCTAATAATTCTATTATTTATGGAAAAATTAAATTTTTTTTATAAATTCTATTAAAATTCTTGTCGTTATAATTGATTTTTTGCGTAGAATTTTATTATTTATGGAAATAATTGAATTTCTGAGAAGAATTTTTTTATTTGTGTAAATAATTGAATTCCTGAGGAGAATTTTATTATTCATACAAATAATTGAATTTTTGTGTAGAATTATATTATTTATAAAAATAATTGAATATTAGATAATTATTACTTAATAAATAAATTTTTTTTAAAGTTTGAATCTAAAACTACTGGAAAAAAAATTGTACTTTATCTTTTGAAAATAAAATACGAATTTAAAAATTTACAAAAAAAAAAAATTATTTCTTTAAATATTAATAATAAAAGAGGAATAAATAAAAAATTGTGGAGTAAATTATAATAATTATAAATTTATTATATATATATGTGTGTATATATAAAAGTAGGAAAATTTTTGCGCAGGGCTATTGAGCAAGTGTGCGCGTTATATTATTGATTTGAATGCGCAAATGCTTAACAGAAAATCTAGGCCTGATGCAGGTACCAATTGAAATGTCAAACTAGTCTGTTTACTAATTCCAAGTGCCACAGTATTATTTTACTCTTATTATTGAAAAAAAAAATTGAGGCCAAAATTATTTCCCATTCAGTAAATTCCCAAACATTCAAGATTTCAGTTAAAAAAATCAAATTCAAATCCATTGAAGTGGATCCCAGCAACACGGAGCTCTCGACGCTGAGCAAGGTTTTTTAAAATTATTATATTATTCTCATTGTATTAAAAAAATAATTTTTTAAATATTTCCCACTTGTATGAAAAAATTAATTGTTAACGAATAACTAAATTATTTTCTTAATTTTATTTATTTTTCTTCTTCTTTTTCTGTTATAAAATGATTAGAATTAATTTGAAAAAAAATATAATAATTTAATGAAAATAAAAAAAATTTTTAAAAAAAAGCAAATATAGAAAAATATTAATATAGTAAATAATAAAAAGTTCTTTTTAATCAAGACTGAATTTTTTTTGTAGGTTTATCCCATAAGCCCTGTAACAGGGCCGGGATCAGCAAGATCTGTATGGGAATTAAGTCCCGATCCCGACATGGTCGGGAATTTGCCGAACAATTTAATAACATCAGCAGCACTGAACAATCAAGATCAATCGAAAAATTCACGAAGTCGAAGGAGAAATGGTCCTGATGATAATATTTATGCTGATGAGGCAACTCCCGGTCAAACACCGTCTGATGAAGCAAAACTACTCTTTGAACTTCTGCGAGCTGGGTAAATTTTCTAAAAAAGATTCTAAAAAAAATTGTTCACTGGACAAAAATTTTAATTTCTCCAATTTGAATCAATTAGTTTGAAAATTATTTATTTCTTTTATTTAAATAATATTTACTTATTTCTGTATAATTTACTCACTTCTAATTATTACGAATATTAATTTCTAATTTCTAATAGATATATATGTTTCTTAAATTAAATAAAGAAAATAAAATTTTATTTATTAGGTAAAAGAATTAAATTATAATGTGAAATTTTTAAATCTCTTTTAGTGAACTGCAAACTGTTGAAGAATTGGTGGATAAGAATGGATCAGGAATTCTCAGCGCAAGAGACGAATGGGGATATACACCGGCTCATTGGGCGGCTTTGGATGGAAATGTTGAAGTTTGTATTTTTAAAATTCATATCTTTATGAACAAAAACAAAAAAAAAAGGAAAATTATTACTCTATTTTTTGTCTGTATAGGTGATGAGATACATTATTGAGAAAAATGGTCCAGTTGACTTGTCATGTCTTGGGACGCAAGGACCAAAGCCAATTCACTGGGCATGTCGCAAGGGTCACAGTGCTATTGTTCAACTGCTTCTGAAGGTAAACTAGCTTCTTTAACTTAATAATAATCTATATTCCTGAGAAGAATTTTATTATTTTTACCAAAATAACTGAGTTCCTCAGAAGAATTTAATTATTTACAGAATAAATTTAATTCCTAAAAAGAATTCTACTGTTTATAGAAATAATTGAATATTTTCAAAAAAAATTTATTATTTATAGAAAAATTGAATTTTTTCATAAATTTTAAAAAGACTTTTCCAAGAAATTGAATTGGGAAAATTTTATTAAAATTTTTGAATTTAATATAATTTAATTTAATTTTTAATATTTTTGGAAAAATTCAATTTTTTTTTTTTAAATTCTACTACAATTCTTTTCCAATATAATAGAATTCTTGTGTAGAATTTTATTTTTTATGGAAATAACTGAATCTTTTTTTAAAAATTCTATTTTAATTCTGTTGAAAATAATTGAAATCTTGCGAAGAATTTTATTATTTATGAAAATAATAGAATTCTTGTGTAGAATTTTATTTTTTATGGAAATAACTGAATCTTTTTTTAAAAATTCTATTTTAATTCTGTTGAAAATAATTGAAATCTTGCGAAGAATTTTATTATTTATGAAAATAATAGAATTCTTGTGTAGAATTTTATTTTTTATGGAAATAACTGAATCTTTTTTTAAAAATTCTATTTTAATTCTGTTGAAAATAATTGAAATCTTGCGAAGAATTTTATTATTTATGAAAATAATTGAATTATTGAGAAGAATTTGATTATTTATGAAACCATTTAATTTTTTCAGATATTCTATTTAAAAAATTGATTTTTTGAGAAGAATTTTATTATTTTTAGAAAAATTAAATTTTTTAATAAATTATATTCAAAATTTTTTTTTAAAATAATTAAATTCTTGCAAAGAATTTTATCATTTATGAAAGTAATTGAATTCTTTTGAGAATTTTATTAAAATTTTTCAAAATAATTGCATTCTTGAGTAAAATTTTATTATTTATGGAAAAATTAAATCTTTTTCTATTAGAATTTTAATAGAATAATTGAAATCTTGTGAAAAATTTTATTATTTATAAAACTAATTCAATTCTTTTTGAATTTTATTATTTATAGTAACAATTGAATACCGAAGAAGATTTTTAATAATTATTTTTTTAAATAATTGAATTCTATATATAGCAATTTTTTTAAAATTGATAAAATAATTGCATCCTTGCAAAGAATTATATTATTTTCTAAAGTAATTGAATTCCCTTAAATTTGTTTATTATTTATGTAAATAATTGAATTTTTCCACGGAATTTTATGATTTATGAAAATAATAGAATTATTACAAGAAATTATATAATAATTTTTGAAAATAATTGAATATTTTCGTCGAAGAATTTCATTATTTATGGAAAAATTGAATTTTTTCAGAAATTCTATTAAAATTCTTTTCAAAAAATTTGTATTATTTCAGAGAATTTTATTATTCTTGCAAATAATTGTATTGCTGAGAAGAATTTTATTAAAATTATTAAAAATAGTTGAAAATTTTCAAAGAATTTCATTATTTATGGAAAAATTGAATTTTTTTTAGAAATTAAAATTCTTATTAAAATTCTTATTAAAATTCTTTTAAAAATAATTTAATTCTTTGCATAAAAGTTTATTTATTTGTTAGAAATAATTGAAATTCTAAGAAGAAGTTTATTATTTGTGAAAATAATTGAATTGCAACGAAGAATTTTATTTATGGAAATAATTGAATATTTTCGTAGAATTTTATTATTTTTGGGAAAAATTGAATTTTTTAAATAAATTCTCTTAAAATTATATTTAAAATAATTGAATATTTTCGAAGAATTTCAATATTTATGGGAAAAATTGAATTTTTTCAGAAATTCTATTAAAATTATTTTTTAAATAATTGTATTATTGAGCAGAATTTTATTTATTTTTTTACAAATAATTAAATTTCTGAAAAGAATTTTATTGAAATTATTGAAAATAATGGAATATGTTGGAAGAATTTTATTATTTATTATGTAAAAAATTGAATTTCTGCGAAGTATTTTATTATTGGTCATGATATTTGAAGATAAGAAATTTTTGTAATTTGCATAAATTTTAATTTTTTGAACAGGCTGGTGTGGCGGTAAATACAGCAGACTTCAAAGGTCTAACTCCACTGATGACGGCGTGCATGTTTGGAAAATATGCAACGGCAGCATATCTCTTGGGTTGTGATGCATCGGGCTACCTGATGGACATAAACGGCGACACCGCCTTACATTGGGCGGCCTACAAGGGTCATCCGGAAATAATCAAACTCCTCATGTACAGTGGCGTCGATCTCGAGAAACCCGATCATTTTGGTTCAACACCCGTTCATTTGGCATGCCTCTCGGGCAATGTAAATTGCGTGAAAATTCTCTGCGAAAAAAGTAAAATTGAATTGGAGCCACGCGATAAAAATGGAAAAACACCATTGCAACTGGCCAAGAGTCATAATCACACGGAAATTGTGCAAATACTCCAAGCCGAACAAAGAAGACGCGCCAGATGGATACCACCAATTAATGAACTCTGGTTGGTATTAAAAAAAAAATATTTTCTTTCTAATGTAAATTCAAAAAAAAAGTATTTTTTTCAATATTATTTTTATTATATAAAAAACAATATATGAAGCTTTGAAATTCTGGAAATTCGGAGCTTTGGTTAAAATTCTAGCCTTCAAATTGCAAGGATCGGTGCTCTCACCAAAAGTAAAAGCTTCAGGGCTCTGAAGCTTCGTAGCCGATGGAACTTTGTGGAAGAACCATATTCGAAACTTGAAGACTGAAGCTTACGAACTCCAGGGAGTGTTCGAGGCTTTTTAACAGTGCCAAAAAGGTCTGAGAATTTTTGGGATTTTATAGATTTTTATACTTGGAGCCTTGAAAATTAAAAAGATTTCTTTTTAGTTTAACTTTTTTTTAAGTTTCATTTTCTCTCGTAGGCGCCTCAATTGTCTCTAATATACATATTGGCGATATTCAAAAGCCTCCAATTGTCTTCAATATAATTTCTACCTTTATTTAAAAATTCTCAGGCTTCGTACTCATCCACTTAAAAAATACTATTTAATATTTGCTACTATTTAGATACTTTCTTTCAGTCTTTTGATACTAAAAGCATTTTTTTTTTTTAATAATTGAAAAAAAGTTATTTTCGAAAATTTTAATCAAATTTATAGAAACAATTCAACATTTGTTAATAAAATTGTTTCAAACGATTCAATTATTTTTAAACATTTTCGAAATTCAATTTCTTTCAATACTTACTATTTTAATAAAAAGTTTCCCAAATGAATTGAATAATTGAAAAAAAAAAATTTATAAGATTCTTTGCAAACATTTAATTATTTGCATAAATAATAAAACTCATCGTTGGATTTCAATTATTTTTAAAAGAATTTTAAATTAATTCCTCGAAAAAAGCAATTATTATTAACAATCTATTTAAAAGTGTTGGAAAGAATTTAATAATTTCCAAATATTTTTATGAAATTTTTCGTAACACAGAAATTCAATTATTTCCACAAATAATAAAATTCTTCTGAGTATTTCAATTATTTCCATAAATAATAATATTCTTCACAAAAATTTAAGTATTTTGAAAATAGTTTTCATGGAATTTATTTTTAAAATAATTTCATTTTTTCCCTATATTATAAAATTTTTCTCAGGAATTCAATTATTTTCATAAATAATAAACTTTTTCTCAGAATTTCAATTATTTTGTAAAGAATTTTAACACAATTTCTGAGAAAAATTCAATTTCTTCATAAATATTGAAATTCTCCGAATGTATTAGATTATTTTCAAAAATTATTATAAAATCCCTGGAAATAATTCAATTACTTTCATAAATAATAAAAATTCTTAAAAGAATTCAATTATTTACATAAATATTAAATTCAAAAAGAATTCCAATAGTTTCATAAATAATAACATTTTTCGCAAGATTTCAATTATTTTAGTAAAATTCCAATAAAATTTCAGAAAAATATTCAATTTTTCCATAAATAATAAAATTCTACGCAAGAATACAATTATTTTCAAAAATTTTAATAAAATTCTCAAAAGAATTTCATTATTTTATACATTTAAAAAAAAATTCAATTTTTTTCATAAATAATAAAATTCTTAAAAAAATTTCAATTATTTTATTAGAATTTCTAGAAAGAATTCAATCATTTCCATAATTAATAAAATTCTTGGAAAATATTCAATTATATTTTCAAAAAATTTAATAAAACTCTTAAAAGAATTAAATTAATTTCATAAATAATAAAATTTCTTAATAGTATTTAATTTTTTTTCTTAAGTTTTAATAAAATTCCTTGAAAGAATTTAATTATTCCCGTAAATAATAAAATTTTTTCCAAACATTTAATTATTTTATAGTAATTTAATAAAATTCTTCGCAGAAATTCAAAATATTGATTTTTTTTTATGGGAATGGAATTATTTTTTCATAATTAATAATATTTTTCGACGGAATTTAATTATTTTCTAAAATTTTAATGAAATTAAAAATTAAAATTAATTATTCATTTAAGCAATGATTGAATTTTTGATGAAGTTGTAATATTTAGAAATAGTTAAATTTCGAAAAGGCTTTACATTGAAATCATTTAAAATATTTTAATTCCTGTGGAAAAATAAATAGTTATTTAAAAAAATAATTTTTCTTTTTTCAAAAGTAGTTCAATTTAGAAATTGAGTCAAGTTTAATTTTTTGATAACTACTTTTTTATTACTTTTTTCAAGTCTAAGAGTTAGTTTTTGCTGTCTTTTGAAAATTAATTATCGAGTACAAAGCCTGAATTCTTTTCGTTCTCTTTTTGGAAGGTAAAATTTCATCAAATCCCAGCTTTCAGTCTTCTTGAAAATTTTCCACTAATTCCCGCAGACTTCTCTCTCATCTATAGCAAAATCCTTGCCTTATTTAAATACTGCTTCCTGAAAATTTTCAATTACCGAAAATACTAATTTTTCGAAATATAAAATTAGAAAATCACTATTTTCAAAATCTAGATCCGTTTATTTTTTTCCAAAAAAATGGATTTTTTGATGAAAGGAAGAAATAAATATTGATGCAGAATTGAGGACAACTCAAGCGTCTCCAATTTAATATGGTCAAAACATCAAAAGGGATGACTTGACTATTTTGTATAAAAATTATTAAAAATTCAAATTCGAAGCTTCAAGAATTATTATTATCGAAGCCTGTGACTCGATTCTGCATATTGGATTCGAACACTGGAGTTCGACATTATTTTTTAGATGTTGCTACTATATAAAAGAAGAGAAACATCGACAAAATCCCATGAAGCTTCGAACACTATATTCAAAGTAGTTGTTTTAATTTTGTTCGCCAATGAAAGTGTGAAATTAATAATTGTATTGTCTTGTTTTTTTTAAAGGGCATTGCTGTTTGGCGGTGCGGGTAACAGTAAAGGACCTCTACTTTTATTTATGGGTTCCGTTATATTTTGGGGCTATCCCATGTATTTCTTTAAATGCATTCCCCTCACGTGGAACGTACTCCGAGGAAGTCATTACTGCTTTACTTATTGGAATGTCGTTATGTGGATATCCTGGATTATTGCTAATAGAAAAGATCCTGGATACGTGCCACAAAATAGTGACGCCTACTACAGAGTGATAAGACAAGTAAATTTATTTTTCACAATTTATCATTACAAAAAAAAAATTACAGAAAAAAATTACAGAAAAAATTACAAAAAATCTAATTAATACAATTTAGACGAAGAAACAAAAATTTAAATACTAATATTAAAAATACTAATAAAAATTTTAAAAAATCTTTCTAGATTCCATATTTCGACAAATGGAAGAAGAGAAATGTTATTCTATCAAAACTTTGCCATAGTTGCCGATGCTTTAGACCACTTAGAGCCAAGCACTGCCGAATTTGCAATCGTTGCGTCACTTATTTCGATCATCATTGTCCATTTATTTATAATTGCATTGGATTGAGAAATAGGTAAGTTTACATAAACTGAAATATTAGAATCAAAGAATTTTAAAATTGAATTAATAACAAATTTACTGTTTCATTATTTAGTATTTTCAAAAAAATAAACAAATTTTTTGCTAAGCTATTTATTTTGTAGTTGAAAAAAAAGAATTAAGTAAATTCGAAAAATTCAATTATGTCTATAAATCAATTATTTATTATAATTTATAATTAAATACATCACAAAAAGTCAATTATTTTCAATAGAATATGAATTTTAATAAATTTTCTTGATAGAATTAAATTGTTTAAAAAAAATTTTTATAATAAAATTTTTCAAAAACAATTAAAACGCAGTTTAATAAACATTATTTCTTCTAAAATAATTTATAAGTGATTATTTTTTTGCTGTTGAATGTTAAATTAAATTTACAATCTAAATTATAATTTTTAATTAAAAACAATTTTTGCTTAATTACTTTCTGTTATTTTTATAATCTTCAAAGATAAATTAGAATTTGATTAATTTCAAAATTCGAAACCTTAATTAAAGAGAAAACTTACCGGATTTGATGAAACGGAAAAACAAAAAATATTCTAATTTCCGAATATACAAAGAATAATATAGAATTAAATTTTCAGAATTTGGTTCTTTTTCTTCGTGATGAGCGTGGCGATTAATTGCTCATTCACAGTTTACTTTGCCTGCTACTGTATGGCAATCGAGGGAATACATTTGCTCTACATTCTAGGCCTAATAGAAGCCCTCGTTTTTTGTGGTCTCGGTTGGATTTTAACTTGTACTTTGGTAAGCAAAAAAAAAAAAGGAAAAGAAAAAAAATTGCCTCAACTTTCTATGGATTTTGTGATTAAATTTTCAATTTCTTTTTCAGGTCCTTCATGCCTGCATGAATTTAACAACGAATGAAATGTTCAATTATAAACGCTATCCATATTTAAGGGACAAGAAAGGAAGATATTGGAATCCTTTTAGTAGAGGTCCAGTTTTGAATTTCATCGAATTTTTCCTCTGTCCGTCCGATCAATATGCATACAACCCCCAAAACTATCACATATTCTCTGATGAAGTTATGTAAACAATGGCCTTTTTTTAAAAGAAAAGAAAAATATTTTAAAAAATTCCCAACTCTTCGCACAGATCTTTTACAGGCACAAAAAAAAATACACGAACACTTTAAAACGCTTAAGCGAAAAAACAAACATTTTCAATACGCTTTTTCAATCACTGGCGATAATTATTCCTCGAAAATAATTTTCTATTCTTATTTTTTTTTTATTATTATTATTCTTTTTTTTAATCTTAAGTACTTATTGTAATTAAGGTGATTTAATAATAAAAAAGACAGTTTTCTATTTTATCGAAAGCAAAGTGTATATAATTTGTCACTACACGAGACTTCGATATTATATTATAATAATATTATAATATTAATATATTACAATATTAATATATAATATACAAAAAATGTATAATTCATCGCTATTGTAGCACATCCCACGCACACACTCACACAAACATACAAATTTATAATACATTCTTAGTAGAAAATATTGATAATATAAAAAAACAATTAAATGCGCATCACACGTACAAAATTTCACAAATACAGAGCTCGAAGTAGGTCCGTAAATCCTGAAAAAGTCACTAACTTTGTTTCAATTCCGTAAAAGTCCGTTTTTTTGAAAAAAGGTCCGTAAAGTCCGTAATTTCATTCAAAAAGGATGAAAAATTCGTAAATTGTACGATATAATTTTGGAAATTTTGAAAAATTTAGAAATGATTGCAGAAATTCAATTATTTTCAAAAGTAATAAAATTCTTCGCAAAAATTCAATTATATTCAAAAATTTTTTTAAATTCTCGTCAAAATTTCAATTATATTTAGAAATATTAAAATTCTTCTCCGAAATTCAATTATTTTCAAAAAAATCTAAAAAAACATTGTCAACATTTCAATTATCTTTATAAATAAATAGCAAAATTCTTCGACAAAATTCAATTATTTTCAAAAATTTTAATAAAATTCAATTATTTTCAAACATTTTAATAAAATCCATTGCAGAATTTCAATTATTTTCAAAAGTAATAATATTCTTCGCAAAAATTAAATATTGTTCAATATCTACTATTTTCATAAAAATTTGCCAAAAGAATTTAAATTATTTAAAAAAAATTTAATAAAATTCTACAAAAACTTTGAATTATTTTCAAAAAATAATAAAAATCATTCAACTATTTTCATATTTAATAAAATTTTTACCGGGATTCAATTATTTTCGTAAATAATAAAATTCTTTTTAGGAATTCAATTATTTCCAATAGAATTTTAATCGAATTCCTCGAAAAAATTCTTAAAAATTTTATTAAAATTCGTCCAAAGAATTTAATTATTTAAAAATTTGTTGATAAAGTTTTTAATAGGAATTGAATTCCAAGAAACATTCAATTATTCAATAAATTATTTATTTTTGTATTTAAATAATTGAATTCTGGTAGAATTTTCTCATAAACATTGATTTTGAAAATAGATTTCAGTTAAAATATTAGATTATAATAATTGAATTCTTTCGAAGAATTTCATTAAAATTTTAAAAATAATTGAATTTTATTGAGACACTTTTTTGAAATTGTCTTAAAAATAATTGAATTTCTACAAAAAAAAGTTTTGTCAAAACTTTTTAAAAATGTTTGAATTTCTGCTAAAATTCTGATATTTTTGAAAATAATTGAATTCTTGCGAACAATTTTATTAAGACTTTTGAAAAGTAATTGAATCTCTGCAAAGATTTTTATTATTTTACGAAAATATTTAAATTCTTGCGAAAAAATTTTATTAAAATTTCTGAAAGTAATTGAAGATTTGATAAGAATTTTGTTATTTTTAATTTATGCCAAGAATTTTATTAAAATTTTTCAAAATAATTGAATTCCTGTTAATTTTTTACAAGAATTTAATTATTTTTGAAAATTTTAATAAAATTCTTCGCAAGAATTCAATTATTTTCATAAATAATAAAATTCAATGCAAAATTTCAATTATTTGTAATACAATTTTAATCGAATTTCTCGAAAAATGTAATTATTCTTAAAAATTTTATTAAAATTCGTTGATAGAATTCAATTATTTGAAAATTTGTTGATAACGATTTTTTATGGGAATTAAATTTTAAGAAACGTTCAATTATTCAATAAATTATTTATTTGCATTTTATTTTTATTTAAATAATTGAATTCTAGTAGAATTTTCTAATAAAAATTGATTTTAATTTCATAAAAATGAATTTCAGTTAAAATTTTAGATAATAATTGAATATTAAAAACAATATAGCGTGAATTTGAAAAAATAATTGAATTTTGTAATTAATTTTTAAAAAAAAGTTTAATTGAGTTTTTTTAATATTATTTTTAGTTTCTATTTTCTAATATTCATTTAATTAAAGAATTTACGAATAATTGAAATTTCGTAAAATTGAATATTGTAAAGAAATGAATTTGAAAATTGTCAAAGAACTTTTTCGAAAATTATCGAAATTATCTGATTCGGCCTGATTCTATTTTTATCAGTTGGTCCGTAAAGTCCGTATTTTTAAATACTTTCACTGCTTCGAGCCCTGCAAATATTAAAATTTAAAAAAAAGAAGAATATACTCCCCTTTATAAAATAGATTTTGACGGTTTAAAAAAACAATTTGTAAATATGTACATGAAAAATTGTATAAGAAAACAAAAACAAAAAAATCTTTGGTTATTGCAAGAGAGAAGCTATCGCTTTTGATTCAGGATATTTCGTAATATTCGTAATATTCGTAATTCGTATCAAACTAGAATTATAAAAGTTATTAAAAAAAATTTAGCAAATTTAGCAGATGTTTCTTATCTTTTCTTCACTCATAGCAGAAGTCGTAATTCGATGGTGGTTCGGGAATTGGAGGCGGATCCTGAGGAATGACAATTCCCTCTGTATCCAATAATCGTAATTTTATATCCATTGATAAAAGCGTCTCGAGATCCTTTTCTTTTTCCTTACTAATCATTTTGTTTCCTGGAAAATAAAAAATTTGTAAATTTTTGTTAAATATTTTTTTAAATTAAAAATAAAAATTTTTTTTTTTATTTTGGTTTAATAATTACTTTTTTTGTTAAAATAAAATAAAAATTTTAATTAATTTTATTAATTCTATTTTTTTTTAGTTTTTTTCTCCCATTTTTTAATTACCGAGTAAAGCATTAATTCCATCGGTCCAATAATCGAAGATCTCTTCGTCGGGCGCGACAAAATCCAAACTCGTCACATCAACTGAATCCAAAACAAGTGAAAATGCAAGTTGATGAGTTGTTTTGCGTCTTTGTAAATCTTTCATATGAGGGCAATCGCGTCCAATGAGAATACCACGAATTTCGACGACTGCCAATTTTGTTGTTAGTTCATCAATTGTTGGCGCCGATTTTTCATCGCAATCACCATAATGAAAGACTTTGTGATTTGGTGACAAGCGTACGTACCAAAATTTGTCTTTAATCCTCTGTGAAAGTGATAAAAAAGAATAAAACAAAATCTCAGCGTTTTAGAAAAGCAAAAAAAATACACATTGTCAATAATATTTATTAAGAATGAAAAAAAAATATGTTAATTATATATTATTATTAATTAATTAATTTTAGTGAGAATAATAAGACTACAATTTAAATAAGTTAAAAAAATTTATTGTAAGTAGGAACAAGCTTTTTATCATTGGCAATACTAAAAATTTCTGCTTCAATAAAGTCAGAAAAAAAAGTTATCTACTCTTTCTTTTTTCTTTACTTGCGTCTACAATTTTCAAATTATTAAAGATTGTATTATATTAATTTTAATTTTCTAATCATTTAAAAAAATATTTACTAAACTTTAAAAAAGTTATTGATATATTTTTTTTCTTTGTTGCGCCAAGTTTTGAAACGAGGTACAAATTATACAAATTTGAACCTAAAATAGAAAATCAAACATTTTTTTTTTATTTTTAATGTTATTGAGATAGAGAAATTATGACATTTTCTTTCCTTCTTTCAAAAAAAAAATATATATACTCTTGTAATAATCAGATGACAAATCAAGATCATGCAAATTTTTTTCATTTTTTCATTTCTAAAAAAGTTTTAAAAATTATTTAACAAAATGTTAAATATTAGAAAAAAAGATTTGAATAATTTATCAAATAGAATGTACAGGTGCGCTTTAGCGTATTTTATGCTATTTGGTAATAAAATAAAATATCATTTACTTATCAATTCCTATAAATATTTACATAAAAATTCAGCTATTTCGTTTCCTTATTGTATCGGCAAATACAATTTTTTTTCCAAAATTGATTATTTAAAATTCAGATTTATAAGTAGAAACAAGAGACGGATTTTACTGACGAAAAATTATGTTTTGTCTTGTTGGAAATTTATTAATTCTTCTGATTGCTTCAGCAGAATTTTCGAATGCGTGAGTTTAAAATTTATAAACATAAGACTTTTTTGGAAAAAATTTATAAAACTGTTTTAATTTCATTTAATTTGCAAAATCATTTTCAAAACAATTGTAACCAAAAATTGCTTAGAAGAATTTTATTATTCTTAAAAATTTGATAAAATTCTTCGGAAAAATTTTAATTATTTTGAAACATTTTGAATTCTTCACAGAAATTCAATTATTTTCAATAAATTTTTTATTTTTTCAAAATAACTCAATTTTTTTTTAACTCTTTAATTTAATTCTTCGAAAGAATCCAATATTATTTTCATGATAATATATAATTCTTTGCAAGAATTCAATTATTTAAAAAAAAAAATTATTTTCGAAAAAAATTAATTTTTTTAAAAAGTTTTTAATAAAATTCTTATCAAGAATTTAATTATTTTCATAAATAATATAATTCTTTGTTAGAATTGAATTACTTTCATAATTTATAACATTTTTCTCAGGAATTTAATTATTTTAAACAATTTTAAAAAATTTCTTCGCAGAAATTTAATTACTTTGAAAAATTTCAATAAAATTATTTATGAGAATTGTATATTATTTTCATAATTAATAAATTTCTTTAGAAAAATTTTATTATTCTTAAAAATTTTGATAAAATTATTTATTAGAAAAAAAATTTATTTAAATACTTTGAAAAAATTTAATATTCTTTTGATAAAAAATAAAATTCTTCGCAGAAATTTAATTCGTTTTAAAAATTTTGATAAAACCCCTTATAAGAATTTATTTATTTTTAATATTTTATTCTAATTAAATTCCTCTTAAGAATTAACATAATTTTTATATTTTAATTAAATTTTTCGCAAGAAATTTACATAATTTTTTTTTGAAAATTTGGATAAATTTCTTTATAAGAATTAAATTATTTTCGATTCAAAATTATAAAATGAAATAAATAAAATGTAGTATAAAAGAAATATTTTTAATTGAAAACAATTTGGTTTAACTAATTTTTGCTATTAATATTAATATTAATATTAATAATAATAATAATAATAATAATAATAATAATAAAAATAATAATAATAATAATAATAAATTAATTAAAATTAATATTATAATAAGTATTAACTACATAAATATGTGAAATTCCACCGTCTAATAAAAAAACAAAAATTTCAGAAATGAAGATTACGATATTTTATTGTTCAGTCAACAATGGCCAATAACAACATGTTTCCAAAAGGGAAAGGATTTAAGAGAATGTAATATTCGAAATTATGCTTGGAGTATACATGGAATTTGGCCAACGGAAGATTTTCCCGGCACATATCCGAAAGATTGCAATAATCATTCACCGTTGAATGTGAGAAATTTAAAGGGTATACATAGACAACTTGAAAATAAATGGTACAATATTCTGATTAAAAACGTGGAACATTTTTGGAGTTGGGAATGGAAAAAGCACGGAACATGTTCAATGAATTTGCAAGCACTGAATTCGCAATATAAATATTTTTATCAAGGATTAGAGTGGAGTAAGAATTACGAAATTGGAAGTATTCTCAACCGTAGCCGTATAATAATGGGAGACTATTATTATTATAGAGAAATTCAAACAGCTCTTAAAAATCATTTGAATGTTACAACTCAAATCATTTGTCACAAAGAAGATGTGAGCAATTTTTGTCTATTAGTTTTTTTAATAGAATATTTTTATTTTAAGTTTTTTTCTTTTTTATTTCATTTTTTATTTTTATAGTTTTTTTTTTAAATTTTATTTTTAGTTTATCTTTTTCTTTTTTATTTATTTATTGTATTCCATTACGATTTTCTGCTTGTACTTTTAATTTTATTTTAGGTTTTCTATTTTAGTTTCTTTTTTTAAGTAAACATTTTTATTTTAAATATTTAAAAATAAAAATACACTTTTTAAATAATCAAATTATTTTCATTACAGGACGGTTGGGTACAACTTTTATATGAGGTAAGAATCTGTATAAACAAGAGGTTGCAATTAATCGATTGTGATGGACACGTTTATGAGACAAATTGTAATAAAGCATTAAGTATTAAATATCCCAATTTAAAACAAAGAAGAATGAGTACATAGTTACAATTAATCACTGTTTATTATTACAAAATTGAAAACATAATTTTAAAATTAATAATGAATAATTACAAAATGTAATAATAATAATTGTAAAATTAATAAAATTAACAATAATAGTTTCAAATTACTACTCTTATTTATTTTTCCACAGGAATTTAAATTTCAAATAATTGCAGTGAAAAAACTCATGAAATTAAATTATTCTTAAAAATTGGAACTGTAATTCTTTCAAAATTAAATTATTTTTTTTTAGAATTTTTGAATAAAACTATTGAAAAACTTTTAAGAATTTTTAAAGAAAAATAATAATTAATAATTTTTGAAAATAAAAATTTTAGTATTTTTATATACTTTTGCTTCCGTTAAATTTTTAAGAAATTTCATTAAAAAAAACCTTTTAAAATTTAATTAATTCCTAAAATTTCTGTTATACCGCTTAAAATTTTTTAATTATTTTCTAAAATAAATTTTAACTGAAATTTTTTTTTAAATTAATTCCTATTAGAATTCAACGACGAGAATTGAATTTATTTGCTTGAAATTTCGAAATTCTTTCAATGTAAAACCATTGAAAAATTTTTTTACGAAAATTTGAACTACAACTCTTCTAAATTCAATTATTATTATTATTATTATTATTTATTTTTTTTTTTGAATTTTTGAATAATATTACTCAAGACTTAATTTTTAAAGAAGCCATCAAATTAACTGTCAAATTTTTGACATAATAATTTAAATCTTTCAGGAAATTTCAATTATTTTTGTAAATAATAAAAATCTTCACAAGAATTGAATTGTTTTATCAATTTAAAAAAAAATTAATAGAAAGAATTTAAATATTTTCAAAATTAATAAAAATCTTCTTAGGAATTCAATTAGTACTATAAACAATAAAATTCAATAAATTTCAAAAATAATAAAATGTTTCGCACGATTTTAATTATTTTAGTAAAATTCTAATAGAATTTTCGAAAAAGAATCAATTTTTCCATAAATAATAATATTCTCAAAAGAATTCCATTATTTTAATACATGATAAAATTTGTTTGCAAGAATTTAATTATTTAAAAAAAAATTTTAATAGAATTTATTTAAAAAATTCAATTTTTCTAATAATTAATTAAAGTCTTCTCAAAAATTTAATTAATTTAATAGAATTTCAGAAAAAGTTCAATATTATTTTCATAATAATAATAAAATTCTTCTTCCAAAATATTCAATTATTTTAAAAACATTTCATAACAAATATCGAAAAGAATTAAATTCTTTTCATAAATAATAAAATTCTTCGCAAGAATTCAATTAATTTGAAAAGAATTTTAATATAATTTCTTTAAAAACTTTAATTTTACCAAAAAATAAAAAATTCTTCCAAAAAATTAAATTATTTTTCAAAGAATTTTAATAGAATTCTAAAAAAATGAATTTTTACATAAATAATAAATTTTTTTGAAAATATTCAATTATTTTCAATAATTTTCATAAAAAACTCTAAAGAATTAAATTATTATTATAAATAATAAAATTTTTCGCAAGAATCCAATTTCTTTTTATAGAATGTTAATAAAAGTTTTTAATAAAATATCATATAAAAAATAATATATAAAAAAACATTTAATTTTTTGTCATAAATAATAAAATTCTTCGCTAGAATTTAATTATTTTGTACAGAATTTTAATATGGATTTTTTGTTTAAAAATTCATTTTTTTCCCATAAATAATAAAATTCTTCTTTAGAATTCAATTATTTTTTTAATAATTTTATTAAAATTCTTCTCAGAAATTCAATTATTTCCATTAATAATAAAATTCTTCACTGGAATTTAATTATTTTGTAAAGAATTTTAATATTAAATTTTTTGTTCAAAAATTCATTTTTTCTCCATAAATAATAAAATTCTTCTTTGGAATTCAATTATTTTCAATAATTGTAATAAAATTCTTCGTAGAAATTCAATTATTTTCATAAGTAATAAAATTCTTCCCTGCAATTCAATTATTTTGAAGGGAATTTTAATAGAATTTTTGTTTAAAATTTCAATTTTTTACAAAAAATAATAAAATTTGTACACAAGATGTTTATTATTTTGAAAAGAATTTTATTACAATTATTGAAAAAATTCATTTTTTCTATAAATATAAATTTTTTTCTATAATTAGTGAAATTTTTCCCAAGAATTCAATTATTTTCAATAACAATTTTTAAATCCAAAATTTAATGAATTTGAGAAGAAGAGTTGCGTTTATAATTTTTTTTTTAATTTAATTAAATTTTAAAAGGTTAGAGAAGAATTTTAGTAAAAAAAATTACAATTGAATTCCCAAAGAAATATCTCCAAATTATTATATAATTAATTAAAAGAATAATTTTTGGTTAAAAAAATGGAGAAATAACATTTTTCGGATAGCTATATGATAAAAATAAAAATAATAATTTACCTGGCCTCTTGCGCTATATTTCGTGAATCTTGTCCCATCGACTAAAAATTGTAATCTCTGCTGTTGAATATAGTCCAAAATTTCTGGTGTTATTTGCTCCCTTAATTCGACAACAGGTCGTGCATGACTCTCCCATTCCTCTCTATTTGTTCTCTCTTGTTGCCACAATGTTGTTATTGTTGTGTACGTTAATTGTTGAAGTGTTGTTTTAAATTTATCGAAACCAGTTGGTTTACATTGCAATGCTCTCGTTATTTGTTGTCTAACAACGGAAAATACTTTAACAAAATCCTCCGTTGTTGCGCGCATTTCCTTCCATGTTTTATTAAGTAATACAATGCAGGCGCAATAAAATTCCTCGAACGGATGATCGTGGGTGAAGAACATTGGATGATAAGATTGTCCCTGTTCACTTGGCGCTTCGCCTATTCTCAGCACCTTCGATTATTAATATTATTATTATTATTATTACTATTTTTATTATTTTTAAAAAATTTTATTATTATTAAATAATGATTTATTTAAAAGAATTTCATCAAAATTAACGAAAATAATTGAATTTATATTAAAATTCTTGAAAATAATCGAATTTAATTAATATTTTTTAAAATAATTGTATTCTTTCGAGAAATTTTTTTTAAAATTGTTAATAAAATTCAATTATTTTCAAAATGTTTAATTAATTTTCATAAATTTTAATTAATTTTTAATTTAATACGAGAAATATTTCTAAATTAATTTTTTAAACAAAATTTCTTACCTCGCAAAGGAATTTAACGAGTTCGACGCTCGTTCTGCCGAAGGGACATTCGTGTTCGTCGGCACGACATGAATTTTCCAGGACAACTTTTGTGTAATTTTCCGTATGATTGCGGGCAAAATAAATCATACAGTCAAGTGCGAGCATACCTGGTGGTGTTTCAGTGAAATCGAGTGCAGGATTTATGTCGTATTTGAAACCCAATTTTTTGTAATCTTTGGCAAAAAGTCCCTGTTTACGAGCGGCCATATCGCCAATTAACGAGCCCTCCGTGTCGAAGGCAATTTTTCTCAATTCCTTTATTTTATCGTGGGCATCCTGATCCTGTGGATCCATTTTCATCATCATTCGTTGCTCCAGTAGACTTAACATCAATGTCTGCAGCACGTACAATTGATGTGCCATTTCTGTTCCAACCTGTGCTTTGCAAATACCTTTCGTTAGTGCTAAAAATAACTCAAACTTTCTTACTTTTTTTTCTAAGCAAACGTAATTAGAATAATTAGAGACATATTCTCTTTACTATTCTAATTACAAATTATTTATTGTTTATTGTCTTTAAAAAGATAATTAACTTCTTAAAATTAAAATTGAATAATAATTGAGATTCAAAACCTTCGTTTTGAATATCAATTATTATTCAATTCAATTCTAATTCTAATTCCAAATAGACAATAAATTTCTTAAACTTAAAATTGAATAATAATTGAGATTGAAATTGAAATTATTTGAATTGAAATTAAAATTAATTGAATTGAAATTGAAATAAATTGAATTGAAATTGAAATCAATTGAATTGAAATCATTTGAATTGAATTTTATAAAATTACCTGATCAGTGGATTGAACGACATTAGTCAGAAAAACATTTCTGACTTGTTTCGATTGTAATGTCGCTGAAACTGCTCGTCTTTTGGAAATATCCGCTTTTAGAACAAGCGCATTTATTAGAGCGATTGCATTCTGTTGTATTTGTGAACTACTATTTTGTAAATGCATCACTAAATTTGGAAATGTCACTTCCTTCTCAACTTGTGTGTATTTTCCGGAAGAATTCAAAACAATATTCTCTAAAATACTGAGGGATGCTTTAACGACACTTGAATCCTGTGTTGTCGATTGATTATTAACGTAACTTGCGACTTTATTTATAAAAGGAGTTTCTAAAATGTCCCAAGAAACAATTCCATGATCCATTAATTCAACGAAGGACTGTAATGCATAGGCGAGATCGCTTCCTTTATATTTTCCCGATTCAATCTAAAAAAATTTATTTCTATTAGAATTTTACTAAAATAATTGAAATCTTGCGAAAAATTTTTATTATTATATGAATTTAATTGAATTCTTTTTGAATTTTATTATTTTTGTAAATAATTGAATTCTTTCTAGCAATCTATTAAAAATTGATAAAATAATTGAATATTTCTGAGAAGAATTTTATTATTTACAAAAATAATTGAATTCTCTAAAAGATATTTATTATTTATTTAAATAATTGAATTAAAAAAATAAAAATAATAAAAATTAAACTTCTTTCACTACCTGAGAAATTAGTAGGGCCAATCCTTGTTTATTGATGAATTCAAGTGCAAATGTCATGTCAATACTGAGAGTACCAAGTTTTTGTAATGATTGTTCATCCGTATTGTTAATATTGAGTTGAACGAGAATATCGCTCGCTGTTTTTGATGGCGAATGCTCCAATCTAAGTACACTTCCATTTTTCACTTCGTTGCGATTTTTTTCCGTAATGTAATTTTGATTATTGTTCTCTGAGAATTGAAGTGCAAAAAATTCTGGATCCGAAAGACTCCAGCCATTACAAAGTTCCTGAAACAAAAGAAACTATATGACAGAACACTTTGGAGTTAAAAAATGAAAACCAGACCCTTTGTTTAGATATTTTTAGTAAACCATCCTTAGAAAATTGCCTTTTTTTAAATTCCTTTGTTTATTGACGTTATTTAGTAAAATTTAATGAAACTTATTAAATTAAAATACAGTTCGTAATTATAATTCTGGGTTAGATTCTAAAAAAAAATCTAAGAGACATAATTTTTGTTTTTTAAATACTTACAGTAATTATTCCAGTCAAGGGTTGCTTTTGATTAAATTCTATCAATTGTGGCACTTTATCTGTCATTTCGACAGCAATTTTGACAATGTTCGTATCCTTTTGTGTGGGTATTTTTGTTGTTTGCGTATACATGACAATTCTATGTAATTTTACTTGTTTTGGTTTAATCTATGGTAAAAAAAATACTTTATTCTGTTAATAATTAATTTATGACAATTGTTTTTTTTCAAAAATTACTTGTCAAAACAATGTGACGGCGGTGACGGCCCATCAGCGTCAGGGAGGTGCCTGCAGAGCTGAAAGATTCTCGCGCACTTGTCAATTTTGAAAATATGTGAACTCGCCTTAATGGACATTGCCAACCCTGAGCTCAAGATTTTGTAAAAAGGCGCGAAAAATTAAGGCGATTCAAAACTATTTTTATCAATACGTCTCTTTTTATAATAATAATAATAGTAATAAAACTCTCTTTTTGGGCGCTTTCTGCATTAATTGGATTATATTGACGACATGAACGACACGAATAAAAGAACCCAACAGAAAAAAAATTTATAGGTTATGTTTGTGATACATTTTTTTTAAATATATATGAACGTTTATATTTAAAATTTATTTATTCTTCAACAGTTCACAGTAAATAAATATAATTTTTCATTGAACATTAGTCATAGAGTGTAAGTAAATGGGCTAGAGGTACATTTTCATAATCACTTTCACAGAGTAGATATAATTAGAATAAAATTAACATCTCTTAAATAATTAGCTATTTTTGTTGTGAATTAAAAAAATAATAATATCAAAAATATTTATTTTAACTATACACAAGTCTAGTACTTGAGCGACAAAAAAAAATAAATATTATTTATACATAAAAAAATTAATTTACTACATTTTTCAATAATAATCTTGTTATTAAAGTCAATCTTTTTTCAATTCCTTTTCTTTTTTCTCGGTATGTTCCAGGTACAAGTGATGAAGCATACCCAGGAAAAGACTCGTTACAACCACTCCTTGTGCCAAGACACGCATTTGAACTGCATAGACGCTGGTATTTACTGCAGGACCACGAGTTCTGTATCTTTGAATTCCATAACCAACCGCACCCAATGTTCCCAAACATCCTAAAATTATACCACGATATGTATATTTTTGTCTTATTTTATTCGTCTGATCATGAAAATTATATATAAAAATTCTGAGTAACAACCCAGATAACAATATTTGAGATTGATATGCGTCTCATATCACTCGCATGTATGAGGTTTCTTTTCGCACTCGTGCCTTCACTGATTATTGTAAAAAATTAAATACAAAAAACTAAAGTTAAATTTAAAATAATGTTTCATTAAAATTTTTTTATTTCAATAATATAAACATGGCATTAATACTGAACATTTTTCTCTTTAGTCTTGAACATACATAACCTCCTAAATAACCTATAATAAAAATTATAGCTGAGATCATAATTCGAAATAAATATAAACTTTTCAACACAAATTCAACAAAAGTCAACTGTATAATATAAATTAACAACTTGGACTGCGTCTAAGAGCCTTTCTATTCGAAGCAAATCAACTTTAAATGCCCTTATTCGATATGACCGTTATATTTTTTAATTTTTTAATTTAAAAACGAGTTTAAACAAACACAAATATTTATAAAACATAAAAGAAACAAAACCGTGATTCGCACACGCATTTTTTATAAATAACAAACAATCACGACATTCTCCAAACGATAAGAGTCAAGTTGTCATTAGATGAATATTGTTTCTTAATCATTTACAATAGGGAGAGGAATTTTCTTGATAAATAACCGAGTAAATAAATATAATTAATTAACTTTTGTTTTGAAAAATCGTTCTAACGTCTCAGCTGTTGGGAGAGTTTTAACAGTTTTAACAAGCTATTTGTCATAGACAATGAGTGTAAAAGGGATGCAAATATATGTTTGCTATGTTTACTCTCATGGCCTAGGGACAAAAAGAGCTTTAAAACGCTCCCATGGGACTCCGAAGCAGTAAAGGCCAAGGCAGAATAAATTATTAATCTTAATCGCAATAAATAAGAATGAATAAGAGAAAGACAGTCATATATCCCTACCCTAAAGAATCTATATTCTGTGTTGGTCTTTAAATTGAAAAAAAAATTCAAATAATATTTAATAATACTGATACTTACCAATAAACAGAAACGGTTTATTCTTAAATCCCTCGAACATTCGCGTATAAAACGGCTTCTCTGGCTCCTCAACCAAAAAATCATACGGATCCTTTTCCATTTTCACTTAAAATTTTGCCAAACTGTAACGAAAATTGTAACTTTTATCCTATAATAACTTGTAGATAATGATAAAATCAAAGAAATTAAATGCTATTGCATCACAATTTTTTTGTATAAATATGATAAAATTAGGAATCCCGGACTTTATCGAGAAAAAATGATAAAAGTGAATTATTTATATTTTTCATAATTTTTCAATGAAAAATATAAAGAAAGTATAATATCTATTTCACAAGTAGGTACTTACATGTTTAAAATTCTGGAATGATATTATAGTATGTACAATTTTTTGTTCGGTTCGAACTATCACTGAAGGTGGAAGTTAAAAATAATTCAAAAAAATATTTTCAGCCAAGAGCGTCATTTTAAAAATAGGAAGGATCATAAAATGTTAACATTAACCTAATAACATATACTAAATAATCACTAAATAATTATATGATTTGAGCAAGGTAATTTCCTTTCTTACGACCTACGGGTAAGGTTGGATAACCTTGGGACGTAGACTCATGTGACGAGCAATAAAATAAGGGTATAATAATTTCAATCAATCAGAATCAAGTTTCCTACTGTAGATTCAATTTAATAGGTTGGAATTTTATTGACTAAGTCATAAACCTGCTTCTCATGTGACTGCACCCTTAGTTATGTAATGATTTTTGTTTTTATAGTTTCATACAGTTGGCATTACTGCTAATTGCCGTTAATTGTCAGAAGAGGTTAGAACGTTTAGGAAAGAGGCATATTTCGAGAATTATAAATCTTTTAATATTGTGTAAATCTTAGCATTAATTATCAATATTTTACATTAATTTAGTTTCTTTTTGCCTAAATAATTGAGAGTTTGTCGAAGTTTACAGAGAAATGATAAAAAAGGAATATTTTTTGGATACACATTTCTTTTGTCAAATCGTCACTGATTGACGTTGAATTGGCATAATTAAATTTCCAATTGTTCAATCATTCCCTTGAGAAAATAAGAGTTTTAGCTCAACCTCAACTTAGAGTTTTAAATAATTTTAAAATTATTTTTACTATTAATAAGAAAAAATTTAAACTAAAAGCTAATGGAACCTGTGTTAGTGGATTTGGATTGAACACTGATGTACTTTGTTATTGAAATGGTATTTCAATAGTCAAAATTAAAATTATAAAAAATTATTTTAATAAAAATAAATTATAAAACAAGTATTTAATAGAAATGAAAAATAGAAGATATTTTAGATAATAAGAAATATAATTTCAGTTGAATTTAAAGTATAAGAAATTCAAAATAAGGTCAATAGAGTACAAAAATGTACTGAGGTGCACAACTAAATATGAAAAAGGCTCAGCTGACTCAAGGCCAAGGTTAAGAAAGAGAAAAGAAAATTTAATGTTTCAGAAATATAAAATTAATTTGGAATTAAAATAAGTATTATAAAAATAAATTATCATACCTTAATTTGATACAAACGAATTCGAAAAAAGAATAAATTTCTGATTAGCTAAAAATGGGGGTGGGGGAGATTAAAGAAACAAGTTTTGCTTTTTGTACTCAATATTGAACGTTTTGACAATTTATTCTAGACTTGTTTGCAAATTTAGAATATATTTATTAAGTTAATTTTTTTTAATGGTTAATTTCATTAAACTTTTACTAAAATTAATAGAATATGAACAAGAAATTAAAAAAAAAATAATGCACGAGATTGGTTGTTTTTGTATATTATTTTCGAAAATGAAAATTATGCAATAAATTTGTGATGCAGTCTGTGCTCTTTTAAGCATGGCATTGAGCAAAATTGATTAGAATTGTATTCAAATGCCGATTGTAATTGAATATCATTTCCACATTGGAAGCATCGTATTGTACATTTATTTCCCTGTCGCTGTTGTTGTATTCTTCTTTCAGCAGCTAAAGCTCTCTAAAAATTAAATTAGTTTTCAAATTATTATTACAGCTTTGATTTTTATCTGTATTTATTAAAATCTATTTTTAAAAAATTTACCTTCTCCCTATCACTGAGATTGAGAAATTCTTGTTTCGCAGCTTCCACTTGTTTTTTAATTTCAAATTCTTTTCGTTTCTCCTTCTTCTTATCTCGTTTTAACTTTCTTTGCTGTTTTCTCTTCTCCAGTTCTTGTGTTTCAATATCATCATTAAGTGGTCCGGGAATTTGCGACTAAAATAAAAATAATTCCCTTTTATAACATTGTTTAATATTTATAATAATATTAGTAAATTACCTTAGTGTAATTGAACTTGTCAGGATTTATGCTTAAATATCTTCTAAAGGTATTTTTAGTTTCCTTATCACTGGAAATTACATAAGGAGTTTGTAGTTTTTTGTTCTTGTTACAAGGATCAGAACCAATGTCCATTAGAGTCCAGATGGTTTTTAGATGTCCACTTAATGCCGCTATGTGCAATAATGTGTTTCCATCTTCATCCGATTCGTTTATTAGTTTCAGTACTTCGTCTTTAGTAATGTTAGACTTTTCTTTATCATCATTTTCTTCATTAATATTTTGTACAATATCCAAAAAATTCTCTAATATTGTCGTTAATGTTTCAAAGTCTCTTGATTTGAATGTTGACCACAGTTTTAGCTTTGTTGATATAAATATACTATTCGGTACTTGTTCTGAAAGATTTAAAATTAAACCTCTTTCAAATGAGAATGTAAAAATTAATTTAAATAAGAATTTAAATTTAAAATAAAAGAAATACCCTCGCTACGTTCTTTTCTTGTTTTCCTCTTTTGTTGTCGCATTTTTTTATTTTTTAAATAACGCGGGACGGTGTCTTGGAATGCCTGTAAATTTTCCTCAAAATCAATTTTTGAATCTTCGGCAGTCATGTGAAAGTCGATATTGTTTGATGAATTTTCTTGACCATACTCTGATTCGGAAGATGATCGCGCCAATCTGGCTACTATGTCTGGAAAAATTAATCACTATAAATTAATCGAAAAGTTATTTTTTTTTATTAATGTCGTCTTTATACCTGGCAATGGACGTCGAGGACTCTTTCTAGGTTTCGATCTATCAATTTGCATCCGGGTTGCAACACGTGTTTGTCGTTCTTCTTTCTTTTTCTCCTCGGAAGGACTACTTATACTACTCACACTACTGTCATCATTTTTTGCGATAGTTCCATTTTTATTCTCCTCATCAATCGCAACGACCTTCCACGATTTTTTCCTCAGCGGTTGTCGTGGGGAAATTGGAAAACAATCAGTAAAATCTGCCGCCGAACCTGTTGATAAAATTTATATTTAGCTTTTCCTTTTTCGGGAATTTGTAAAGAATTGTTTTTAATTTATAAAAATTACCATATGTTTCCATTGTACTGAGAATGTCGTAGACCCGTTGAACTTCACTGAAAGTTGCTCGTCGTGTAGGAAATGGCAGTGGTCGTAGCTTTGGGTCATTTTTATCAAGTGGAGGATTTTTGCCCCCAAAAAGAACACTTCGATTGTAAGGCCCCACTGCTCTGAATAAAATCAATGAGGAATTGTTTATGTGCGTTGTCCATGATTCCAGGATATCTTGAACATGCTAAAAGAAACGTTCAATCATTTTAATTAAGTTGATGATTTTTAAATCGACGAAAAAAACACAGTTGATGATCGATTTGTAGCTCCAACTCCTAGTGATCGGTTTGATCATCATAATTTTAGTTATATTCACCTGTATAAAAGTGGCTTCATTATAACGTCTGAGACTTGCTCCGGCACTTTTTGTATGACCAAATAACCGACCATCTCGATTACTCTGTGATGTTCCCTGCCGTGCTCTGACAACATAACTGTGAAAGGTTTTGTGCACAACTGCCTCACCACCTTTGTGTCAAAATCAATTATTTCATTAGTTTTTCGATTCAAAAAAAGAATTTCGTATTGAAATTAAAGATTTTCAACAGAACCGTACCCGTAAATACTGCAGCGGCAAAATGTCCACCTCCAAGCATAATAACAGTCCAAGTTGATTTCTTTCCACTCTCCATTGCTTGGGCAATCATTTCATTGTCGATTTCCGGAATTTCCTTTAATTTATTTAATTTTCAAAAATTTATAGGTACATCCTTAGAAAAGGTTTCTCTGATTATTACCAAAAGGTAATAGTCACAGAAACCTATACTAAGAATAAAATTTTAGCCCTACTTACCTTCTTGTTATGCAATAAACATCTGTAGATGCTGAAAATATTCCCCTCGTCATTTTCAAAGAAAACTTTTGCATGTCTGCTAGCAGTTGCTAGAAGGGAATTTTCCTTTTTCTCACACGAACCCGATGAGACTGGAGTATTTTTACCACCAGTTTCCGAAGTACCAGTGTCGTCTTCATTCTCTGATTCTTGTTCTGAGCCAGATATACTCGAAACATCATCTGTTAAAAGTTAAACGCAATCTTTTTGTAGAAAAAATAAGGAAAAAATTTAACATAATTGCAGTTAAATATAAAAACCTTTCTCCTCAAGAATATTAAATGCATCTTCAGTAACCGATTTCAGGCCAATAAGACGTTGTTTTAAATTATAGCGATGCCAATCTAATTTATAATGAAGTCGCTGTTGAGTTTGATCCTCAAAAACGGTGTTGCAAAAGGAACAACTTAACGAATCCGATATTACTAAATCGTCTAATAAATTTAACGGATTTTTTGATTCTGAAACTAAAATAACAAAGTTCTTTACACCCTACAGAATAAAGAACCCCTTAAGTGCCATGGCAAAGATTTGACAACCAAAATCTTAAGATTTTGTTTGTCAAATCTTTGCCATGGCACTTAAGGGATTAATATTATATTATGAAACGAATAAAAAGTATAAAATACATAATTATGTAGATGAAAAATAATATCTCAATGTCATCTAATGATGCAAGAGTATCATTGTATAATAAACAATTTAAAATAAAAATTCTTCAAGAAAAAAAACTTACCTGATGATTTAATTCTCATACACTGAGCCACTTTGATACCTTTGGTAATTTTTTTGAAATCTTCTTCATTGTAAATCTTAATCACCTGATTATCCATGATAATTATATATTTCTTTCGAATATACAAAAGTTGAACTTACTCTTATGATAAAAAACTTGTTTTTAAATATTTCATATATTTATTAAATATATACTTTTATATAAATACCGTAAAAAAAGGACTAAAATTAAAGTAAATAAACTTTACTACAAAAATAATTTAACTACAATAAAAAGTTAGAGGTGAAAAATACTTATTTCATGCTGGATAAGTAAATTAAAACTGCTGTTTCTATATACAGCTTATTTATATATATGTGAATATATTTTTGATGTGTGCAATAATTTACAAATTACATCATTCTTTGATATTCTTTCCAAAAAACATGCAAATTTTCATAGAACGAATGGCTTTTTTCCCGAGAAATCACCAAATGTCCTAAATTCTTGTTCAGTTTATCGCAACATAACCTATAAGAATAGAAGCATTTTCCCATTAATTGTACTTTTTTCCAATAAAAAAATATTCAGAAGAATAAATTAACAATTGAAAATTAATTTTCTCAATATGGAAATATTTTTTTTTGGGAAAAAATAAATTTTGGTCAACAAATTTAATTAATGATAAAGGGTCTAGGGACCCGTTTCTAAAGGATCGAATTTTACATTCGGAGAATCTTTTCAATTCGACAAAATCTTTCAATTTTTACAACAAACCATCTTCGACAATGGAAAATTATAATAATTCAAAAGTGTTTCAACATTAAAAATATAATCGAAACTTTTATTAAATTCATTAAATTCATCAAAACATCTAAAAACAATTCGATTGTTTATTTTCGCGCGTAAATTTTCTATTCTACAGGAACACTAGCGCCGTTCAGTGATGTATTTAAATGAAAATAAATCAAAATTTTTCCAATTTTCACAAATTTATCATTTTTGAATAAATTGTAAATGGTAAAATTGTATTTATTGTAAATACACAACATATAGGAAAAATTGTAGAGTTTAGACAGAAATTACATTTTTTTCTACTTATAGAAAGTAATAAAATTTTAAGGATCGGGTTCGATAGATTCCTTACTGCCCCCTGAGACCGTTATCTTTTATTTTATCATGTTTTTTTATTTTCCGCATTTTAACTGTATATGCATTTTGTTATAAAAGAAAATTCACATGAAAATGTTAAAAATAAAAACTTTGTCGAGGATAAAGATATTTTTTTGTATTAATAGATAAAATAGAAAATTTCATTCTATAATCGAGTAGTAATATTTTCTGATGACGTGTTTTGTATAACTTTAGTCAGAGAAAACAATTCATTGGAAAAGAAATATCTGCGCAACCGGCAAACATTGGTTGTGGCTACATTCACCTAAATTCTAAATCAGAATTATAATTCAATATAATTTACTGATATTCATTTCTGAATAGTGATTAACAATTAACAATTAACAATTTTATGTCAGGTAATTATTTTTAATTTTTGCACTACAATTTAATATATATTTATTATATTTCTTTCATAATCTATTTTTTAACTTTCGCTTCATTTTTTTTATAGAGGTTATTACGGTTTTTTGGAGCACATTATTTGGGATTTAAATTTTTTTAAAATTATTAACATTTTTTTGTATCTTTATCCCTGATTTAAAATAAATTATATTTTGATATTATTTTATTTACAATGACAGTAGAAATTACAGTAGAAATTTAAAAAATATATATATCAAAATTTGATAATGTTTAAAAAGAAACGATTTTCTTATAAAAAAAATAAGAATGTAACAAATCAAGAAATAGATATTTTTTCATTGTTAATTTATTCCCTTGTTTATGTCATTTTACTTTTATTATTCGGTATTCTAAATTAATTATTCAATCATTAAAATACATTAAAAATTCAAGTCATATTTTTGTCATTTAAACATTACATTTATCATTGGAAATTTGTTATTATACTTTTTTTGTAAAATGTAATTATATGAATGGAAAAATTTGTAAGAAATATTTTTATATTGGAAGAAAAATTTTTTTTTTAGACTTTGCATTAAAAGAAATAGAAGATTAAGATTCGGATCTTGAGAATATAATCATTTTTAAGTGGTAGGGTTGTATATGGTAAATCTCGGCAACCTTGAACGGTTAGTATTTCATTTGAAGTCAATTAGAGCGAATGATATTCTCTTACAAATTTCATTTCTGAAAGACATTTATCTCCTCAAATTCTTTATTATATAGTAAATATAATGTATAATGACAAGAAAAATTTGTAAGGCTTATTTTGCATATTGTAAATTAACAATTTGTTAGTATAATTTATAATTTTATAATTAGAATTAAAATTTATGTAAATTATGGGAGTAAAAAGGTAGAAATTAAATTAACTATTCTTATAAAAAGTAATGATTATTTTTGTGGTTTGTAAATAATTAATTTTTTAATATTAGTCATCAGTAATAATCATTTAAAAATAATGTTAAGAAAATATTTAGTAAATGAATATTTCTTAATGTTTAAATTCATATGTGAAAATGTCTTCAGTTCACATGTAGATCTTTAATATGCTGTAACTTCTTCAATTTAAATCCGTACGACCCCAAAATTTATTCACGTGAGTTAGAAAAAAAAGTTAACTCTTAATTTGGAACCACTAAGAATATCATATTTCTTGCTTATCGATAACATTGGTAGTTTGAGTATTCCAAAATCCAAATGTTAAAATAAAATTCGATTGTGTTAATTACAAATACTTTTTTCCGTGCAGATTCATACCACCCATATATATATATTTATTCATATAAGTTAGAAGAAAAATTAATTTTTAATATAAAAATTAATTCATAATTAAAATATGTTTTAATAGAGTATTTTCTAATTTAATATACAATTTTTTAGCTGCACATATACCGTTACTGATAAATTAAGCATAAAAGTTTTCAAATACCTACATTTTTATGGTTAGTGATAAAAATTTGAAAGTAGTTTACTAGATAAGAAAAAGTCAACTTCATTTTTAGTTCATTCGTTTTTCTCTCTACAATTTTGTTGAATCATATTTTCGTTTTTATATTTAATTGTTTTTTGAAAATACCTTCTTTTAGAAATATAAAAAGAAACAATTCAACTATGTCTGGAGATTCAAAAAGTTTCGCATTTCAAGAAAATGTTGATTGGATGGATGATTTACCATTGGGAGGGGATTTGGAAAAATATCGAAATACTGCCACTTTTAATTGGAAACAACTTCGTATGATTTTGGAAGATCCGGATAGAATTCGATTAAAGGCAATTATCTAAAAATTTCGTTGACTCATTCCTTACGATTACGATTCCGCTTTCAAGAATTGATTCTCCTTTGGATCTTTATAATTATTAAAAATATTTTTTTTTCTATAGACAAAATTATGGAAAGCAATGGAATCTGATCCAGAGTTTCATCCATATCATGGTATAACATTGAGTGCCGATGAGCAGAAACGACGATCCGCTATTCAATTAGCTCGATTACATCATCAGAAGCTGTTACCAAAAAATATTGACCAAATGAGTTATGGAACGAAGGTAAGTTTTATTTTTTAAGAATATGGGTGATGTACTAATCAATCTAGGTTCTAAAGCTAATATGTTATTAATTTTTGGGTTAATTTTCCTAGACAGGTTATCTGATGACGTTGAATGAAGCAACTGCAATGTTTGACCCTTCATTATCGGTTAAAATAGCAATTGGAGTCTACCTCTTTGGCAATACGATATTAAGTTTGGGAACTGAACGACATTTACCAATATTTGACGCAATTTGGAATAAACAGGTAGAAGATACTAATTTTATAGTATTATTTATTAATTATCAAAGAATGATAAAAAAAATACCTGAACTGAAAGGAATTACTTTTGCCTTATTAAAACTCAATTTTGTAATTATTTGTAAGCTGTTAGGATGCTACGCATTAACGGAAGTGGGTCATGGAAGTAATACAAAAATGATGAGAACTACCGCGACTTATGATCCAAAGACACAAGAGTTTATCCTCCACACACCTGATTTTCAGGCTGCCAAATGTTGGGTTGGTAACTTAGGTAACTATTGGCACTGATTAAATTTTCTAATAAAGGATACTTTTAAAAATTTTAATTTCTCTTGCTTCGTTCTTTTTAGGAAAGACGGCAACAATCGCAATTGTATTTGCACAGCTCATATCTCTCGAAGTCTGTCATGGTCTTCATGCCTTTATAGTACCTGTTAGAAATCCAAAAACTTATTTAGCTTATCCGGGAATTATAGTAGGAGACATTGGTGAAAAAATTGGATTAAATGGAATCGATAATGGGTAGGTTTTTTTAAAGTTACTACGGGTTGAGAAAAATTGCTCTGCAAATCATCTTTCTAAATTCATTAAATTGTCTAGAGATCCTGTTCTATTTTACAATATTTGTTCATTTGCAGACGTGTTAGTCCATACAGGTATTAATTTTTTTTAAATTTCTATTGTTGCAGATTTATTATGTTTAACAATTATAGAATACCAAAGGACAATCTGTTGAACAGAACGGGAGACGTAACTCCGGAAGGAGAGTACGAAAGCTCCTTTTCTGATCCACAAAGAATTCTTGGCGCTGTTTTAGAAAATTTATCCGCTGGTCGAATGGGTATTTGTCAAGAATCAACCAACAGAATTGGCTCTGCTGTTGTTATTGCCATTAGATACGCAGCAGTTCGAAAACAATTTGCCTCCTCCTTAATAATGGAAGAAGAAATCGAAACACCAATAATTGAATACGAACTTCATGTAAATAAAACCTAAATTTTCAGGATACTCTGAAATCATATTTTTTAATCTAAAATATCTTTTTATAACTACAGCAATGGAGATTGTTCCCGTATTTAGCCGCCGCCTGTGTCTTTAGAATTTTTATGTCTGAATTTACAAAAGTGTACCTGGAGAGTGTAGAAAAATCGATGAGAGGTGACGATATACCCAATCTTGTGAGTGGAAGATAAATTTACAAAAATAGTATCGGGGTGTTTTTGATCTTTTTAAAATTGTTTGAATTTTAAAATTTAGAGTCAAATTGTTGCTGAAATTCATTCAATCGTCTCGGCGATCAAACCGCTGATAACATGGACGTGTAGGGACGGTATTCGCGAATGCAGAGAAGCTTGTGGTGGTCACGGTTATCACAAAAGTAAATTTCAAAATTTTGTAAATTTGTAAAGTTTCACTAATGCGCCGAAATCTTTTCTTGAATATATTTTATTTTATTTCCCTAGCTGCCAATTTAGGTGATATGGCGGCAAATCACGAGCCAACTGTAACTTATGAAGGCGATAATAATGTTCTCGTTCAACAAACAAGTAATTGGATTCTTAGACAGTGGACAAATTTGCAAAATGGTACAGCAACTGAAAGTCCCCTAGCTTCTGTTCCATTTCTTCTGAAAGGTTCAGATATTCTTAAAAATAAATTCACACCAAATGGAAAGAAAGATCTTATGTCGTTGGACTGTAAGTACTTTCATTTGAAAATAATTCCAATTGAAAATTTGTATTACAATTTATTTTAAATTACAATTTATTTTCTAAACTCGCAGTTGTTAGGGATGCTTACGAATGGTTAATCACCTGGTTAGTTAACGAAACACAACGAAAATTTGACGAGGGAATCGCACAAGGATTAGACAGTTTCACCGCTAGAAGCAGATCCCAAGTTTACAGGGCTGCAAATTTATCCAAAGCTTATGGCGAGGTATAAATTTTTCAACATATTATTAATAAATCGAAAGAAAGCTAACATAAAATTTATTTTTCAGATGATTGTGATAAGGTATTGTGTAGTTAGAATAGATAATTTACTGCCGCAAGATGCTAAAATGAAAAGTTTAAGAATCGTTTTGGAAAAATTGATTCTGCTTTATTCACTGACCTGCCTTGAAAAACATTTGGCCAGTTTCTATCAAGGTAAATAGTTTTAAACTAATTAATGAATTTTAAAAATTTATTGATAACACCTTCATCCAACGCCAAATGTTAAATTGAATTAAGGAAAGAAACGCTTTAATAATTCTTTTAAAAAATTTTGTCAAATAATTGTGATCCAACAATCCATATCAACACGAACAGCAAAACGATGAAAGTAAGGAAAGAAACACTTTAATAAATTTTTTAAATATTTTTTTAATTGTAATCCAACAATCCACATCAACACGAACACCAAAACTAGATCCGCTTTATGCCTTGTTATTAAATGTACATTTTCTGTTGCAATAAAAATTATCTATTTAAGGTGGATATTGTTCCGGGACACAAATGGCAGATCTCTTAAAACAAAGTATATTAAGTTTACTCGCACAATTAAAATCTGAAGCTGTTGCAATTGCCGATGCTCTAGCACCGCCAGACTTCATTCTTAATTCGGTCTTAGGCACATCTGATGGAAAGGTAAAACCTACTTTTTAATTTCCAAAATATTATTAAATCTAGACTTAATATTAATTCGAAAGCAAAAAAATTAAGTTAGTGTTAATTTAAAAAATGTTAAGTTAATGTAATTAAAATTTAATTCAAGATGTACGAACATTTAGAAGAAGCCTTTAGATGCTATCCTGGAGGAATGGAAAGAGCTTCCTGGTGGACTGAATTAATATCAGCATCGAAAAATCCTCTTCAAAGTCTAGTGTCAAAACTTTGACATAATCAACCCAATTTTAGAAGTTTATGAAAAATTATTCAAAATGTTTAAACTTCAAAGTATAAAGAATAGTATTGTTATCAAGTGATAGTTACAGATTTGAAGCCTTTTTCAAAGATTTATTTATATTTTTACACATTGCATTTAGTGAATGTTATAATTATAAATCCAGTATTTTCGCACATTTTAAGAATTTTTAAGTATAACTGAAAATCTTCAGTATTCTGAATAAAGTTTTAATATTACGCACTAGTATTAAAAATATATCAGGGAAGAGCATTTTTAAAATATCTTAACACACCTTTGATTTTATCCACTTTGATATATCGTTTTAATGAAAAACCTATTAAAAATGTTAAATATTTTTTAAATTGAGTTATATGGAAATATGCACAAGAATATTATTATTCAATAATAATATTAATTACTAAATTTAAATTAATTATTATATATGGTACCAAGTACATTTTAAATAAAGTAATTTTTAAACTTTCTGAAATTGAAGGTGCGTTTAAGTTCGATAAAAAATATTATTAATTCTTTCTACTTGTAATTAAGCTTCAAGTTTTATTATTAACATCGTGATAATTAATGAATCTACACTTAGTTTTAAATTGACTTTATGAATATTTTTTTATACTCACTAACATTTCTGATGATTTATTTTATTTAAAGTCCGAGACAGTATTTTTTTAATACTATAAAACACTTTAGTGAAAGCTGAGACAGAAGGGAATCGCACAAATGTATAGTACAATTGTAAAGCCAGTTACATTGATAAATCTTTTACATTGTTAAGAGAATTTTTTTACAATAAATTGTCTTGAATTAAATTCGTATGTTTTAATGTGAACCTGTTCTCGCGATAAGAGCAGCGCTTCAACTGAACGATCTCGTGCGGTGCGTCGGCTTATATAGCCTAATAGGTGGGGCGACGCATGCGCTGTATCGACTAGGTCCAGGACCGTAACAACAAAATTCGTGCCCTATTTCTAATAATATCTAATAAATAAATTTCAAAGGAACTTTATCGTAAATCAGAACTTAAATCACTTTTTATTAACAAAAACGTTTATTTTCGATTAAATAATAAAATTTTTTTTTGAATACTTTTAGCCATATTGATTTGAAATTGCCAGATGAAGTCTACTTGGCGGTGGTCGACGAAGGGGCGCTAACGAAACTCGGGTTGATTCTCCAGTTTCATCTAATTAAATTAATTACTTATCAATTTTATTTATAAAGAATATTATCAAAATTATTATCAAAAATTAGAAAATTTTATCTCTTTACAAATATTTCTGTTATTATTGACTAAATTCATAAGCGGATACAGAAGGGGAACACTTTCCATTCTCCAATCGTTAATTTCTTCTGGATTTGAATTTTGGATCTACAATTTTAAAAAAACAATTGAAAAAATACGGAAAAAGTAAAACATTTTTGTTTTCCAAATAAAAATATTTAAGAACAATTTTTGTTAATTGTAAAAAAAATGTTGGTCATTTAAAATTTTTAATTGATAGCACTTTAATAAATTAATGATTGATTATTTACAGTTTCTACATTTGACGATTCTGACATTAAATGCAATCCTAATTGTACTGGAGCTTCGTTAATTAATTCATTAAATCTAACTGCAACTTGCCTCCATTTCACTAGATCCGCTGGCTAAGGGAAATAATAATTATATTCATTATTATATTTATTAAATTATTAAAAATTAATATTATAGATATAATTGATTGAGAGATGAAGTTTAGTTAAAAATTGTAGAAAATAATGATGATAATTTTCTAGTTAGCCTTAGTTATGAGATGGAAAATTTACTCCGAGATTAAAAAAAACAGGAAGCAGTGTAATTGGAAGAGGAGATCCGTGTAATTCCGAGGGTGGTGCAGATAATGCCAAGTGATTCAAAAGACCTAAAATGTGGGCTAATAATTCCCCATGACGTCCTATTAAATCCTGTCGAATCAAACCTAAGGCATCTCGGGCAACTTCTCTAGCCTCCACTCCAGGATTGTCAGCTAATTTATATTTGTGGAAATTTAGAAATTTTTAATTAAATACTTTAGGAGTAATAGGGTGTCTACAAATCGGAAAGAAAGACTTGTACTTCTATCCTTGTTACACTCACTACTCAACGCAATGTGAACACCGCCTAAAGCGCACGCGCGAAAAGTGAGAGTGGGGATTGCAGGGAGTATAAATTCAGAAGCTCTGCGTCGAGCATAGTCATTCCTTCCTCTGCTCGCATGGGAAGCAGTTGCAGCAGCAGTTTTCACTTTTGTTATTCACTGTCTTTTTTGTTACATTTATTGTTAATTTATCTTTTCTTCTTTTTTCGTAAAAATAATTATTTGACATTATTGGTCTTTAATAATTAACGGTAATGAAAAGCAGATTTGGACGAATAGAGAAAAAATTTATAGAAACATCCAGGAAAGAAAAAATTAGTTAAAAATTTCTTTCGAAGTAGACACCCTGATAATTAATTTTTGCATATACCAAGCATTAATTCCTGAACTCTTAGGGGAATGACAGGTTTTTTTAAATCACACAAATAAAGACGAAGTGCTGCGGCACATTCTAACGCTGAGCCATTATCAAAATGAGCCTTCTCTCCTTTCTTTAAAGCATTCAAAATCCTTTTTCTCAAACTATGTCTGCTCGATCTTCGAAACAGTCCTTCTTCCCTGGCATCTATTATTTTATTATTCGCGCATATAAATAAAATTAAACTTTTGTCTCATATTTAACTTATCAATATTCAATTTTACCGAATTATACAATTACAATAATTAATTATATAATTACAATATAATTAATATCAAACGGAAAATTAGTTACAATGAATAAATCAAAAACTCACGTTCTTTTAAAAATGCTATAATTCCTTTGACGGATTCTAGTGACTTTTGCGATATTATGTCATCTTCTGATTCATCCCTAAAAATCAATTTTGTCGTAAATATTTAATTTTCTTATTTTTTGGCTTTTGACAACTTTTTGCATGTGATTTCAAAATTCTCTTGCTAAATATACTTTTTACTATAAAAAAATCGCACACTTATTACTAGAGTTGAGTTTATACAAATTAATACCTTTTCGATAACTGAATTCCCATTATTTCGATAATTTTGAATTCTGTTCTTTAAATGATTCAAAAATGACTGCGAAATGTTTGCAGCAGTTTTCAAATTCTTGTTTCGTCTTCATATGGAAATTATCTGCTTTAATATTTTTTTTTAATCGTTAATATAGTGAATAAGAGAGAAAAAGAACGAAATAATTTCACCCGACATACAAGAATTGGGGGTTAATTTAAAAAATTTTGAAGTTTCGACATTTTTTTAGTTTCACTCATTTTTTGTCTTTTGTTATTTTATTATTTAGGAGTTTCTTCCAATTTTTTTCATAACCTTCCAAAAAGTGTGAAATAATGGAACGAAACTAAAATTAAATTTTTTTATTAATAATAAATAAAATCATTGTTTGATTTTAAATGTTCCCTACTATTTCTAAAATTATAATAATTAATATTCAGTTATTCAATAAATAACAAAAGTTACTTAGATATAGAAAAGTTATTTTATTTTACTAAAAGTTTGATATTTATAAACTTTATTTTCTTTGTTTATTTTAATTTAATATATTTTTAACATATTTTTTTTAATTCTTATAATAATAATAATATGTAATTTTGGAATTAAAGTTTCCTGTTCTTATGATAATTGTTGACAAATATATACTCGTTTTGATAAGAATTCAAAATTGTGGGATAATATATTAAAATGTTGCGCATGTTTCACATCAGTCCTCAATCTATCAAATTACTTATCAATAAAGATCTCATTATCAATTAATAATGTAGGAATGTTATTTCCGCCAACAGTTAGAAAACAGTGATTCAGAAAAGTGGAATTTTATGGTTGTTTTCTATAAATTTTTTTCCCTTCGTTTTTCAAATTTTGTCAGTCAATTTTTATTATCAGTGAGGAGAGTTTATTTTCATCGGATAATGCGGATAAAAGAAGAAGGAACTTGTTTTCTTTTTTTATCTCTTGTTTTTATAAATTTTATCGACATTATGGCCGAAGGGAACGATTCTTCATCGGATGATAGAATTGTATTTCCAGATGAATTTGAAGAGGTATGTAAATAAATATCAGCTATTCATAAATTTCGAAAAAAAAACTTTTGTCTATTTTTATTGAACAAACTTTTACGTTGGAGTAAAAACCACTAAAATAAAATGACTATTTTTAATTATTTAAGGGTTTATCATAACTAGGGGACTAGGGGACATTGTATAGCAAAATTTATTTTATATTTATTTATATATATTCTATATATGTATATATAAATACATAATTATTTAAAATATAAAATATTTATGTAAATATAAATAAAATAGAATAGTTTCAAACCGATACAAATTTTTATAATTTATATTTTTATTTTATATTTTTATAATTTTTTCTCTTTTATATATTTAATATATCTCTTAAATTATATTGTATGGAATTATAGATAAAGGCTCAAGAAGAAATTTTAATACCGGAAAATATTCAGGTGACGGAAAGTAGAAACAAAAAAATAGATTGCAATGTAGAGGATGAAAAAAGAAATGTTACACCTCCAACTTTAAAGAACAGAAATATTATCGACGCACCAAGTCGATGCCCCGAAGGATATCGAGCTGATCCTACAGGAAAATGTAGGAGAATTTGGCATTAGGTATACTTTTTAGTTGTATTTTTAATTTTTAACAGCATATGACTCTTGGATCTTGAATGCTAATTTTTACAACCTTTTTTTCTATATAATTAAATAAATTGATATTTTGTGAAAAGTCTAAAGTTTAATAAAAAAAGTTGCAAAAGTTTACAATATTTTTTAAAATTAATCATTATAGAACACTTTAAAATTATTTGTGAAAAATATGAGGCTTGATCGTCTCAACCGGTAATTTTAAAGTGTTTTATATTTTTATAATTTAATTAATTTTAAAAAAAATTAAAACTTTTTCATCTCAATGCCCTTTATCATCATATTTTAGACTTCCTGACAAAAAATTACTTTAATTTAATTTATATTAAGAAAAATGATCAAAAAAATGAACAGTATCCTAACAACTAGGTACATGCTTGTTAATTTAAAAAAAAAATCTTTTTGAAATATATTCTTTTCAAGTTATATTTATACGTAAAATTGTATATATTAATTTTTCAGGACTGTAACAATGTCACACTTGATATTGCGATTTTTGTTGTAATTTATAGAAATAGAATAATATATATAAAACACCATCATCGGAGTAAATTATTACTGATTAGATTATACTTTAAATGAACCTCTAATCAACATTATTTTACATATACAATGTATTTATGAACATTGTTTAGAATAGAAAATTCTAAATTTTAATAAGTGGTTGATTTTAAAAAAAAATGTTAAAACAAAATGTCTCATAGATCATCGGTAGTTGTAGCGAAATGCTGAATTAAAAAAATTAAAAATAAACACTAAATCAAAGAATTTAATTTTTTTTGCAAGAGCGACCTATATAATAATGATAGGTAGATGTAAAAATTAATAAAAAATTTTTTTTTTTTTTTAGGGGTAAATAGGTAGCGGTTTTTACACATTGTTCTTGGAACTTATCTAAGAATAAAGATAGTCCACAGTAAAAAGTTTATTCAGTAGATAATTATATTTGTTTTGAGTGAACAATGGAAGATAACAGTAGGAGAATTTTCGAGTCTCTAAGTCAAATATGCAATAAATAATAGTTTTATTATAATTTGCATATAAATAACTCGATCCTATAGCAAATAAGGAGATTCTTCTCTTAATTTTTATATCAAATATAAGCATTAATGATTAGAAACTATATATATTAATTCAGAGTTCTTTTTGAAAGTATCAAATTGATACTAAAGTGTACCAAATTATGTAATACCAAAAATTTGGATCAATGTGGATCAAATCAAAAATTAATCCAAATTTTTGGTATTTAACTTTTAAGTTAACAGTGTTGGTATAAAAAGTCGTTTTAATTATTAATAATCACAATTGTTTAGCAATATAACACTATTATTTACTAAATTTAATAATTATTTTTAAAAGTGGCGCGTAGAGGAAGAAATTTAGAAATTAAGAACAATAAAAATCATAAAAGAATCACTAGAAAAAATTTAAAATTTTTAAAAATTTTCATTTTTTGCAAATTAAACCTGTTTCACCAGAATATAGCATATTGGAACTATATCTGTAGAGTAAATATGATCGTGAACTGAAAGGGCTTCTTAAAAGAAAAGTGTCTGTACGACAAACAAAATAACACACCACACACGTTATACAATATAATATACATGTATACAATATCAATACACGAGTATAGTCTTCTCAACACTAGTATGTACACATACTTCCGCAAGAAAATATATAAATTATATTCTTATACAAATATTAATTAAATTTTCTCGAGTGGAAATGCGAAATGAAGAAAAAAATGAAGAATTAAAAACACATTGTGTGTAGACAAGTTCGAAAGAGAAGTGCTATGTATGAGGAAGTCATGTGAGATAAGGTGAAGCTTATCTCGAGTGTTTTTTGAGGTCCATTTTTTATTGATATGTCTTTAAAGAATCTACATAATATCTTGCCGGCAACGGCTTGAAGGAAAATTGTATCATGGCCGATCCAACAATACAGACCTTTTGCTGTCATTCTAATAATGATTCGGATATGTCGACAATAATAATGAAACAATTTAATACAAATGCTTATAATATTGTGTGTATGGTCTCTTCAATTATGGGAATTTTAGGAGCAATTTATCAGGTAACAAATATACATAATAAAACGATAAATTAATTTCTTATCTTTCCGCTTCCTTATATTCTTCAACAAAATTTGAATATTTTGAAATCTGTTTACACTTTTTATGATTTTTTATAAATTCTTCAAAATCAAAGATTTTCTTCTTTAGGATTAAAATATTTATGATTCTATTATAGTGGGTATTTTTTTCGATTAAAATTATTTTACTGTTTACCAAATTCTTAAAGACTTGACAAAAAGAATCTACATTTTTGTCAAGTTTTTTAAGAAATTGGCATTAACTTAACAGTCAATTAACAGTCAAGTGTTATTTTTTTCAATGATTTGAATCGAAAACAATATCTACTATCATATTAAGAATCATGAATATTTGAATCCTAAAGAAGATCAAAGAGTTTAAAAATCGTAAAGAGTGTAGCATACAAACAAAATTCAAATAAGTTAAATTGTTGATGTTCAAGAAAATGTTCAGATTGCAAAATAAGTTAAAATAGGATAAGATTTTTTATTTTTGTATCAAAGGTTTTACCTCGTGAGGATCCTGGCTTGCCACAAGGATGGCAGAGCTTTTCCGGAACCAGAGGAAGGCACATAATCATTTGTCTTGCTGTAGCTGATTTTTTCGCTGCTCTAGGTACTTGTAAATCTAAAAATTAATCTTTTACGTCCGAGATATATTTTACTTTAACTATTTTCATTCAGGTGTTTTCATCAGATCTGCATTATGGATGAATTTTAAAAGTATAATGCCATTAGAACATGATACCACAAGTGTTATTTTCTGCACTCTTTCTTCGGTAAAATATTTTTTCTTTCAATCAACATCAAAAAGAAAATGAAACTGATGATAAAGTACAAACAAAAAATACTGATTCTAGGCTTGGATACAATACTTTTACATGGCAACTTGGATCTGGACCTTTTGTTACGCGATTGATATGAAACTTCTACTTGCAGAACGATCGGGTTATCCAAAATTATACCACGCTTTTGCTTGGATCTGCCCGGCAATTTTGACTACTGTTGGTCTTGTAATATTATACGTACCAAATGCCAAGTAAGTTTCCAAGTTTTTGAAAAATTCTATACAGACTATAATTAAGCAATTTTTGACTTTTGGGTTTGTTAGTTTTATTATTCATAGCTTTCTAGTTTTTAGTCTTTTAAAATTAAATTTTATTCTTTTTCTAATAAAACAGCTGCCATAGCTTAACGAGCCTCTCAACGGCATTGCTGAGAATTCTTCCCAATTACTGTGTAACATATGTCCTTCTGGCAATTGTTATGATTCTTAATCCACTGCTATATATTTCATCAACAAAGGATTTAAAAAATGCCGTCACATGTAGTATGGCACAAATGACGAATCGAGAGAGAAAATTAGTTCAGACTGTACGTTTAAAATTCGCATTAATAAACGTTACTTATTATATTTGTTGGATTCCAAATATAATTAATGGAATTCTCTTGTGGACACTGTGGTTTGAATTACCGGTCAAACTCATCATAACTCTATGGTTTATTATGGTAAATAGTCTCCAATTATCAATTAGTATTTTTAATTATCAAAATGTAGTTTAAAATAACTAAAATGTGGTCAAAATTAAAATTAAAATCGAAGTCAAAATTAAAATCGAAATTGTAATCAAAATACCGAATAATTTTCAGGCTGTTACGAATCCACTTCAAGCATTCTTCAATGCTTTAGTGTATCAAAAATGGGGACGTCGTGAAAAATTTCGCCTCGATTGGTGTTATAAATTAAAAAGATTGAGATTTGAGCAAAGCAGAAGTAAATCAAGTTCAGGAGTTAGTGAAATTTCTCCACTTCTAACATCTCGATTTCAGCATACACCGCACACAAGTATCAATGGTTCTTCATCTCTCTAAGACTGTGATATTAAATATTAGATTCGAAAATCGAAAATCAAAAATCTAAAGTTCAAATAAATTTTTATAGGTCACAATTATTAAATTAAGTTTTTTAAAACTTTCTTTTTGTCTTTAAATAGGATCCTTTACTCAAAAATAAAATACGGATCCCCAATAATATACTAGATATTGAAAATTATTTTAGATTACATTAATCTAAAATCTATTTTTCGAAAATCATAGTTTGTGTGCGTGTGTGTTTTTTACTTATTGTAATTTAAGATTTATAAAATATATGCGTCTTGTGCTTTTCGTAATACTCTGTACATATATGAATGTAAACATTCTTAAAAATTAATTTAAATTATTAAATATTTTGTCTATTGTATATTTATATATATATTTGTACAAATAGCAGAAAATATATAAAAATTTGCTACTAATTTTTGCACATTTTCTACTTATTATTATTTTTTTTTTTTTATTATTCATTTAAATTTATATACTGAAATTGTAGAATTTTTATAAATTTTACAAATTTTTACTTACAAATGTGTCTATTTATTTTTTTTCGGGATCTTGTCAATTCGGTAAAAATGCATTCGGTACAATGGTTTTTAGGAAAACGAACTTTCGGTAAAATTGTAATTTTATCGAACTTTTAAAATTTTTCTAACTGTTTTCCTTTTCGAAATAATTTGAAAAATCCTCATTTTCCAGAAAAAAATAATTTCAATGTTTTATCACTTCAACTCGTGATAATTTGGTTAATTTTGAATATTTTTTTAATGAAACAAAAAAGAAATTTGAAGCTTGTAATATGCTGAAAACAAAATGAGCATGGAAATTGAAAATATATTAAAAACTAAAAAAATAATAGCAATTTTTTTTTTAATGAAATGCAGAAAATGTGTTTTTAAGTCTTCAAGCGCTTGAAAATTTTAAGCCCTGACAAACATCCAGTGAGAAAGTTGTTTATTAATATATAAAGAAGTTTTCTGTGAAGTTGCAGTAACATTGGATACATACCTTAAAAGTTATTAATGTTTAAAGTTCGAAACGCATCCTGACGTAGTCCTTATTATTTTTCAATTTTTACAATGTATTCGTAACTTCAAATATTTAATTCTTTTTTTTGAATTTTTTTCCATTTTTGCACTTTATTTTACTTTATTTTTTAACACTTACCGATTAATATTTAAAAATATAAGAAAATAATTGTAACTTTAGAATTTAAAACATTAGAACTTGAATATGTTTTAAAATTTTTAAAAAAATCATGAAATGAGTTAACTTTTTGCTGTTGAGATAAATCAGTATTTTAAACAGAAACTTAAAATTTATTTAATATACATTACAATAGATTAAATCAAGAGGTAGAGTCCACGTATCCTCATTTTTAAAGACAAGGAGTTGGTCAGTTTGGAATTAAAATTTTACAGCAATATTCACTGCCACAGCAGACTGAAAAATATTTTTAAAAAAATTTTACTTACACCATCGAAAATAGTTTAAAAAATGCATTCTTCTTTTCAAGAAAACAAAACTATTTAAATGTATACCATTCAGTATTAAAAATTACAAACAAATATTTATAAATTAATTCTGAATTGAGATTACGAAAACATTTAGTTTTAAAATAATTTATTTATACTTTTTGTAGTCCACTGACTACTACTCGTTATTAATAACTTGAGAAATGAAAAATTACTTACTTCATGACAGAAAGTGGTGGCATTCCTACATCTGCTCCTTTCGCAAATCCTAAATAAGCAAATTTTTTACTTCGATAAACAGTAAATAGAGAAATTGTAACATTAAATTTCGACAAAAAGAGAATTTTGAACACATTTTGAAAAAAAATTGCATTGTAAAAATGAACATAACCTAAAAAACTTACCAAGATATAAAACCGCTGGCATGAATCCCCAGTGGAAGACAACTTTCGTCATATTCAGAACAACGGACACTCTTTGTTTACTTTTTGTAGATAAAGCCATTTTTTTATGCTCTTGATTTATTATTTTTTTTGTTTGAATTTAATTAAATTCACACTTTTCAGTTTTCTGTGGAGCCCTTGCTGACAATTCCCAGATTCCCACTCTTTTTATTTTGAACTTAAAGGCACATTCACACAAATCAACGGTTATACAAAATGAACAAATTTGATTGGCTGTCCATTTGTCTGGAATATTGGACAAGTTTTAATGTCAAAACGAATAAAATTCGTGAGATTTGTCTGTATTTTTTTGCAACCAAAATTTAAATTTTTCAAAAGTAATTAATAACAAACAAATATGTACCTAATAATATTAATTAGCAAACTGTTTTGTATTTCCAATTTGTAGTGTTAACCGATTGTTGAATTTCTTGTGGAATAAATAAAATAATTAATTAAATATTTATTAGACTAAATAAATATTTATTTAATAATTAAAAATATTCTTTAAATTTTTTCGATTTAATTAATAACGTTAATAATATTAATTGTTCTATTTTATAATAAATTCGAAAATTTTGTTTTCAAAATTTCCTAATTTTATATTTTTAGATTTATTGAAAAGGAAAATAAATTACTTCGTTTTTTTTAAGTACAATAACATTCACAGTATATTTTGTAAAAGTTATACAAATAGAAATAAAAAAAAATTGTATCACTGTAATACATTAAATTCCTTTAATTAAAGGAACGAGGTACTTCTTCTTGTCATTATTCTTTTTTTCTAATAACTCTACAGTTTTTTTTTTAAAGAAACATACCAAAATTAGTAATTTGTGAATTTTCATTACGTCGATTATTATTTATTTATATCGATAAAAATATCAAGTTTTCTCTGAATTTTCCTTTTTTTTACTTTCAATAAGAAAAAATTTAAAATAATCTTTTTACAGTGTACATTCACATATTTTTTTTAAATATTAGAGATCAAATACAAAAAAAAAAAAATGGGACAATGACAAATATCAACAGTCAGCACTTGAAATATTACGATTAAAATATATAAATATTCGCATTTAAATGTTGTACATTAAATTCCATTCTATCAGTCGAAAAAAGCCTTGTAAAAAGTCGATGTTTAAAAAATTTTTGAGTAAAAATTTTTGTTTTGAGATATTTTTCTTAATTTTATTTGACACCTGAGATTAAAGAGATGGGATTTATCCATTGAAATAATTATATTTCAATAGAAGCTAATGTAGACTTTTTTTTCATTTATTTTTCACTTTTTTTGTTTACATTAAAGCCTTAATGTAATGATTGTTACCATTCCTAGAAAAAAAGAAAATTTCTTTTATTATTTTTCTTATATAGAAAAAAATATTTTGTTATTCAGGATTCCTACAGAAATCCGAATTTAAAATTCCACACCTTTTCCATGATTTTCAGGTCAAACTTTTACGAAATTCCAGTGAAATTTTAAATCTAATTTCAATATTTTTGGGCTTTTTAAAAACACTTTACTTATTTAATAGTCTCGAATCTTTGGTAAAAAATCTAAAATTATCAAAAATTCGAAAAAATTTAAAAAACCAAATTTCTTAAAATTCAACACTTTTTCCTGTCTTTTATGGGATTTAGCTTCATTATTTTTGTGCTTTTGGAAAATACTCTACTTATTTAATAGTGTCGACTCTTTGGTAAAAAATTTAAAATTATCAAAAATTATCAATAATTCAAAAATCCGAATTTCTTAAAATTCAACATTTTTTCCTCTCTTTTATGGGATTTAGCTTCATTATTTTTGTGCTTTTGAAAAATACTTTACTTATTTAATAGTCTCGACTCTTTGGTAAAAAATCTAAAATTATCGAAAATTATCAAAAATTCAAAAATCCAAATTTCTTAAAATTCAACATTTTTTCCTCTCTTTTATGGGATTTAGCTTCATTATTTTTGTGCTTTTGGAAAATACTTTACTTATTTAATAGTCTCGAATCTTTGGTAAAAAATCTAAAATTATCAAAAATTCGAAAAAATTCAAAAAACCGAATTTCCTAAAATTTAACATTTTTTCCTCTCTTTTATGGGATTTAGCTTCATTATTTTTGTGCTTTTGGAAAATACTTTACTTATTTAATAGTGTCGACTCTTTGGTAAAAAATCTAAAATTATCAAAAATTATCAAAAATTCAAAAATCCGAATTTCTTAAAATTCAACATTTTTTCCTCTCTTTTATAGGATTTAGCTTCATTATTTTTGTGCTTTTGGAAAATACTTTACTTATTTAATAGTCTCGAATCTTTGGTAAAAAATCTAAAATTAGCAAAAATTCGAAAAAATTCAAAAAACCGAATTTCCTAAAATTCAACATTTTTTCCTCTCTTTTATGGGATTTAGCTTCATTATTTTTGTGCTTTTGGAAAATACTTTACTTATTTAATAGTGTCGACTCTTTGGTAAAAAATCAAAAATTATCGAAAAGTATCAAAAATTCAAAAATCCGAATTTCTTAAAATTCAACATTTTTTCCTCTCTTTTATAGGATTTAGCTTCATTATTTTTGTGCTTTTGGAAAATACTTTACTTATTTAATAGTCTCGAATCTTTGGTAAAAAATCTAAAATTATCAAAAATTCGAAAAAATTCAAAAAACCGAATTTCCTAAAATTCAACATTTTTTCCTCTCTTTTATGGGATTTAGCTTCATTATTTTTGTGCTTTTGGAAAATACTTTACTTATTTAATAGTCTCGAATCTTTGGTAAAAAATCTAAAATTATCAAAAATTCGAAAAAATTCAAAAAACCGAATTTCCTAAAATTTAACATTTTTTCCTCTCTTTTATGGGATTTAGCTTCATTATTTTTGTGCTTTTGGAAAATACTTTACTTATTTAATAGTGTCGACTCTTTGGTAAAAAATCTAAAATTATCAAAAATTATCAAAAATTCAAAAATCCGAATTTCTTAAAATTCAACATTTTTTCCTCTCTTTTATAGGATTTAGCTTCATTATTTTTGTGCTTTTGGAAAATACTTTACTTATTTAATAGTCTCGAATCTTTGGTAAAAAATCTAAAATTAGCAAAAATTCGAAAAAATTCAAAAAACCGAATTTCCTAAAATTCAACATTTTTTCCTCTCTTTTATGGGATTTAGCTTCATTATTTTTGTGCTTTTGGAAAATACTTTACTTATTTAATAGTGTCGACTCTTTGGTAAAAAATCAAAAATTATCGAAAAGTATCAAAAATTCAAAAATCCGAATTTCTTAAAATTCAACATTTTTTCCTCTCTTTTATAGGATTTAGCTTCGTTATTTTTGTGCTTTTGGAAAATACTTTACTTATTTAATAGTCTCGAATCTTTGGTAAAAAATCTAAAATTATCAAAAATTCGTAAAAATTCAAAAAACCGAATTTCCTAAAATTCAACATTTTTTCCTCTCTTTTATGGGATTTAGCTTTATTATTTTTGTGCTTTTGGAAAATACTTTACTTATTTAATAGTCTCGAATCTTTGGTAAAAAATCTAAAATTATCAAAAATTCAAAAATCCGAATTTCTTAAAATTCAACATTTTTTCCTCTCTTTAATGGGATTTAGCTTCATTATTTTTGTGCTTTTGGAAAATACTTTACTTATTTAATAGTCTCGAATCTTTGGTAAAAAATCTAAAATTATCAAAAATTCGAAAAAATTCAAAAATCCGAATTTCTTAAAATTCAACATTTTTTCCTCTCTTTTATAGGATTTAGCTTCATTATTTTTGTGCTTTTGGAAAATACTTTACTTATTTAATAGTCTCGACACTTTGGTAAAAAATCTAAAATTATCGAAAATTATCAAAAATTCAAAAATCCGAATTTCTTAAAATTCAACATTTTTTCCTCTCTTTTATGGGATTTAGCTTCATTATTTTTGTGCTTTTGGAAAATACTTTACTTATTTAATAGTCTCGAATCTTTGGTAAAAAATCTAAAATTATCAAAAATTCGAAAAAATTCAAAAAACCGAATTTCCTAAAATTCAACATTTTTTCCTCTCTTTTATGGGATTTAGCTTCATTATTTTTGTGCTTTTGGAAAATACTTTACTTATTTAATAGTGTCGACTCTTTGGTAAAAAATCTAAAATTATCAAAAATTATCAAAAATTCAAAAATCCGAATTTCTTAAAATTCAACATTTTTTCCTCTCTTTTATAGGATTTAGCTTCATTATTTTTGTGCTTTTGGAAAATACTTTACTTATTTAATAGTCTCGAATCTTTGGTAAAAAATCTAAAATTAGCAAAAATTCGAAAAAATTCAAAAAACCGAATTTCCTAAAATTCAACATTTTTTCCTCTCTTTTATGGGATTTAGCTTCATTATTTTTGTGCTTTTGGAAAATACTTTACTTATTTAATAGTGTCGACTCTTTGGTAAAAAATCAAAAATTATCGAAAAGTATCAAAAATTCAAAAATCCGAATTTCTTAAAATTCAACATTTTTTCCTCTCTTTTATAGGATTTAGCTTCATTATTTTTGTGCTTTTGGAAAATACTTTACTTATTTAATAGTCTCGAATCTTTGGTAAAAAATCTAAAATTATCAAAAATTCGAAAAAATTCAAAAAACCGAATTTCCTAAAATTCAACATTTTTTCCTCTCTTTTATGGGATTTAGCTTCATTATTTTTGTGCTTTTGGAAAATACTTTACTTATTTAATAGTCTCGAATCTTTGGTAAAAAATCTAAAATTATCAAAAATTCGAAAAAATTCAAAAAACCGAATTTCCTAAAATTTAACATTTTTTCCTCTCTTTTATGGGATTTAGCTTCATTATTTTTGTGCTTTTGGAAAATACTTTACTTATTTAATAGTGTCGACTCTTTGGTAAAAAATCTAAAATTATCAAAAATTCGAAAAAATTCAAAAAACCGAATTTCCTAAAATTCAACATTTTTTCCTCTCTTTTATGGGATTTAGCTTCATTATTTTTGTGCTTTTGGAAAATACTTTACTTATTTAATAGTGTCGACTCTTTGGTAAAAAATCTAAAATTATCAAAAATTCAAAAATCCGAATTTCTTAAAATTCAACATTTTTTCCTCTCTTTAATGGGATTTAGCTTCATTATTTTTGTGCTTTTGGAAAATACTTTACTTATTTAATAGTCTCGAATCTTTGGTAAAAAATCTAAAATTATCAAAAATTCGAAAAAATTCAAAAATCCGAATTTCTTAAAATTCAACATTTTTTCCTCTCTTTTATAGGATTTAGCTTCATTATTTTTGTGCTTTTGGAAAATACTTTACTTATTTAATAGTCTCGAATCTTTGGTAAAAAATCTAAAATTAGCAAAAATTCGAAAAAATTCAAAAAACCGAATTTCCTAAAATTCAACATTTTTTCCTCTCTTTTATGGGATTTAGCTTCATTATTTTTGTGCTTTTGTAAAATACTTTACTTATTTAATAGTGTCGACTCTTTGGTAAAAAATCAAAAATTATCGAAAAGTATCAAAAATTCAAAAATCCGAATTTCTTAAAATTCAACATTTTTTCCTCTCTTTTATAGGATTTAGCTTCGTTATTTTTGTGCTTTTGGAAAATACTTTACTTATTTAATAGTCTCGAATCTTTGGTAAAAAATCTAAAATTATCAAAAATTCGAAAAAATTCAAAAAACCGAATTTCCTAAAATTCAACATTTTTTCCTCTCTTTTATGGGATTTAGCTTCATTATTTTTGTGCTTTTGGAAAATACTTTACTTATTTAATAGTCTCGAATCTTTGGTAAAAAATCTAAAATTATCAAAAATTCAAAAATCCGAATTTCTTAAAATTCAACATTTTTTCCTCTCTTTAATGGGATTTAGCTTCATTATTTTTGTGCTTTTGGAAAATACTTTACTTATTTAATAGTCTCGAATCTTTGGTAAAAAATCTAAAATTATCAAAAATTCGAAAAAATTCAAAAAACCGAATTTCCTAAAATTCAACATTTTTTCCTCTCTTTTATGGGATTTAGCTTCATTATTTTTGTGCTTTTGGAAAATACTTTACTTATTTAATAGTGTCGACTCTTTGGTAAAAAATCAAAAATTATCGAAAAGTATCAAAAATTCAAAAATCCGAATTTCTTAAAATTCAACATTTTTTCCTCTCTTTTATAGGATTTAGCTTCATTATTTTTGTGCTTTTGGAAAATACTTTACTTATTTAATAGTCTCGAATCTTTGGTAAAAAATCTAAAATTATCAAAAATTCGAAAAAATTCAAAAAACCGAATTTCCTAAAATTCAACATTTTTTCCTCTCTTTTATGGGATTTAGCTTCATTAT